GCGTTTTCTGAGGTAGAGTTGGTCTTTTTGGCATTTATCTTCATTATTATGCTTTGGTCTTCTTGATGCTGGGAAGAAATAACAATACCTCAACAGCAAAGAAAACAAAAAGGAAGAGAAAGGGAAAGGATACGCGTGGACAGGAGCTAAGTAAACAATAACCAAGGAGCGGGCAGATGAAGAATATTTTCATACCCAGTGTTGGACTTAGCATTTCTAAAAAGTGCGGGTTTAATTGCATCTTTAATACTGGACTTTGTTTTGTCCGTTTATAAGCGAGTTAACAAAATTATTCATAGAAAATACGAAAGCACTAACAATGAATTACCGACTCGAACCGTAAAATATATGAACAGCTACGAAACAGTCTCATTATCTTTTCAGACGGGGTCAGCAAAGTTGGATTTGAACGGAGCATTAATGCGGAAATGGTTGTGCATTACTGTTGTAGCTCCTCTATGTCTCTAGTATCTTAGTTTTTACTTTGCGCTACACTAATCCCTGGATATCGCGAAGTACAGCTAGAAACACTGAAGTATTGAGACAGATTTCCATAACTAGTAGCAACGTAACATGGTAACATAGCAACCGCCGAACGTACCGGTACCTAAAAATTTCACGATTGACTGCCTTAATACGCTCGGCTGGCCGGTGTGTTCGACGTTGATGTATTTTGTGACCACTTTCTGTATGAGTTGACGAGTGATGTGATCACTTTCTGTGTGAGTTGACGAGTGATGTGATCACTTTCTGTGTGAGTTGACGAGTGATGTGATCACTTTCTGTGTGAGTTGACGAGTGATGTGATCACTTTCTGTGTGAGTTGACGAGTGATGTGATCACTTTCTGTGTGAGTTGACGAGTGATGTGATCACTTTCTGTGTGAGTTGACGAGTGATGTGATCACTTTCTGTGTGAGTTGACGAGTGATTTGATCACTTTCTATGTGATTTGACGAGTCATGTGATCACTTTCTGTGTGAGTTCACGAGTAATGCGATCACTTTCTGTGTTAGTTGACGAGTGATGTGATCACTTTCTGTGTGAGTAACGAGTAAGTCGGTAAATTGAAGACAGTTTATAGTACGACGTTGATGTAAGGTAGTCCCACTTTCTGTGTGAGTTGACGAGTGACCAAATTCCACTCTATCAAAAACAAGAAAGAGCAGACTGAATGCTTTCTGATTTCTTAGCGTTTGCCTTCATGGCCTTGGTGTTCATTTTTGCCTTGGCCTGCATAATGTTGGAAAGAAGAAATTGTTATACTTCAGCAGCAAAAACGCCAAAAAGGAAGCCAAAAAGAGGCAAAAGAGTGACCAGAAGCCATTGCGAAGATCATCAATTTACTGCTCGGTGAGGGCCCGAGGAACACAGCGACGACGAAAGTTACAACCCGCGTGGAAAAATAACTAGGTAAGACTGCAAAATTCATTTAATGGCTTTAATCACCCTTCCCTTTCGTATTACTGTCACATCGATCAACTAATCGAGCGACTGGCTGAGGAAAATTAAAAGCTGTTTAAGGTCAATAACAGAGAGACTTCAGATCAACACCTACAAATTCAAAGTTTGTTTGATTTCACATAGTCTTTTTGACTGAGCGAAGAATTGAAAAAAAAGAAAGAAAGAAAGAAGAAGGAGAGGGACAAAAACGTTCAAAAGCCCTGATGTAGAGGTTTTTTTCTTTCTTTTTTAGAATCATGTGAACAGAGGACTGATGTTACCATGTATTCCAAGATAGACATAAAGAGGAACTATTGAAATTGAACAATCTAACTGAAGTTAGACGCAATAGTAAAGTTTACGTACAGCCTAACTAGAAACCCTGTTGCCACTACTTGCCAAATACTTGACTTAGTGAATAAATTTATGATAAATATACTTGTAAAGGGAAACTGTAAGTGCTGATGGAACCTTTATTCTAGTCGACGGACAGCAGAATTGCCATATTCTAATCAACGTATTACGACTTGCACCGACTTCGAAAAATGATGACGATTATATCAATTATTCATTTCGTAGCCTACTCATTTTGTAGCCTCTGCATGATTGGTTGTCAATGACATCACAGTATCCGGAAATATCCGGGGACTCCCCGAGATATTGAGCCCAAATCGAAATTAAATATTTCCGTCTATTTAATGCAACCACTTTGGAGGTCTGAATTAAAGACGACACGGACAAAAATAGGAACTTTGAGAATTTCGCACGCAAGTTCAAAGATTCACCGGGAAATGCGATCCAGGAGCTTCGATCACAAAGACCAACTTGAGGAAAATAGGAGCTATTACTGACAAGATTTGGTCACTGAGTATAGAGCATACAAGTTTAGCCCAGAGGTTTCAGAGGTTTTGCTTTTGTTTGTATCTGTATCTTTCTAAACTTTTATCATTAAATTTGTACACATGATCTTGTTATCATTTGTTATGCTTCTCCTCAATTATGTGTTTTCGTCTGTTCAGCAAGCACACTGTATATTGATGTCAGCATTAGCGAGTTTCACGAAGGAGACCTTTGAAAATTAACAGCTCGCGTCAGGTTTTTTTCCATGTGTACCATTTTATGGAGATGTAAACTAAAGCCGCCGCAAAATGGGAACTTAAAAAAGCCAGACATCGATGTATTTCGAAACATAATACACATGACTTACTTACACGACCTTCATTTTCCTTAAGGTGTTTTGAATACGAACGAACACTGCAAATGTGAAGGGCAAAAACAGTATTGATGTGAATGAACCATAGGGTTTTAATTAATACAAGGGTCAATTATTGTGCATTAAGATGAATCGCTTGCATGAAAGGAGAGAGTTCGTGCACATGGGATCAGAAGTAAACAAGGGCACATAGTGCATTTCGTTCAGACTTTTTAATATCCAAAGACTGTGAAATTAATCCTGTTTCGATATCGTTTAGCTGGCCCAAAAACTTCGGAGGAGTTATTGAGCGGCGTAATTTTCCGCCATGAAGAAAAGTTAGTCACAGGTGAGACGTCGACAAACAGCGAACTCAAACGAATTTTTAACTTATATTAGGGATGAAAAAACGGTAAAAAAAAGAGAATCCGCCGATCGTTCTAGCCATTCACATTGTTCAAAGTGCGTGCCGATGAAAGCAATATAGGTCACAAAATGCAAAGGATTCTACTCTTTAACGTTAGAGAAAAATATCAAGAGAAAAATCTTTGAACTGAATATCTTTTATCTTGTGCAAAAAAATAATGCGTTTAACATGAAAACGGTTTTCATGTAGACTGCATGATGTAGACCGCAAATTGGGATCGTCTCAGTGTAATCATTGAGGCCCATGGATCAGGATCAATGGGCAGTTGGCTGTCTGTTTTGGTAAACTTCTCGTTCTCATACGATACAATATTGGTCTAGTATAAAAGCAGAAGCAGTCCAGTGAATTCGCTTTTTGAAGTGTCTAGTTAATATTTATAATCATACCCCCTGGAAATGGCAGTAAATCAACCAGTCAGAGTATGAATAATGTTGGCGGCGAATCCCCTTATAAAAATTCAAAGACGAGGCTATGAGCCATGTTTCACTACTCTATTGAGGAGGTAAAACTGCTACAAAGTAACCCCCATAAGCCGAAAAAAAAAGTACACTATTAGACACAGTTCAAAATTTTTAAAATACAGTTAACATAATCACGCGGCCTAAATTTCCGTAGTTTATCCCAAAGATTATTACATCACATAACATCAGAAGGTGGTTGATTGTCTGCTTCAACCCTTATAATTAAAAACAAAGCGTCAGTAAGAACAACAAAAAAAAAGATGATGTCAATTCTTGATTGTTCTAAGAGAGGTGCTGTATACTGTAGGTTTTTTTTCCATGAGTATATAGTGTAGGTTTTTTTTCCCAAGAGAGACCCTTAAAATGGTCTCGACATTGTTAAGATGTTACTGCTAATGTCGTTAACAAGATGTCGACCGCAGCGAAATGATATGAGACTAAACGAATGTTCTCACTTTTGTTAAAAAATGCGATTTAGAAAGCCTGAATTCTTGTTAACTGTTACTATGGTAAATTGAGATCAAAACAATAGTACATTAAACTCATAAATATTCTAATTACACACTCCATCCCGTTGGGTTTCAAATTTTCGTAGTTTAAGTTGGGGTTGTTCGTCTTGTTCTTTTTTTTTGGCCAGCCACTAAACAGAGATGTTAATTCAAAATTCAGTTAAAGTGGAGAAAAGTCTGCTTTTGTTCGGGCCATACATTGTAGGTGTGTTTTACGAGCAATTTGTAACGCAACGCAACTGTGTTCTAACGCGGAACTTGTTTCCTGCAATTGTCGGTCGTTTGTTTTCCCTCGTTTCTCGAACATTTTGATGTCTACTAAACATAAGAATGCGAAACTGAAAAGCAGAAGCTATGTTTTCCTATTCGCTATTTCGATCTATGCCTTGCCATGCATAGAGAATCTAGAAAATGGGTACAACGGCCTACTAACTAAAACAACACTTCCATCTTGCTTTGCAAACATTAAAATACTTAACAAGCCTATGCAATTGTAATGGCATTTAAACGTCGATAAATCAAGGATAAAATTGAAACAACGACCGAGCATGCATGAGCCATCGGTACGCTAAAACAATCAAGTAAACAAAAGGTATGTTTTTCCATTCGCTACCATGATCAGATTAATCCGCCGTTTGAAAAACTGGAACGTCGCCAAGTTGATTTTTGATTGATTCTTGGCCTAAAAGTAGGCGTGTTTTGCGGTGCGATTGTTTAGAATAGCCAAACTGGAAAGATCGCTTGTCACTGATATGATTGGTCGATATTTTTATTTTTTGAGTCGACACGTGCACGATTATATGTGCATTTTTACGGTGAAGGAGAGTCATTCGTTTCATTTATCAAAGTTGAAGGCGATAAGTGCATCAGTTTGCGTGACTGGATAACAAAGTAAGAGGAGCGAATGGCGTTTTCTGAGGCAGAGTTGGTCTTTTTGGCCTTAATCCTCATTTTTACTTTGGTCTTCTTGTTGCTGGGAAGAAGAAACAATACCTCAACAGCAAAAAACACAAAAAAGAAGAGAAATGGGCACAAAAGAGCGACACACCAGAGGCACTGCCAAGACCATCAGCACAAGATTCGACGAGGACCAGACGAAAACGACGACGACGAACCGTACAATCCTCGTGGCACAATACTCCGGTAAGACTTTCTAATGTTGCTGCAGTTAATTCACCATTTCTTGAAGTATGACGATTGATACCCTTCCATTTGACATTTATTAATACCCACAAAATTTATTTTGCACGATTTTTCGCAAGTTTTGAGACTTCAGGGATCAAGAAGACTTACAAAACTAGCAAAGCATTATTATTAAGAAATATCTCTACATTCTATTTTTCTAGGATCATGTGAAGAGAGATTTTTGGCCATGTAGCTGTTCACAAAAGATTATGGACTACACCGACGGAAGGCAAATCAGTCAGGAATTTTTAGAACTAAGCCGGAATTAGCATTTTTGAATAAATTAAAATTAATTAACCATTGTTTCACCCCAAACCAAACATTTACATTTAAAAAACAGACTATTTACATGACCAGGGTTCTCAATAGAAGGCGGCATCCGGCGATTGATCGCCGCTTACTTTGGGATTTATAGCCGAATACTTTGTGTTTAAGTCGCTTTTCTTTGCTTTGTTTTGACACCTCTGGCTTTGCTGAAGAGCCTCCTACTTTATCAGTGATCACCTCCTACTTAAAAATCTATTGAGAACCCTGCATGACAAAAACTCTATAGCTACAAAAGGGTATTTTAGAAAATTTTTACTTTACTAAAACGATTAAATAACCTCTGTGAAATGGAAAGTGCTTCACGTAGTTTACCTTAACCGTAGTACTAAAAATTAGACAGGCGAATAAAAAAAAATAACCTTGAGTTAGTGACGTAGTTAGTTGACTTCTAATACACATTAACTTTTTACCACGAATAAAACGGCAGAAGTAGACAAATTTAGAAAATCTAACTACTACATAACAATGATATAATGATATATAATGCTATCGTTGCGGCTAACTTCTCGCTGCCTCTGAAACTTTCCGAGAACGCTCATTGCCGGGTTGCTAATGACCAGGTAGTATATCCATTCTTACTTATGGCTGATATTGAGTTGATTTGCCGGTTGACTAAGTCTATTGCTTGTTTATCTTTTAGCTTTGTTTGGACGTTCCTATTGAAAACGCAATCGTTGTTTCGTGGCTATAGGGTCCCTTTCCGCTCCATTGGACCGTTGAGGTTGCATCAATTAAGCGGATGAACAGTAACCAGGCTACATTCACTCGTCACTCGACGAATTTTTGACCGGCTAAAACATTTCAAGGGCACTTTGTTCACACGGCACGCTTTAATATTTTCGCTCTGTTCACACGGAACTTTGAACTGCCACGCGTCTAAATTTCCGTACGGTTAAGGTGGTTCCGTAACTAATAAACGCACGAATTTTCAACCGGAAGAAAATTCGTTCACACAGGCCATTCAATGTTTCCGCTCTGTTCACACGGAACTTTGAATGGCTAAAAGTACAAATATAAATTTCGCACGGTTAAGGTGGTTCCGACTGAACACCAACCGGTCGAAAATTCGTGCGGTGTCCAGTGAAAGTTAAAATTAAAGAACAAGACTAAGAAAACCTTACCCGAATAAATCCATTTATCTTCTTGACTGAGTGCAACATACAAATAAACCAGCGTGTGTAAATTAACAAGTCATCCATTGTCACGACACTCATCGCTGAATCACTGCCAGTCAGGGTTGCCTCACAAGCCACAGCAAGTCTTCTGGCCCTCTGTAAGCAGTCATGGTACTCTTCCATGATATAGCTGAAGAATTATAACGAAAGAAATGAGTGTTTGTTGATTCAAAAATTACCCCTGCAAGGGAAACGTTAACTACATACATTGTAAGGTCAATCAGTAAACAATATCCACGTTTGAAGAAGCGATGCAAAATATTTGTACAAGTTGAAACTCAAATTGTATTGATTTCGTGAAGTCCTCTTTAACCGATCTGTAAGTTTCCATATTTGTAGAATATTTGAGATGCGCAATGTGGGATAAACCGCAGCCTCGATCTCTCATCAAAAAGCCCCCGGAGTCAATCCTTTCCCGTTTTATTTTAATTAAAAATAGTTTTCGCGAAAACGGATAAAGAAAACAAAGATTTAGTTACCTTATTTTCACTGGTTACCTTCCTGCTACAAAGTGATAGCGGCTTTTATCAAGTCAACAAAAGAACACCCTGGATTTAACCATAGCTTATTTTCAACTCAAAGGTATGAGGAAATGCTCGTAAGGCTATTACACTGACGGGTATGGCGAGAGCATGCATATATAATTGCGCTCAGAGCTCGCAAATTTTAGATGACAATAAAAAGAAAAAACCCTTAGTGACGCCACGATAAGGGTGCTTTTCTAATAACAACTAAGCCATTTCAGTAGATTTGATTCCGCTTCAGACGAAGCATGAGCGCGTTTTTAAGGTGATGTTACACGGTACGATTCGCAACGACGATTTTTAACCCAACACAGCATTGTAAAGTTGGAACAATGTTGTAAATATTCCAAACAATGTCGTAACAATGTTGCAACACTCTGTTGCGGTAAAAATCGTCGTTGCGAATCGTACCGTGTGACATGAAATTTTTAAATTTTAAAACCCTGTGTAACCCGGAATCCAAGTCAAGAATCCGGAATCCCACTAACGATGGAATCCGAAATCCAAGTTTCACTGAAAAAGAATCTGGAATTCAGTCCCTGGAATCCGGAATCCAAAGCGTGGAGTCCAAACTCCAAGACTGTCTTGGATTCTCTTATATGAGAGCGAGACTTCATGCTTCAGACTCGACTGTTTCCCGGCGCGTCTCAAACTCGAGTTGTTCGCGCTTCAAGACCTGTCGACCAACCGTTCACTTGGAATCATGTTTGAAACGATTAACTTTCCAAGAAGAATAAGTAACGAAAAAACATGGAAACAGAAGGGCATAACTAATCGCCCAGAGCTAAAGGTGATGTTCAGACGATTAGCAACAACGATATTTAGCGCAACACAGCATTACAACATTGTTGCGGCATTGTTTCTAATGGTTGCAACATTGCTTCAACAATGTTACGCTGAATGCGCTCAAAATCGTCGTTGCGAATTGTCACCTAGGACGCTAAGGAACCACTAAAGGCAAAGGTGGCGAAAAAGCGATTTTTTTTTCTGGAGAGGAATTCTAAAGTACTGTATCTAAGTTCAGAATCTTTGTCTTGTCTTCCCGTCCTTATAAGGGCAGAACTTTCACGCCGAAGTCGTGCAACTCTACGTAGAAATGCACAAAAAAGCGTGACGCACGTGCAAAGTTGCTGTTTTGCAAATCAAAACCTCTCGCTTTTTTAACATTCGCGTTGCCGTTGCTAACTTGGCTGCTTAAACTTACTGGTGTAAAACTCAAGAAGAGGATGGTTTCCTGTGCCGTACAAGTGTGGTAGTTTACACAAAGTTTATTTGAAGAGGTTGGTTTCCCTACCTGAGTCTTTTCTGATAAACAGGATAGAGGTTTTCAATGGCTTTTGTGTGTTCACAGAACCGTGCCCAGCGAAGCATGTGCATGTGTTTACATTGAACCAAGTGCTCTATCCTGTCCACAAAAAACTACGTAACAAAAATGATTCGACATAAGATTGGAATAGACCATGCTGAGGTTTATTTTTAAGTTTCCATGAGGATTATTTTGCGGAAAACCGTCAACACCTCTGAAAATAGCGCCTTAAAATTAGTAAACTTGCCAAGTTCGAAAGTACATGTAATACGGCTAACACAACCGTCTGTACATGTAAAATTTGAAGAGTTTGTAGCGCTACATGTATCTTCGTTCTTTTTCAACAAGTCCATCTCAAACTTAGCGATTTTACTCTACATTTTTAGAACGCTCTCTGTTCAGTGGTGTCGACAGCTTTTGATGTAAAATTAGTCTCCATTCAAACAGTTGGCAATGTCACGATACAGTGTACTTAAAAACAGGTTAATTGTTTTCAAATTAAAGTACATTTAAAGTAATCAAATTGTTTATATAGCGAACAGGAAGGAGGGGTCTACAGGGCAGATGCAGAAACTACATGTATTAAGAACCTTTGCTTGGGATTTGACATGTGAACAGAAAATCTAGACTAACAGTAGTATTCTTGATCTTGTACCCTGCTCCCTGTCTGTCCTGCGGTTTGTCTTTGTCCTTAACATTAGTAAGTAGCCGTCACAAAGTGGTTCTTAGTTTGTGTGCAATACATATGTTGTATACTTGTAGTATACGTGCAATAGTTTCAGGGGTGCCTCTGATGTACAGTATTGGATTTTTGTTGCAAATTTTTGTCCCTGATTGTAGCCAGGAATGAAGTAACAGGGAATCTAGGACACTCGTCAGTACTTCCTTTTTTTCCTGGAGTGTTATATAGAACGCCAAGTGGCAACCCTTATGGACTGACAGTGACCTACAAAGCTTATAAATTACCTGGTGAAGAAGTAAAGGAATGCTTTTTCCAGTGTATTCCACTTCACAGCAGCTGGTCATCTCCTCACGCATCACATCTGCCTGTATGATCAAGGGTTGAGCTTCACGCACCTGAGGTTACATCATTAAAACATATGATTAAGCAACTAACCTTGAACAAAGAAATAGAGATAAGGTTGGACAGTGGTAACCCTTTCTCCTGTACCAGGGAGAAATGTAACAAAAATCACTGACACCAGAGGAATACAGCGGAAGATATTCAGATGTTTAAATAGGTGGGGAACCCACCCACCCACAGACCAGGGCTGTAGCTAGGTTTTTTGTAATGGGGGAATCATCGCGATTGCCGATGGAAAATTTTCGAATTAGGAGGCTCTCAAACACTATTTTCAGCACTTGTCATGAGATATGTCTCTGAAAAATCGATGTCGCATACGGAAAATGGCAAACAACAATATTGCCAGTCAATTTAATTAAAATAACTGAGTCTAAAGAAAAGAAATCCATCCACAGACTTGATGTGTCTAGCTCAACAGGTCCAAGGAGGGCAGCTGCTCCCCTGCCCCCCGCTAGCTACAGCTCTGCAGACAGTCCTTTTTCAGAAAAGAGGGGGGCACAGCCTAAAAATTATTCACCACAAATAAGGTGGGGACAAGACCTCTTATTACTCCAGCTCTGACAAAAACTAAAAACAGCAAGGACTAGTCTTTTGGCTAAAATTCCAAGACATTCCAATGGCACATAAAGCTTTTAACACAACAAAACCACTATTCCCACTACTACAACACTTTGGCTAGTCTGTGTCACAGACGTACACATGTATTCTAACCACGGTTAGTAACATCTGCAAAGCAGTGCCAATAGTTCTGGGCACCCAACAGACACAACAAATTTATACCAGAAATGCATTCCGAATTTCTTTTCCTCCTGATTGGCAAATCAACAATGGCTTTTTTAACAGGCCAATCATGGCGATTACTCAAATCCTGGTACATATGTGGGGACCCAGAAGAAGGATTTTGGCACTGTTTTGCAGACGGACCTAACAAGAGTTTAGTTTCTTCTGTGGTGCAGGCTACACTTCAGACTAAGCACCACAAATGAGCCCAAAGAAATCCCAAGAATCCTAAGGAACCATCCTTAAAAATTGCTGGCAAACCTAAACAGAATACAAGCTTATCTAACAAGTCTACAGTTTACATTCCACACAAACCTGGAGACTCTTATTGATAGCAAGCTTTCTCTCTCTCTTAAAATGCTCTACATCTTTTGGTAATGGTACAGATCTAGGGTAGAAGGAGGAAAAAATTAAAATATTTATTGTTACATAGCAGGAAATTTTTCGCAACAGCCCATTCTTATTGGTTACTTTGAGGTCACGTGACATCTAACAATAAAACTGTCTCCTACCAAAATCTCTAAGCTGGCAATATTGCAAAAGTAATGATATCAGAGGGTATACAGTACACTGTTGCTTGCCAATGTTGATTGACAACTGCCACTACTGCGAGGATTAATGAATTTCCAGCTTCAAAATTTCCAGGTATATTTCCCTTAATGTCAATGTTTCCCTCAGCTCTGCTTTGGGAATTATTGAAATTCTCTGGAAACAAACTTAACTGTCTCCCTTGAGGATCAGTCATTAAGTGTTTAATTATTATCAATAATAAGCCAGCTAGTTCATAATTTATAAAATTATGCAATTTTTATGGAGGCTATACATGTAACATTTTCATACTTTTGCTGTGATTTCTTAAGAATATGCTTGCTGGAGTCTCATGTTTTTAAGGGGGGTATATCTACCCATAAGGTCTTTAAACATATTTTTTAATGGCCACCTTCTGAGGAAAGTGGTACCTTTCGGCATATTAATCACGCTGTAGATCCCCTGCCAAATGCATAGCTTCAAAGCTGTTTTGACCCAGAAATGATATCAGTTTTGTGACCAGGCCTTTACAGTACAGACTTACAGTTGGATGAATGACTGCGAGGATCATTTGTTTTAGATTTTACTATGTAAAAAGGTTTTATGAGCTGTTGGTCATGTGACAAAATTTGCTCAAGTCTGGCTATCCAACCTCAAAAATCAAGACAAAATCAAGGTCAATAAAAACAAAAAAAAGTTTGAGGTCATCTTGACCAAACAAGCTTGGTTAATAAAGGATTTATAGCTTTGCTTGCAGGACCAAGGCGAGAAATTCCAAGCAAGATCGGCCCCCCTTATCCGCTCAGGTATAGTGAACGTAGCCAATCAGAACACAGGATTCACTTGATCTTCCCCGCTCGTGGACTCAGCCATATGATAAAAATATTTTGGCATGCAAAAGAAGTTAACATCTGGAATATTGCCAGTGGTGCATTCTCTTGACACACACGCAAATGACAGAATGCAATCAACAAAATACAGTTTTAAAAAAAGCCTCACTCCTAATGTTTCTACAGTAAAAATTTGAGGGTGTTACATGCAGCTACAAGCGCCTGGATCACTTTTTAAAATTTTCTTTCTACTTGCCTGTAAAAATTTCTCTTCCTGCTAACTGAAATTTCCCGGGAAAAATTGCGACGAATGTGAGAAAATCTAAAGCAAGGGTCTGGAGAAATTTAAGCACAGTGACGGATCCCAAAACTTGTTAGTAAAATCCTTTGCTGTGCAGTTTTAGTTTACAATTCATATTTTTTTCAGAACAGCCGTTTTACGGAAATTATTCGACATAAGATTCTCATACAAACACTGTAATTTCTCACACGGTTATGGTGTCGAAAACCGTGCGTGATAAGGCCTTTTGAAAGAGCGTCATATTTCGTTTCATGTACATGGCCAGTTCAAAAATCGCAAGACGTCGCGACCTTCGAATAACTTTCAGATTCTTTTAATGTTGTCGTTATCTTCGAAAAGATCGGCTTCTCAATTATTAATCGTTATAAACTTCAACTTAGTCTATTATTTCCAGTGACAACAAAGTCAGTTCATCTAACAAAGTGCAGAACTGCAAGCTGAGATCGATCGACAGCTTCAAAAAGACTTGTAAAACAAAGGAGAATATAAGCCTTAACTAAAAATTACTGAAAATGGCAGATCGCTCACCCGAATGCCTTCGGTGCCGAAGAAGAGCTCAAGAAATTTCCCTCCTCAACTTCATTCTGCAATTCCTTCAATTCTTTTTTCAGATCTTCTTCCAACGATCTAACCTTCTCCGAAGATGACACTTCGTAAATGCCTTCCATGTCCTCGTTACGTTAATTATTACAAGGACTCAGCCTTGATTATGTGTTCTAGAAGGCAATTACAACTCCATTCTCAGCCCGGACTCTTCTTTGCTTTGGGCGCCATGTTCGATTTGCCTAGTAACAAAAGACCGGTAACCAACGAGCCTCATCTTGAATATTTGATTAACTTACCGGATGTGAAAGAAAAGACAGGAGGTCGACAGGAAGTAAAAATACAATTTCCTACCAGTCTCCCCTCTCCGCCTTCCAGAAATCCAACATGGTTGCCTGTTCAACGTTAATTTGATACATTGTGGAATTTGAAGGTTAGTTTTGCAATACTTTGGCTATCTTCTCGTTGTTTACAAGCTTAATGACATAATTCTTCGTTAAATTAATGTGTCGCTGGGGAAAATGTCGTTTACAAGCTTGTCATAGTTAAACATTGCGTAGATTTTCTTACCCCAAACTCGAGTCACGTTGTGAGGTCGTTGGTTCGATACGTACTGTGGTCCACTTATCCTTTTTCATCCGGTTCCAGTTTTCTTTTTATTCTAATATTCTCGTTCTTTGATTAATTTCAACGTTTATTTGTAAATTCATTTTACAAAATTGTGAATCAGTACGGTGTATAATCTCTGATAATCTTACTTCTCCGATTTATGCAAATGAGTTCTGTCATCTCAACAAGCTACTTTCGATATATTAAAATTCAGCATGATAGAGAGTCTTAGAGGACACAAACAAAGAAAATGAATAAACATGAATAACCATGGTTTATTCATTTTCTTTGTTTGTGTCCTCTAAGACTCGTTGTCATGCTGAATTTTAATATGTCGAAAGTTGTCCATTGCCAAAATATAGCCTCGTTATTCCTGGTTTCAGTTGTGGTTCATACACAATTTTTATTGTATGGCTTTCTTGTTCCCAGCAAAAACTATGTCAACTATTTGATACTGGCTGGTAGCAAGGGAATACAACCATATCTTCATAATTACACACTTTCCTAACTACATCCCCCTCCCAAGGCAAAATCTCCCTTGAGTTCACACTTGCTGTAGATAAGGGTTCAAAGTTTTGGTCAGTGTTATTTCTATATTCAACATGATAATACATAAGCCATTGTTAATTCAACTTATTTTTCTTTTACCTTAGCAGTTGCAATGATCATGAAGAATTTAATCATGACACAATTGTCATAAAGGCTGCCTCTGTTGTCAACATATCAGTCCATTTTAAGTACAAGATTTACGATCATTGGTGGCACTCAGTTTTTCTGGATAATTTCTTTGTCCTAGTGTCATTTTACACTCACAATTTCCTCTATGGAAGACTCAGGGGATTTAACGCCCAAAGTCGATTTTGCAAGCCTGAAAGAGGAACTTTCCAAAAATGGGATGGTTATATGCCCTGCTCAAAACTGCAATCAGGACTTCAGCTCTCTTGGAGGACTCAAGTATCACTTGAAACAAGCCAACCACCTGATCTCTGGTGAAAGAAGGTTTAAATGTGAGCAGTGTAGCTTGTTGTTTCAATCACGGGTTCATCTGCGAAACCACAGAGTTGCTGAACATTCAGATGGTGAAAGTGGAAGTCCATTGGTCAGTCCATTGTCAAGTCCAAGGTAACTACAATACAACTTAAATATTTTGCTTGAAACTGTCATGAAAAAATGTATCAAATGAAAGTTTAATTGACAGGGCTGTCACTAACTGTAACATTTCAATGCAACAAGTAGTGGGGTAATCAAACAGCTCGGGATTTCTTTTGGTTCTGTTTTTCCTCTATTTTCCTATGAAAGTAGGTGGGGCCACAATCTTTATAGTAGGCAGGGAAAGTCCCCAGCCCCCACCTCTAAATGACAGCCCTGATGTATTTCATACAACTGTATGGTTTACATGTACATCATGAGTTTGCACAGCACCTGGTAGCCTCTTGCTTTTGCAGTCCTGACATGGATTTTATAAGCTGTGTCATGTGGGCTGTGAGATTGCACTAGCGGTAGGGGCTAGGGGATTTGATAGAGGATTTAGGGACCAATAGTCATGGCTTTCACAACCAGTTCAAGTTGCTGGGAAAATGCAATAAATAGGATGTGAAGTGAACAGCCAAGAAGTTATTTTGGTTCTATTTTCCTTTGTTCGATGAAAGTAGCCGGGGTCATGCTTGTAGTAAATGGGGGGAGGGGGGTAGATCCCTAATGACAGCCCTGAGACACACAGTACTTAGGATCTGTGGTAGTGGAAGAGATACTGGAGTGAGATGGTCAGATGATGAAGGAAAAGAGGGCAAAATGTAATAAGCTGAGGAGTGGGTTAGGGGGTTACTGTATTTATTAGATTAAACGCTGTGGCATTTATTAAATGTTTAGCATTTCCAATGCAGTGTTTATTCTTGGGCGAAATTAATTCAAGGGCGGCGTTTATTTTGAAAGCACTTTCTTTAAATGACTGAGGACAGTTATCGTAAATTGTTTGTAAATATTATGTAATTTATTAAACGGTTCCACTGTCTCCCTTATTTTGTTACATACCAAGGTTTTTCTTATTAAATCCTCGAGTAAACGCCACATTCTTTTGATTATGTACGGCGTTTTCTTCGAGGGTGTTGATTATTGGTAATTTTCCCTCCATCTGCGGCGTTTGATCGAGGGTGGCATTTAATGGAACAAAATACGGTAAACAGGGGAAAAGGATGGGTGTTTGAACTATCTTTTACAATATTCTTTTTTGTTTTTTTCTGCAGCTTCAAAGAGAAAGAAGCTTATACCTTTGCACCTTTTTCTAACTCGTCAAACCACAAGACAACGCAAGTAAGAACAGAGAGCATTAACCTTGAGAATTCTTCCGAAGTAAACTCGGAATGTGACTTCTTGGGTGACATGTCGGCCTCAGGTTCTCAAAATAACGGAAATGTGAGCTGCTCAGGTAGCTCAGCTAATCAAGCCTCTTTAGAAAAAAGTAAAGACTCAAGTGATTCTGTGTTAGAATCGAGAACTAGTGTACCCGAAGCAAATTCATTGTGCAGTGAGAATCATGCTAGATTTGTAGGATCGTCAAAAAGAAAGAGAGGACGACCCAGAAAAGCAGGTATTGAAAGTACTGTCAATGAAGTGTCGTCCATGGCTAGTCCATGTCCTGACCAATTAAGTGAGATTTCATCATCATCTCGCGTGAACGCTAACGATAAAATACCCTCAAGCGACATAACAACAGCAAGGAGAACGTCCTCGAGAGTTCGGACACCACGAAAGATTTTCTACATTGATGTGGACAAGTCGAAAGATGACAATTTACAGAGTTCCTCAAGGAAAAGAGGGAGGAAAAGAAAAAGTGTGACGGAAGTGAATAGTGATGAGGACGATGAAACCGATGTATCGAAAAAACTGGAATATAAGACACCCAAGAAACGGGGTAGAAAGCCTAAAAGAACGAATATTACAAGCGAGGATGTTGATTCTGTTAGAGAATGTAATGATGAGAGTGTTAGCAATAATAATGGGAAGGAAAAAGTAGAAGAAAAGCGCAGTGTTGGTTGTAATGATCAGGCTGTTATCAAGGTTGAAGATGAGCAACAAGAAAATGAGGAATCTTCTAGAGGTGTCAGTGAGAACAAAAATGGTGACGGTTACGTTGAAGATGATCATCATGGTGATGATGTTGATAATTATGATGATGGTGGTGTTGATGGATCTTGCACTCCTGGAGTTACAAGAACAAAGGAGCTAAATGGAAAAGAGAATAGTAAGTTATGGGGTAATACAGGTAGAGTACAACATTTTTATTCCCTTACTATCACTTATTTTCGTGCGACTTTAATTTCGCGAATTTGGAATAGCAATATTTCGCGGCACTTAAATTTCGCGATTTTGTCGAATCACCGTTTTTCAAGGTAATTAATTTTCGCGAATCAAGTAAAATGGTGCTCGTTTTTTAAACTTCTATCTCTGCATTTTATTTAACCATAATGGTATAGAAGCGCAACAAGCAATTTGCTGTAATGTTCAACAATGTCAGAAACATAACATCTTTTAAAGGTACACTGATATAAGCAACGGAGGAACTATTAAACTCGATGGCGCTGCCAATTAGCTTTTAGATGAGGATCTCCTCTTTATATTTTCAAATGGATCTTCAGGTAATAAGGTTGTCTTTCCTTGAGCAAGTTCGGATATTCCCGCTTTGCTTCATCCTTTTGCAATGTACCGCTTTCCCATACTGCATGTCAAATGGTAGCCTGAGAAAACAGGCGACATCTCACGACACCATCACTGGTTTCCCCGCGAAATGAAGAAAACGAAATTCTTTATTGATGACCTGTCATTACCCAGATCAGGGTAGTGCTTCTGATTGGTCGTGCCCCGTGGGAAATTTGATTCAACCAATCAGAAGCACTGCCCAGATCTGGGTAGTGACGCGTCATCAGTATGGAATTTCTGCGCTCGTTTCTCAGACGTCATTTGGCGGGGAAACCGGTAGTGGCGTCTCCTGAAATGTCGGTTTTCTCAGGCTAGTCAAGTGGTTGTAAAGGCTTACCAGCCAGCTGGCTTGTAAGGACTACAGCACAGATAGCCTTAAATCGACCTCAATCTCATCGGTGCTGTTTCCCGACTCCATTTGTTTCTGAACTTCGACCGAATAGCAAGTTGTAGTTGAAGTACTCCCTGGTAATCCTACGTCACCAGGTCGTTCCTTTTACATTAGGAACATGTATTTTATTTGCTCCTTCCGTTTTCTACTTACAAAGCTAAAGATTTTGCTGTGATATCTCAGGTACCAAAGAAAACACTTCAACCAAGAAATTGGGAAGAAAACCAAAGCGTCGTAAGGTATTAAAACTATCTTAAGTCCCATGGTTAGTATGAACATGTTTTGCATTCAGGATAAGGAGATGGTTGCCATAGCATAAACACCCCTACCCCTACCCCTCTTAAATCAAGTCACCCACCCCTACTCCGAACCCACTCCCCCCCTCTGGAGCTCGCGATTGTACATTATGTTTGCAGATTCTCGAATATATGATTAACAGCACTACTGTTTTATGAGATGCATGTCAATCTTGTTGCTTCTTATACTAAAACGTATTTTGTTGTATTGCAGGGAGAGGTTTCAGAGGTAGGTAATCATCCCCAGGGATGTTTCTTCCATTACGCGAATAGCTTCTAGTAAAATCTAACTAGATTTTAATAATTTCATACATGTACAGCCTAAAAAAATGCGAAGACCTTCAGGTCACTTGCGAAGGAGATGTTTGGTTACGAGAATCGAACCACAGGAATTTTGTCCTATCGGTTCTCTACGTCCACCCGTGTTTTCTTTATGAAGATACTTTATTACATGCAATGTCCAAGTTACTAAATGTGGTCATTAAGAGGTTAAAAACACTGGATAATTATCAACTGATCAGTTCAAATCAAAGGTCGCGGTCGGTTACAGGTCCATTGCGGTGCTAGTTTACCAGAGGTTCTAGGTGTAAGGATTTGACAGCAACAGCAAGTCGCCAGAAATTTTTAGTTAAGTCACCCGAAATGCTGAGTTGTGTGGCTTGAAATTTTATCATGCTCAAAAACATCCTAGCATCCTTATTGCACATTTATCGCGCTTGTTTCGTCTCATCGAAGATTAAAGAACGAACACTCATTTATCGCGCTTCTTTCATTCTTCATCAAGGGCTAAAGATCGAGATATATTACACATTTATACCCTCCGCTAGTTTCGTCTCATCGTTGCTTAAAGAAGCACGAGGTATGTCACACGTTCATTCTGCTTATTTCGTTTCACGATGGTTTAAAGAAGGAGATATATTACAGAAACTCTTTATTTAACAAAAATTAACTTTGTTTCTCTGTGCACTTCACCTGATAAAATTCAGGCGACATGACTCAGCATTTTGGGCGACTTAACTTGGGTTTTGGGCGAGATGACTTTCGGGCGACTTGACCGGTTACCGGTGTCTTACGAGAGGCAGTCGCACATGAACGTTTAAACTAGACTGTGGTACTAAATCAATGACTGAAAGTATTTTTGCCATGTTTCTTCATTAGGTCACCCTACTGAAGGAACAGACAAAATATGGAAAGAAATTAATTTGTACAAATGAAGGATGTGGGGCTAAGTTCGCTTCAGCTCTTGGATATGTGACGCACAGAAAAACGTGTGGCATAAAAGAGGAGGAGAGAGAAAAGTTTTCCTGTGAGATATGTGGAAAGGAATACAACAGTGTGCCAGGACTTACATATCATATGAAGACCAAACATGTTGAGGTACTTGAAAACCTTCATTCACGCAGCTACCTCATATCATGATAAAGTTCCGATATAACACGAATTCTGATTGGTTTAGCCTGTTCCAGGCTCCGGGTTAGTCGGGTCCGCGAAATTGAGGAAGCGTGAACACGAAAATAAAACGAGAGGAAAACTTTTGGCTAAAATTCGCTGTAGAATGACGAAGGGTATCGCGTTTTCCCGTCGAAATGACGCTGGTTCACGCGCGCGCACTATTACGTATTGAACCCTGCATAAAGATAAAACCTGAGATTAAGGAGATAACAACAATTGCTTTATTTTTTCTTTTCATTTTTAGAGTGAAACTGATAGCAATGATCAAACCAAGGAAAATGAGGTACTGTTACAACTGTGTGACACTAATTTTGATCAAAACTGTACCATTATCCGTTTTGGTCTCAAACTGTTTTGTCCCCAGAGAAAATACATTATTTTCAAGTTTACGCATTGTCTGTTGTTTTGTGTTAATCATAAGCTTAGCACTTTCTTACTCTCCTTTCTTAATTGTAGAATATAAAAATCCAGCCCTTTATTTGCTCCCGAGAAGACGTGAAAGGTGTAACGATTTATGTCTTGAATGCCTTTGTTTCCCAGGAAGCTGCAGAGCCTGAAGTTACAGAGACTGGGCGAGTCAGAAGAAAGGCGGCATCAAGGTTGGTAACAACTAAAACGGTGTCCAAATTAATCACTTCCACGTTTTTTTGTCAAATCTGCCTCTGGTAAACGAAGTAATGGGAAGAATCCCTCACTGTGAGGCAAAGTTATGCAGCAAGGTGGGGATAAGGTTGTTACCGTCACCCGGGGAGGGGATGGAGGGGTAAAAAAAAGCTTTCCGCAGGTATTTCTTCCAAACGCTTTACACCAAAAGCCTGCTATCGCAGAGTATGCTCAATCCTGCTTGGTAAAGCTTGGTTTCCATAAATTTCCAGATTAACCAGGCGTTCTTTATTCTTATACTTCAGTTGTATCCAGGTGACTGTGATCGCCTCTAACAATAAAGCAATTCGTTTGGTTCGTATCAGTGATTCGATAGTTAACATTCGGCGCCTCTTCGCAGACGTTACTAACCGCGGGGCTTGATTACGTTTGCAGCGCAGGCTATATTTTCACTAAAAGCCCATTAAAAACACGCTTGCTGCTGTTTTAAGCGACGAGGACATTGTGAGGGTCATTCATCTATTATTTCGTCTGAAAGATTCGTAGCGCCCTTACTCCTCCCAAATTGACAGATCATACCAAGCTCTGTTTCTTTTTTCATTTTTAGAGCCTTATCCAAAGTTCACCAGTTAGCAACAGATCATGATATGGTGTCCAAAACGGATGAAGCAGAAGAGAACGATAAACCCATAAAGAAATCTGACATTGACCAACTGATCACCGCAATTCCAGGCAGACAAGTCTCCCAGAAATTGGAAGAGCGGTGGTCAGAGACGGTGGAGGCTGGAAAAAATATAAATTGTCCTTGTAAGGTAACTATCTCAGGTCCAAAAGTAGGTTGAGTTTGATCGTCCGGGTGAACGTAGTCCTGAACAGGACTGTTGTTGTTGACAGTGACTGACGTGTCAACAACCTGTGCGGTAGTCATCTTCAGAGTCAAAGTGAGTTGTATCGCGTCAGTTCATGGTATTATACTCTGGTTATTGATCTGATTGGTCAATTACGTCGCGATGTTATTGGTCGTCTGTCAGTTAAGCCGTGATGTTATTGGCTATGAAGACTCGTAATCAGTAATTGGCGCGTTTCGATCCGTCTATTGTCACAGTTAAACAGTCGTCTATTGTTAGTCAAATTGTCAGTTCTCCAGTCGTTCTCTCGTAGTTAGTTTTGCTTGATCTCGTCAATAAGTGGTTTGTACGGCGCTGGTAACTGTTGGCTACGATTCAGTGGCGTTTTTTCTAAGTTAGTAAACCAGCTTTCTTTTCCCTCTGGGAGTGACGTGTATCGATTTTTGATTGTTGTTGGTAGTGCTGTCATGTATGTGCTAACACTGTATTCTACCAAATATGGATTGTTTACCTTTTACATGTGCAAGGGTAAGCAAAATAGAAAGAACAGACGTTACGTCACGTTGCTATGGTAACGAATTTTTAGGTCGCAATGAACCTTGTTCCTGCAAAGATGGTAGGAAAAAAACGAAAAACAATTGACGTCTACTACTTTCCTGAGAATGATTGCACTTTAGGAACAACAAGATAGCCCATTCTTTTCATCCATCATTTGACAATGCAATTGGCCACCGCTGTCAAGAAAGATTGTTGAGATCCAGAAATTTTGCTACCATGGTAACATAACGTCGCAATTCTCCTCTCTATTGAGGATTCGTCCAGGAATCGCGTTTACCATTTTTACGTATTAGGAAAAATGGCCGCGAAGGCCCGGAACTGGTATTAAAGATGGCTTTGAAGAACAGGAACGCGAATTTCCGTTGACAACATTCCCTACGGAAAAACAGGCTGCCTTTTCAGATGTCCCGTTGCTCCCGGAAATCTTCCGCTAAGACGACCCAAAATGTCGAGTTCCATTAACTTTCTAACCTGAGCGGATGTTCCGAAAACTTTTTTTAAAAAATAGTAAACAACCATTATCAACGTTTCTTTCGAAGTTAGCACATTTTAATGAGAGTTGTCCTATAAACACGACTAGATTCTACTGGAGACACATGTAGATTCTCCACTAGGCTCCCCTATCTTTCATGATTCGTTCAGACCATGATGTGAACCCCTTGGCTCTTATGCGCTTGTCTTACCTAATATTTACAAAAACTATTTGATTAACTTTGTTGTAGAAGAGTCTTCTCTTTTGGCGAAGACGAAAAGTGCTGTTACACGGGACGATTCGCAACCACGATTGTTAGCGCAGCACAGTGTTGCAACATTGATTCGACATTGATATGAATGGTTACAACATTGTTCTAAAGCTCTGTGTTTCGCTAAAAGTCGTCGTTGTCTAAGTCTGCTTTGACGAAGATGGGTGGGACGATTCGTTACGACGATTGATAGGGCAACACAGTGTTACAACATTGATACGACATTGATTCGACTGGTCACAACATTGTTCCAACATTGTGAACGCCGTTTTGGCCCAAAGGTGGGTCGAAACGTCCCGTGTAACATCACCTTTGAGTATCGTTCATGAGGCGATTGTTTTGTAATTTACACTACTGATCTATTGCCGACCTGAGTTGTATTTGTAAAGACTTACATGCGAAGCTGTAACGTTAAAAATGACTAGAGACAATCAATGTTTCCTGGCGCAAATTTTGTCCTTTTTTAATCTATTTTTCCTAGGGCTGTTTGGAGAAGTTTCCGTCTATCTTCAGCGTCAAAGGTCATCTAAAAACCTGCGAGAAGGCTGTGTCTCATAAGTGCCTGGCATGCAGCAAAGTGTTTACGGGTTGGATCGTGGCACAGAATCACGTGAAACACTGGCACGTGGGATACACGGTAACTGCTTTTTTATATTCTAGAGAAGTTTTGAATAATAGAGAGTTTAAGCAGCGACCTTTTTGAGCGACGCACGTCAATCCGAAGTGAAATTTTTGCACACTTGAGTTGTGATATTGAACAAACCTTTGGACAAATCGTCTCTGTAAGAGTAAAGACACTTAGCCATACAAATTTGGTGGCGTCAAGGCATATTAAAAGAGAAAAAAAGCTGACTTCTGGTTGACGCGCGTCGCTCAAAAACGTCACGGTGCTGCTTCAAGCCTTCATGTGCGACCACCTCACGTAAACGACCATCCCCAATAAGCGAATACTAAAAAAAACACCAAAAGTCAAAAACACCAAAATTTTCTCGGTGAAATCCTTCTAGTTGAAACCTCTCTGTCGATATTGTAAACCACATTTACCCATATTGTAACCTAGAAAATACATGCAGTACATTCTCTTCAAAATGTAGATATGTCCGTACTTCTCCTCGTAAAATACCTTCTGTGAGTTCGACGACCGCTAACCCTTCGTATTGTGGGCGGTCGCTTACGGGAGGGTCGACTATTGAACCTCCATGTGCGACCATCTCTCGTAAGCATGAACGACCATCCAAAACACCAATTTTTTTCCCATCAAATCACAACAGCTGGAACCTCTCGTAAACGAATTCTTCTCTCAAGCGACCGCGGCCATTTTTAGATGAAAGTTTTAGAATTTTCCATTATTTTTTCCTCATGTAAACAACCACTTGAGACATGAATTGATGTCTATGTTTACTGTATGTACTACACTACTCAGAGTATTCATATCGTGAAATATAAATTATGTGCAATGAATGTCTTCCAAATAAAATATGTGTTTTCTAGGATGGGCTCCCTGTGATTCAACTGTCGTAAGCAACCACCTCCCGTCGGCGACCACTTAATCCTCACATTTTGAGTGGTCGCTTACGGAAGGTTTGACTGTATTACTTATGTAGCGAGTAATTAAAAGCAAGACAAAATAAAACGAACCCCAGGACTTACATTGTACAGATTTCCCAGGTACAGTTCAGTGGTATCCCGCAACGAAGGGTAGCACTTTATCATCTGATGGATCTAACTCTGTCTCCTACATGTCATTACTAATTTAAACAAGGTGAAACAAAGATCTACCCCTGAAGCCTATTTGTAGAGTTATTCACCAAGTGGCTAAAAGTTTGACCATTGAAGTAAGGAGAGCAAGAAAAGTCTGATTATAAAATAATGGTAGGCAGACAAAAAATTGTTGGCCAGAAAAGAAAAATATTTTGTGCATGAAGAGTTTGAAATAATGAAAATGGCTGCCCATCATCGCTATTGGATGTAATTTAAAGGTACACACGCACAGAACTTAAAATAAGAGTTCGATTTCGCCAATATTGCAAATAATGTCATTTTTGATGTTCTCCAAAAGTAAAGAAGGCTTAACTCTAAACTGAAACTTTAGCCTGCAGGAAAGGACAAATCTGACTCCAGCGATGCTGATTATGTAGTAATCAGTTCAGACGAGGACGACGAAGATGAAGACTGCGTTGAAATTGAGGAGGTAGAAGACAGTGGAAGCGACATACTGGAGGACTCTGACGAAGCCGAAGAGATTATTGTTTGGGATGACACCACAAAGAGGAACAGCAGATTTAAACTACAGCAGAGGAGGGAAAGTAAAAAAAACGCCAAACTCTATGTTAACTCTGTTGGAAATAGAAACAGCACAGCTTATAAGGCGACGGAAAAATGGTACGTTACAGTGTAATTATCTTCTTGAGATTCCCATTTCTAAGGTTATGTTCGCACGCCAAACCAGTACCTTCGCACCGGCTCTAAAATGACGTTGTGTTCACACCGTAACTGAGGACCTGTTTACATGGAGATGGGGGACCCCAGGTGGGTGAGGTAACCCGCTTTGGTGGGTTAACCCGCCTGTTCATATAATCCCTCATTTAAATTTGATCACGGTTACATGATAGGTGGGGTGAACCGCCGCATGTTACCTCACCTATCTGGGGTCCCCCACCTTCATGTAAACAGGCCCTAACTGTGTCAAGTTATCTTCATTTCGCCTAGTCAGGCATTACTTTGGGACGTAGCGTAGGAGTTATCGATATGCAAGGCAGTGAGTTGTCGCGAAACTAACGGAAAACGTGTGCTCACAGAGACCCAATGCCCAGTTTAGTGCTAGGGTACAATGCCTCGACTTGTGTTCATTTCTGAATTCTTGCCTGCGTAACAAGCGTTTCCGCGCGAGTTCGTGGAGAAAGTTAGGACGAGAGCAAAAAAGAGCAATAAAGGGGGAGGGGAGGGAGAGAAAAAAGCTTTTATTCCTCTTTACCCCACCCCCCTCCTCCTTTTAACTTCCATTTCTTTTGCTCACGCCCCAATTTTCGCGCAATAACTCGATTGGAAACGCTTGGTACGCAGGCCATTTGAATTTAGACGCGGGCACCTGAAAAAAGGGGTGTGTTCACATTTTTTCCTAGCGAGTAGCGTACTCGGGGCACTAAGGGTGAACAATGTTTATGCCATTTTGCTGGAGCTCGGTTTTTCACTATGTCAGTGGTTTGAATTGTTGTTTCTTTTCACACACACTGCAGGCGTAAGGATGCATTCAAACACAACGAGCTGTTCCCTAACTTGAGACCCTCCTCATCTTATTGGTCAGCGGTTGATTCCAGGTGAGCCGAGTTAGTTTTAGCAACCTTGATCCCAGGGTCTCCTTGTTTTCCAACATGGCGGCGGCGAAAAAGAAGATTACACGCTTGCGACGGGAGACTGCAATGGTAAAGATGTCTCTGAAAAAGTGTCTTCGCGCCCCCTCACACTTAATCAAAATCTCTCCAGCGTTGGTCTTCTTGTTTTGCAGTTAACACCCGCTGAGGATGCGCGCACAGCAAAAGAAATGCTCATACAACCGTGCCTCTCAGTCAATCAGGGCGAGCGCACTGTATTAGTTACTTTATGATACATGTGAGTGTTCCGATGGCAATGCATTGATCACAGATTCAACTGCAGAAAACAATCGCGATGTTTTCGCTAATTTTCGCTAGTACTGATCTTGTTCCGCTGTCCGTCTTGTTCATTGTTTTGAAATCAAGGATCGATATCACTTTCGTTAAGAACTAACTTCTTTTGTCTCCAGAGTCTGTCGCGTTTTAAAAGATTGTCATACTACTATCTATTCTTTCCACGTATTTATCTGCCGTAATGGAGTAGTATTTAGCACTTTGACTGATATTTTTGGCTTTTCTCTAATGACAGTGGGTTTAGTAGTTTATAAAGTAATACCCAAGAAACCATGTCGTAGCTTTATTTGATTTCTTAATTTTTAATTTAATGTTGTTTTAAAAGTGAAATAGATCAGTATGTGCCCAAAGCCTCCAAGTCACCACAGTTTGTGGTTCGACGGCCAAAACAGAAAGCAGGCGGAGAAGAACTAGTACAGCTGCCTTTATTTGGAAGCACGACCAAAAGTGATAGTAAGAGAATGCAGTAACAGTTACTTATAATTTGAAATGTAGCCTGCGTGGCTGGCGATTGCATTTGTCGAGCGCGCAGATGAGCACCGAAGTTGCGAGCAGAGTAAGGCGCGCGCCTCGTAGCCTGCATGACAGGCGCAAAAAAGGAGGAGGAGCGGGGAAGGGAGAAAAGCATGAAAGGAAAAACGTCCCTTACCCTCTCTCCCAATTCCCTCCCTTTTTTCCTTCCTTCCGTTCCCCTACCCGCCCTCCCTCCGTTTTTGACACCTGCCACGCTGGCTACGCGCTTTGCGCACGTTTTTGCAGCTTTTTCTTTTTCGTCAAACAAACAGCCAGCTAGGCAGGCTAATTAAAATTACACTTAGCATTCGGAGTGCAAAATTAGGCATTTAGAGATTGCGCGTGACAGTGAATCTTTTTGCTTTCGATTGCTCCGGAGGAGTCGTTTCGCTTCTCCAGTCTGCCATTTATAGGTCTGCCGTTAACCGCCTCAAACGCACTCAATCTCGCTTAATGGAATGCTCCTTTGTCTTCTATTCTTTTAATGTGGTCCGGAAACGCACCACAAATAACGGCTGCAAGAAGGCTCGATACGCCTAAATCAGTTTTAAACTTGTGAAGGAGAAATTTGAATTTCACTTTGCAGAAAATTGTAAAGACGCTCCCCATTGAAAAGGGAAAATAAACACCGAATCGTCTGTTAACGTTCATATCAAGACGATGTATTTTGTTGTTTTGGGTTTTTTGTTTTTGTTTTAAGGTTCAGTCTTTGGTGATGTGACTTTCAATGTTGGTGGACCTGTGTGGGCCATGGACTGGTGCCCAATTCCTGGTACGTTGGTAAACGATGCATTATAGTTTATTTTAACACTTTACGAACCTTTCTCTCTTTCCTTGACAGTTTCCTGTCAGGGACTGAGAGAAACAATCGACTTCAACTTTAGTTGATCCTATATTTAAACAATATTTAAACAAAGAAGCGGTCAACATTCACGCGCAGCGGCGCACTGTTAGTCTTTGATTCCATACAATTTTAAAGGCCGTTAAGACTTTTGGCGGGAAATAGTTTATTGTTGGATGTCATGTGATCACGAAGTAGCCAATGAGAGCACCTTCTTTGGAGGGAAATTCCAACGATGAATTGCAGTTAGCCCTAACCTTGCCCTCCCATGTTTTCTACCAAGGAGAAGCGATCCTGTATTTCTAGCAGGGGTCCCTTGGGTGTAATCGCATTTGCGTGTTGAACGATTCCTTCGCGTTATCGATCCTTGACTGGTAACTTGTTCCAGACCATTACAAAGAGCTCTGCCCTTCACATACTATATAAAGATTCCTCTTGTATAATTATGGATTTGTATTTTTAGCTCAAGTTGCTTTTTATGAACTCCTTCTTTTTAGATTCCAGAAATAGTGAAAGTCAGTTCCTGGCAATAAGCACTCACAGATCACTGGACCAGGTAATTTTTTGCACATAACACGCTCTCTAATGGGGAATATCACAAAGAGAATTCAAGAAAGTAGGAGAAAGCAGGGATGGGGGAAAAAGAGGAGGAAAGCCTGTAAACAAAGCAGAGCTTTCAATGCGTTTCTGCTGAGATAGACGCTTTAAGTGATCATAGCCTTAATATTGACAAGAGCTTTTAGTCTTTTCGTAGCTTAACGTTAGCTTCCTTAGCACGTCATTTTAACATTCTCTCTCACTAGGTACATTCTATACATAAGACCATTTCTAAGAAGGGACTCATACAGCTCTGGGATGTTGGGAAGTTAAAGGTCAATTCTGCAAGGTAAAACTTTATTTTTGAGCAAGCTGCTTTGTGCTTTGCCATTTTGCAGTGTGCCTCTTATAACATATACTGTGTCTTCTCTCTTAAATAGCGGGTCAGAAAGTTATGCCAGATATAAATGATGAAATTATAAATAAGACTGCCTTAGCTCCTTCAGGCATTCGATCACTGTATCGCGGAAAAACATTTGGCTGTCGGGAACAGTAAAATGAACGTCTGTGAAAAGTACGCCCAAATAAATTTCATGCTCAAAAAAACGATGACCTCACTTTCCTTTATGCTTGTAACTTAACTCTGTCATTGAAATCAGGTTTTCTCTATTTTTTTCCCCTCGTTTTGGTTGCTCACATTGGCATTGGTTGCATTTGTTCAGACATTTAAGAAGCTTGTCTATTGTTCTTTAATTATCCTTTTATTTACCACTTTTAATGTCTTTCAACAGTTCTGGGTCAGGTCCAACTTTGTCCCTTGGCATTGCACACAATTATGGTGCCATATGGGACCTCAGTTGGTGTCCGTCGGGGACATGGGAGCCTAAATTGTCTACTAAAAAGCAGGTATGGTATATAATTGTAAGTCAATGCTTTAACGGTAACATAAGTTGTTCCCGAAAGTTTGTAAAACCAATGCCCAAGGATGCAAAAAGTGCCTTCAGGTCAACGTGCGCCGCTCAAGAATGGCTTTGCTTGAACTCCCTAGTGTCTAACATCAAGCTACCCGGATATTTTTTGTCGCGAAATAGCATTATGATTTGTCGATTTACAAGTTTGCTTGCAACGTTTCAAATGTTGTTTTTTGCTTTGTTTTTCAGAATGAAGCCCTTTCGCGTTTAGGTTTGATGGCTGTGGCCTGCAGTGATGGCCTTGTTCGTATCCTCAGGTAAAATAAATAGAGAATCGATTAAATAAAGTTATTATTTCGCTCGGCAGAATTAATAGTGTTAATGCTAGTAGGGCCTAGAAAATGCCTGAAAAAAATAATTTAAATCAAACTTAATGGAGTTAAGATTTCCATCTGGACGGGTCTAAACCACTTGGTGATTTAGCGACAGAACGGGAACGTCATTTGACGACGGCAAAGCGCGCGAAAAGGACTAAACTCTGCTTCCGGTGCCCAGTTTGCCGCTCAGCTATTTTTCAAGGCAGTTGAATTTGAACTTGGGGTCGTCTAACGTTGCATTGCTGTTCTCCAGCGCTCTATACGATTTGGCGGGACGTACTGCCTCAGCCTCCTAAGATAATATAGTAAGCTAATATAGTATTAGGCGTATTGGAGGGTCTTTTGAGGTGTTTGTCGTAAGTGTGCGGTGAAATACATTAAAAGTCATTGACTTGAAAGCTGATGTTGTTAAAACGTTATCAGCACGCTATCTCCACGATTGCCTCTTCATGCTTCAACGATGTGTATCTACCATTGCTATAATGTTTGCTTTAACCTTTGCAGTATACCCTGGCCAACTGAGTTATTCTCGACGTTGTGTATGAAGCAGTCAAATGACCATACTTCTTATCCACCTGGTAAGTCTAAATCTTTTGTTCTTTGGGTTAGTGCTGTCTCCAGTTAAATTGTGTATCTACCGTGGGCAAACGTCTAAGGCGTTTTATTTTTAGTAGCTGGGATTCTATTCAAAAGTAAGTGTAAACATGGGCAAAGATGTATGAATTAATTTTTTATCGTAACTTTCTTTTCATTATTCTCAAAATTGTATTTTTTTTTTTGTTGAAAACGCTTTGTGCCTGAGTAAAATCATGCTGGAAAATGGCGCCGACAATAACACCAGCTTCTGTTTTCAACATTCAGAAGTTTTACGATAAACTTTTAAAACGTTTCGTAAGCTAACAGGGTATTGGTAATTTAGTAAAATCCAACTAATGGTCTATTATCAATGCTGCGTTTTGATTGGTTGAGCTACTGCTAGGCTATATGTCTGTTTTGAAAAGCAAAACAAACTGAATCGCGTTTTTAGCTTAAGTTGTTTTGTTTGACCATGACTAAAACAATTGTTTAAAAAGTTTAATAAACTAACAGGATATTGTTAAACTGTACGACAGTGAAATTAGCAAGCTCAGCTTTTAAGTACTTTTCTTTTTCAATTTACAGTCATAGTACATGCCGTCCCTCATGCTTTGTTAATGCCATGCGCCCTGGGCGTGGCCTATGATGGACAATGCGGCCAGGCCTGGTGTGTCAAGTGGATTCCTCACTCCATGCATGAAAAAATTGCAACGGGGTTTTCGGATGGTAAATATCATTTCTGTGATTAGCAAAGCAGTCCTTTTCAAACTTAACGGTTTTGAACTATCTTGATCCCAAAGTCTTGGAAGTTTTGGCTTCACCCTATCCTCCCAAGAATGCCAAAACATTTCGTTCGTTTTAGTTTGTTTTGAATTTTCATTGAAAATCGCAATGTGTATCTTAGAATAGGTAAGAATCACATGGGTCAATGAGCTGGCGATGTGGGATCCATGTGGGGTCAATGTAGGGCTGATGTTGGCTCCATGTAGGGTCGATAAAGGGTCGATGTAGAATCGATGTAAGGTCGATAATGTGAAGGAGGAGGAGGATGCACACGATCCACCCTTATCCACCTGACGTAGACCCCCAACCCTTCTACATACTACTCGCAGAAAAGTTACTCAGTAGCTTCCATCTAAAGGGTCCCACCGGATTATGTTGTTTGCAGACTCAAAACTTAGATCCCTTTTTCAGTTTGTATCCAAGTAAAACAGTACCACAGGAAGGTAGTACTCTTGAGTAGCTTTCATTTAAGTGGTCGTACTTTGAGATTTCGCCTGACTACCGCCGTAAATACTGTTCAATAAATTGAAGGGTCAGACGGCAGAATCTTAGAACCACATGCCATTTCTCCATGGGCATACCGAGCTCACTGCAGTGATTTGCTTGAGTGACCATCAAACAATAGTTTCCATGTGCGCAATTTCCAATGCCCAAAGCAACCTTCATTGATCAGCTTTGTAAGCCTGGCTTTATATTGTCCGTTTAGAGATCACAACATTTTCCACTTATTTTTATTTTGCTATGTCAGTTTCCACAATTCCGTGGGCAAATGAGTTGTAAGTTGAAGACATTAACATAAGTTGACTATAATTATCTAGCTCCACTAAGTTACAAAGCTAGCTGTCATGTGTTATGGCATTGTCTTTTCAGGAACTGTGGCAATCTGGAATCTTATGACAGAATCACGTTTGTTAAAAAGACAGAAGGATGATGACGGGAAGACGTTCTGTAAGTAACAGTTTTAGTAACTAGCAAGGACTTGTGTTAACTTTCATATCCCATTTGTGTTTTTTGGTAGAAAAGGAAGCAAATAGATCTATATATTTTTTTTTCGCTAAATAATTGTGTTTGGTTCAATTGTTGTCCAACGCAGGTCTGGCGCCTTTTCTCCATATTATAACAAACTCATCAGTCGTCAGAAGCCTGGCGTGGTGTCCAGAAAATCCAAATATTTTTGCCACAGGTAACAATAACTAATTTCCATTTTTGAAGCTGGTTTACACGCGTTGGATAGTGCTTTTCTATAACCTTTTAAATACTAAGATCAAAATTTGAATTCTCATTTGTTGCCCCTATTCATTTCCTACAGAATTAGTGGGAAGAAGAAAACAATAATATATCAAGCAAATTCATCGTTTGTGATCATGTCCGTAATTCTCATGACCACTCTGTTTTACAAAGCATTGATATTACAAGGAGAAATTTGATGCTGATCACTCTTAAGGCTTGAAGGGTTAACCAGTTAATTAAAAAGACGTTTTCAAAGCTAAGTTCGCATCGTAACCTTTTTCGATTTCTTTTGTCCCTTCATGAGTCATTTATAAGTTCAGATTATATAACATCAGGCGTGTTATATACACAGACTTTGCTATCGTCGGGTTTCTTTCCCAGGTAGTTACGATCGAGAGTACAAGGTATGGAATCTGACGAATCCATACATGCCCATTGTGACTTTCAGGCGAGGTTAGTATTTCTCTCGGAGTTTTTTATTTTCGTGTGGTTTCTTTTCTTCGTGCTTTTAAACACCTTGTCCTGTACATAGAGTCAGCTCTTTCCAAAAGAGACTGATTTTCCGTTTTAACGAGCCATCTGCCTCATAGATACAATGAGCAAATCGCTGAACTAGTTGTCCGCTTGATGAAGAATTCTGTCTTGTAGAAGTGTTGAGGAGGTTGTCTGGATTTTTGAATGCTTTTGTTTTACTTTAAGACTTATCTTTGCCTACTCAATGAAGATAATCTCGTTCAAAGTTTCTAAAAAAAATACTTTTCGCCGTGTGCGAAAGGAACCAATATTATCCTCGGCGTTTACTGTGTTTTTCACTGTTTTCGTCGGTTCTGTCATTCATTGTGTGTAAAAGAGTAAATGGATCACCAAAAATGGACGACCCCTTATTGCGTTTTGGTTGTTGTTGTTGTTGTTGTTGTTGTTTTTGTTGAATACCGTAAAATTCCGAAAATAAGCCCCGGGGCTTATATTTTTCAAAACTTTTGAGGGCTTAGGCGCTTATATTCAGGGCTTATCTACGGAAATTTGTGTTTCATTTTTCATTCTCATATAGTTGAAGTAAATGAACCGTTTTTCTTTTTTACTTTTGTATTTGAGGGCAATTTTCCAAGTACAAGCCCCTCTGTGCATATTTCCTCATTTGAAACGGAGGGTTTTTGCGAACCAGTTTGGGGCCTATTATATTTGGAGGGGCTTTTTGGAGGGCCTTGTTTTTGTTTTATATATATATTTGGCCATTAACAGTGTTTTAACGCTTATCTGTTGCAGCACACACAACTGAAATGTATTGGTCTGTTGTCTCCGAGACCGTTATGAGCAGCGAGGATGATTGCTATCAAAGTACAAGGCTCCCTTGTATCGTAAGAACCTTCAACTTTACAAACGAAAGATCCTTCGCCAAAACCTCTAAATCTACCATTCACAACAGCACAATCTGGGTACGTATGAAAATGTCACTGAAACAGGCCATTCCCGAGTACCAAGAACTCCCATTTTTAAAACGAGGCTAAGTGTTAAACCTTCCTTGTAAAAATTATTTTATTTGTTGAGAATAAAAATTCATTTTCATATCAATGGCTTTACACTTTGCCTCGTTTTGAAACAGAGGTTTGGGGGCAACTCAGGAATGGCCTATAGATTTACTGATAAACAGTAGTTAAACAATCATAGTTTCCATCTTTTGTACATGGCCTGGATCATAGAGTTTTGAATTGTCGATCATTCCCCTGTTGTTCAAATGTTGGATAGCCCTATCCATTGGGTGAATCACTATCCAGTGGATAAATATTAGAAAAACCGATTGCGCTATCCACTGGATATAGTGATTTATCCGATGGATAGCGGTATCCACCTTTTGAACAACTGGGGCCTGTTCTGTTCAGAGCAGAGGTGGTAAAACACGTGTTAGTCTTTGTAGATGAGGTCAACGAAGTTTCGGGCGAAAGGAGTTTTCTGGTTGGAAAATCGTGGAGCCTCTAACTAGAGCAAAATCACGGCTCAAAAATGCGAAAAGTCCAAGCCGTTCAACTGAAAAACGTCATTGGTTAAACTCCCTTTTGTCGACCACAACTTCCCACTACCCTAAAATCCAAAATATGGCCTGATCTCAGGATACTTTCCCCACCCATCCATGAGCAAAAGATCGATTCTTGCCTACTCCACCCACACCATGACTGAACCGTTTGGTTTCCCTACAAGCTTTGCGTCTTACTGTAGAGTTTTGACTTCCCTCCCACACAGTCTGTACATGTATCCGACTGGGCGAAGCTACTGGCCTGTGGAGATGCGTCCGGTGAAGTCGAAACGGTGAACCTCAGAAAGAAGCAAAGTGCCAAATTTGTAAGTAAATACCCTGTCTACTTACCGTAAGGTTCCGCTTTCAAACCCTCGGCTTATATATCAAGGAAGGGTTTTTGGACGGCTTATTACCGGAGGGGCTTATATCCGAGGGGGCATATAACGAGAATAGAAAAAGCGCTTCAGACAAACTATTCTTGGTTTGCAACCACGTGACAAGGCGGCCATGTAGGGGGTCAGTACAATAGAATTTTTTCTCGCAGAATTTACATGCAAATGAAGCCTAGTTCCCAGAGGAGAGTAATGCTTTTGTTCTTGACTAGCAACATGGCCGCCGTGACGTCACGTGCAAACCAGCAATAGTAGTGCTGATTAAAACAATGGCTCCAAACTGCTCTTTATCTTGGGACAGAATATGGTGTCTCTTCAAAGTGCTTTATTAATTGTATTGTATTTGTACTTTTAAACGTTGCCCTTGATACTTGGACCGTATTTTTACTTCTCCAACGTGCCTTTTAAATGAGCGCAGTCGTTTCTTCTTGAGTGCGCTTCTAAAGTACTGTTATAATTAGACCATCTCTGTACCCTTTTAAAAGTGCCCTCATTATTTGGACCTTACCCCTCAAGGTGTCCCTTATAGTTGGACAGTATGTTTATCTCTCCAAAGTGCCCTTTATACGTACCCCTCCAAATTGTTCTTGGTAATTATTTAAGTAATTATTTAAGTGCCCCTCCGAAGTGCTTTTTTGATATTTTCATCCTCCCCCTCTGGAATCGCCTTTTTTTATTAAGACAGTCAAGATCACACATGACGAAACACTGTTGCCTTTAAGTTATTATTAGTATTGTTTCTTTGTTTCTGCAGGGTATTTATAGAGTATACTTAGAAAAGCTTGATCAAGATGGCGGAAAAGAAGGAGGACAGGAAGAAGGCTCTCAGAACGAAGGTACACATATTGCAGGGACAGAGAGAGGGGATGCTGATAAGGACCGTGAAGGTGCCGGTAAAAAGCAAGTCACCAACCACTCTGAGGGGTCAAAAGAAAAAAACTCGGATACCTCCACTGATAAAGAAGTGAAAGATTTGTCTCTACCACGAACCACTGAAGAAACGTTCCAGCAGTACAAGCTTGTCTTTTACGATGTTAACACTGTAAGTTGCTTAGTGAAAAACGAAAGTAAACAGTCTGTTTTTGTATCCTCGGGAATTTTAAAATAGTTCATGAGGATATTAAATATTGTTGAATATTGGTACAAAGGTATATTGGTATGTTTTGTAGACGATTTGGTGATTATCGAGTATCGTTAAAGTGAGACTTGATAGAAACCTCACTTCTTTCCAATTAAAAATTGTGCTCTAGTGGACAGGAGTTGTAGCGATTAAGTTTGAAAGAGCGCGACAACACTTTTCTAGTGACGGCTTTAACGCTGTCGTCGTCGCATCTGCCTTAACTCCCTACTTAAACCTTCTTACATACCTCGAAATGGTAACTAGAGCTTTGCCAACATGAACGTAGCACACCAGCTACCGGGTTTCCAGAGCCACTTTTACACAGAAGGCCATTTTCGTCCCCAGCCAGTTCGTGCTATCCGAGTAAGTGGAGGAGGCTTGGAACTGAGCGCGATTAACAACCAAAAACAACCGAGGAATATTGGGAACGAGGCTGATGAAAGGTATCTTTTTCCTTTAACAGATTGAGTTTGCAGATATCGCCGACAAATCCGATCCGGAAGTGAAGCGTCATTTAGACGTCAACTTACTGCAGTCTGCCCCTTACAATAACTTTACCAATCCTCAAGCGATTCTCAAGGTACGTAGGACTACATCAATTACATTACTCAGTGTCTTGTAACGCAATCTTCCTAAACAGAACTTGTGTGTCACGTCATTCGTCTTTTTGTTATGTACTTTGATTTGGCCTTGTTTGTTTTTCGAACGAAATGCGATTCTCAAGGTAAGTAGGACGATATCGATTACATTACTCAGTTTGTCTTGTAACGCAATCTTCCTAAACAGAACTTGTGTGTCACGTCATTCATCTTTTTGTCATGTACTTTGATTTGGCATTGTTTGTTTTTCGAACGAAGTGCAAACAGACAAAGCAACAAATATTCTTTAATGTATTGGTATATTGCTGGATAAGCCAAATCATGATATCCTGTGTGGTAATAAATGAGTAAAATCACTTGCTTTTTCTGATGTCTGTGTCTATAATACCAGAAACTCAGAAGGGGTTGATTCAACTCCTTAAGAGTTTCTGATGAAACCTTGTCAAGAAAGTGTTAACGCGCTTAAGTACACTTCGTCAATTGTCCGTGTAAAATGGTTTTCTGATTTCTAACGAGTCAATTGAAATAACTGAAGAGCTACCGGAACGAAAACGCAAGCGTTCGTTTTAGAAAGGTGTCTGTCTTGTCGAGTTGCCCTTTGATAGACAGAAAACTGTTCCTTTAAAATCCTGTTCAATCCACAAGAGCATATGTACATAACTTATAAATAGAGAAAAAAGCAAATTCCCTTGAAAAGATCATGTGGTCCGCATTAAGAAAACAAAACGTACAATGCGAGAAGGTCTATTTCAGTGGTAAATCCAGAGGAGGGGCGAGGCCCCCCTTTATTTTTAGACCAAACTGAGGCCCGAAAAAACGTTTTTAGACCGCCCCCCGCCTTATCTCAGGGTCTTATCCCCCCCCCCGCCCTGTCACCTGAAGGCCTGGATTCGCCACTGTATTTAACCACAAAGTTTTGCTGTCCCGTTAGGTTCGCTTCAATCCTAACAAACAAGCTTTCACCTGGCTTGCGTCTGGAGGGGCTGCAGGTCTTGCCAGACTTCACCTTGTAAAGCAGTTAAAAGACGCGTGACGGCAAGTACTTAACAAGAGATTTCTATTGTGTGCCTGTGGATGGAAATCTTTTACCAATAATGACAGCCCACGCGAGTGAATGCTCGCGATTGCAAGTATCAAACTTCCTCTCGCTCTAAGATCGAATAAAGAGGATCTGGGCACATGTGCCCCTTATATGGTCATCACCGGTATCGGTTCAACATCGGCATCGTCGTCGTCATTAGCAACACTTTCGGAAGCAATTGTCCAATAAGACAACTCACCTTCTTGCCTTGAGGGTGTTTCGTGCCTTTGAGCAAATTTACGACTAGCGGTTTGCCCTATGAGTCCATCTTGTGACCATTTCTGTTGAGGGGCAGATCAGTTATTGCAGCATTTTTATTATAATTATTTTTTTGGAGAGAACTCCTATTTTATGCAGATAATTTATTTCTCTTGGATATTACATGCAGAGACGAAACGTTATTTAAACATTCCAGAGTGAAAGTTCTACGGTTTACAAAGTATACAATACACATTTTGAAACAAGTTGAGGGGGCACTCTGGTTGTTTTGGGGGGAAATGATGTCGATTTGAGAAGGAAAGAAATTAGCGTAGAAATTAAGGGTACACACATATTAATAATTAATAATAATTCTGTTCTTTATCCTCGGCAATATTTATTATACCACTAATGCTAGTGGGACCAAGCAAATGCCTGAAGCAAATAATCTAATTCAAACAACAGGGTTAAAAATCCCACTGACTGGTGGGAAGCGAACCAGTTGGCTATGTACAAGCATGGCCGAGGGTTTGAACTCGGGACTACCGAGAACAAATCCTTCTAACAGTGAGAGCTGGACTTGAACTCTAGGCATCCGAATTGCAAGTCCAGCTCGGCCACGTTGCCTCCTCACACAAACCGGCAGTTAGTCGGCTAATGAGCTCAGAGGCAACTTGTTGTGGTCGTGGACTATGTGGTATTTCTCTACTGACTAATTATCCACGGCACTTCATATTTCAATTTTTAACAACCCTCAAATACAACGGTTTAAAAATTCCCCCTCCCCTAATTTTTATTCACAGGCCTTCGGGGCAATACATGGAATCGTTGATTATAGTGTCGAGTTCTACATTTTTTGGTCTTGACTGAGCGAAAGCGTTAATGCGATTCTCTTCAAAGGAAACTGTTTTTCGTCAATCACGTTATGGTTTTGGGAGACCTCACGTGCAGGTTTCACTCTAATAAATCTTAACATTCGCATTATTTTACCCCCCCAAAATTAATAAATTCCTCCTTAGGCCTTTGAAACCCATAATATTGACCTTTATACAGCTAGCCTAATACCGCCATGAGAAATCTTTCGTTTTGTATTATTCTGCAGAAAGTTTTAACAATTTCCCTTTAGGCCTTCAAGAGCCACGATGCTCACTGCTAACCGAAACAGTGAAAGCCTACCATTGAGAGCGTCTAGTACACTTTTATTTAGTGACACAATAACGGAGATAATAGGTTGGTGGTTTAACTAGTCTGTACACGTAAAACAGTCCACAGTTCCTGACTTCGATTGTTATCGCCCAGTAGCAGCAATTGTTGTTCCAATGAAAACAGACACGTCTGTCGACAATGCCCTCCTGGGGGGTGGGGTGTGTGCCATTCAGCCATCCTGGCACATGCGTGTTGCACTTTTTTTTAGACACGCACGTGGTGGGCATTTTGGTGCCTGCAGTGCTATTAAAGCGGTACCACGCTGTAACCAATGCGTTGTCAGATCTCTTTATCGAGCCAACTTGTGAAGCCAACACGCTGCGGTCGGTCTCGTTGTTCAGAGTGTAAGAGCTGCATTCAGAACCTGTACATATTGAATGTATAACATTCTAGGGTTTATTCACTGCATCAAATAACTGACGTAATAAGGAGATGTGGGAAGGGATCCAGCGACGTTTGCTGCTGGACACTAAATAAACAGTAAATATGAATCCAGTATAATTACTGTGAATCTTCCCGCAACTGTCTAGTTCCGACACACCAATGCTTTCGACTAAAATATGCGGCAAGACGAACTCTCGTGATATAAAGCTCAACAAAAGCATGATAATTTAGGCCATCTCGTTCTAAGCTTAATTGTAGTAGTTTTCACCTATGAATAAGTCGACTTACCGAGAGGAATCTCGCATCGTGGGCCTGTAAAATATGCCGAGCATGCGCAAGTGTAACCATTCAAAATGTTGGCGCACGTTGCCCCATACAGACATGGATTGCTGGAACACATGTTTGTACCTTCAGGGAAAATAAAACAATAATTTTACGCTCTTTGCTTGTTAAGAGTTGTATCAAAGTACCATTCACTGAATTTGAGCTCTTAATATATTCTTGTAACTTAACATGAAAATTGAAAGGAATTAATTGCGCTCCTACCCAGTTCGCATCTCTGTCCGCTCCATGACAACTTACATGAACAGACGGAAGTTTCTTTTTCGTTGTCAAAGAAACAAGAACCTCCGTTAAGGCACCCGGTAACCCGACAGCCAAGCTGAAGAAAATAAAACAAATAAACAAAAGCACACATAAATGATATCTCTTTGAAGCTATGATTCAACCCTAACTGAATAATTTTTTAGTGGTATGATATAACCATTGATCTAAACGATCTTTTACGATCCGTCCCACCCCCAGAAGGAACGAAACGGGCTGAAACAGATGCACCTCTACCCCTCCCCGCCCCCCTCCCCTGGGTCCAGAACTAATGTTGCCAGGGGGATGGCAAAGGATAGATCTGAACCATGCATAATAAAGTGGTTACACGAGACACTTTTACCCAACCTCGTCCCGAGAAAACCCTGGGGACGAGGTTGACTTTTACCGTGGTAAATGATCCTTTTACCTCAGGAAACTGGCGTGTTAAGTATGACCGGACGTTCCCGAGATAAATTTACCAAGGGAAATACTCATGGTTACGTCAAAAAGAAGAAGAAACCGCCCATGACATTTAACGTGGTAAATCTAGCTAAGGTTTTTCGATATCCCAGGCGATGGAGCCCATTATTTTTTTTAACGGTTTCTTTCGCGCTGTTTTACCTGGGAGATATTTTACCTGGGAAACAAATTACCAACAACAATTGACATGGGTAGAACAGTTTCGAAGAAACCGTCGATTTCGTTTCCCTTTGCCTTAGTAAGAACTATACCGCCCTCGTTGTAAAGTGACTCACACGCCGTAGTCAAATTTCAAGTAAATTGTGAGAGATGTAAAGCTCCTTTAAGGAAGAGGACAAGGCAACATCGGTACGTTAACATCTTACATGGCTTCAAAATTAGAGTACCCAGGAGGAACTTGTATACTATGTTCTTGCCTCCAAGACGAAACTACAGTTTTGGCTGAGCAAATTAATCAAAGGTAAACAAAAATCACAAGGGCCTCCAGATTCAGTTTACTAGGATAGGGTATATAAATCAGAACATTTGGGTCTAGAATAGGGTATCATTTTTCAGCAAACTGATCAGTTGGTTAATTTTATCTGTCCTAGGCCAGGACAAGATCTTCAAACTGCAAAATTTTTCTCACTAAGGGTTCGTGCATGTCATTCAGGATAGTGATCTTCAAACTGTTTATTCGGTCAAAACAATTATTATAGCGCTTTTCATAACTACCTACCTTCAGAAACGTTGTAAATGCTGTACCGGGCTGATCCGTAAGCTTGGTATCATCGTTTATTGCGTTGAAATCGTGCTTATTCAGCTCGCAATTGCTTTCACTGCCCTTCCAAAAAGACTCTTTGAAGTTTGTCGAAGTACACCAAGAGTGCTTCAAACATAACTGACTACACGACATCAGACTCGGAGAATCAATATTCTTGACCGCTTTTCCGGATAACCGCTTATTTTGCCAACTTACGGTGTAGACAGATCTAAAGATCTCTTCGGTTGTGAAAACTGCAGCGATCCGAAAGATGCAGTATATGACGATTGGCCAATTCATTTTTTTTTTCTGGAACACGACCTTCCAAGTTGACGATGGTCATCCAAAAATGTTCCCCGTGATCTGCGTGTTGGAATTTGTAAGGCAGAATTCAGGCCACCCACCGACTGTTTTCTTTAAAACATCTGTTCGGAGAAGCAAATATTGCGTAGAATTTTCTATTACTTGAGAACGGCTAATAATTTCGAGACGACCATACCATTCATGAACAATTTTCGAAGCTTATCTAATAAATTCCCTATGATTTTCCGAATTTTAACTTTTCACATCTCGCTTCCCAGGATATTTTTCGTACAAAAAAGGAAACCTAAAATTTTCGGAATCAAAGAGATGTGAAAGATTCAAAGAGATGTGACGGAAAGAGGAATCAGAAAAATTCTCACTTTCGTAATATGTTAAATTGCATTTAAAATTTGCGGGAAAATAATACTGAAGCTCTTGTAATTTCGAAAAGACTCAAGTTCCCCCTCGGATAACCGAACAGATACAAATTCTATAGGCGGCGTCGCTTAGAATACATCTCTAGAGATCTAAAAGTACTCTGGAAAACCTAAAAAGTGTTTTTAGTGTACTTAGGAGGAAACCGTCGTTGGGTACCCCCTGAGAATTCTTAAGGTTGTTGAGTAGATATATCAGCATTTGAATTATAGAAAAAGATGAAATTATTGTAACAGTGAAATTTAATGGCGCGCTTTTCCTCAATGGATAAAGAATTTTAGTCTGTATCCTCGTCACGAGCAAGTTCCAAAATGAGGACATGTACAATCACAGGTCCCGAGAAAATTCAGATTTTGAATCAAGGAAATAAAATCGGAAACGTCTGAAATGGAAAGTTACTAAGAATCTACTTTAACAATTTGTCGGTCTTATCATGGGACCTTGTGTTAATAATTTACGTAATAAATTATTAAGATGCGTTTATTTATTTCTCAAAAATCGGCACGGTGACCTTGGTCTGTGATCTTGAACAGACAAGTGCGTTATTGCAGTCATTAAGGTTATGGTTGAGAGAATTTGGGGAAACTGTAGTACCAACAACTTAGAAAAGCTAATTGTTATAAATACCCATTCTTGGATCACTCTTTATAGTCGAATGTTAAAAAATCGTCTGATACGAATCGATTTAGAGATACATTTTGAAACAAAAATCAACGATTTAAAAGAAATTTGACGTTTCGATGCCTTCGTGCCATCTAATCAAAAAGTAAGAAATTCAAAACATGATCGGCGTGGCATGTTATCGGTCAATCTCTTCGAGACAACATATAGACTCAACAGCTATTATGGCCCTTGATAGACTCTATTGTCCTTAAACTCTTTTTAATATTCGTTAAATAATTTAATCCTCCTTATACTATGCGAGATATTTTTAGCTCGGTTGAGAGAGTAAATTCTAGAAATTCACGCAGCTCGTCAAAGGACGTATTTTGTAAGACCCACTGGGCATCATATAAGAGTCGAGGACAGGTGGAATGGCTTAGAAACCTTTTTTAACTTTTCTTCTGTCAATTTAAAAAAATATGTTGGTCTTCCAAAAATCCTCAATTTCATCAATTAACCCTTTAAACCCTAAGATCAAAATTTGAATTCTCATTTGTTGCCCCTATTCATTTCCTACAGAAGTAGTGGGGAGAAGTTGATAAAATATCAAGCAAATTCATCTTGTTTGATCATGTGCTCAATTCTCATAACCACTATGTTTAACAAAGCATTGATATTATAAGGAGAAATTTGATGCTGATCACTCTCAGGGCTTAAAGGGTTAATAAAAAGCTTGTTTTCCGGTATTGAATTATTATTTTTTTAGTAAGACGCAGCTCACGTGGAGTAGAGAAGTAATTTTGAAGAAAGTGAAACCTGTTTTTATTATCTACTCTTTTTCCTTTCAACCGTGACAACAAAGGAAACTGATAAAAAATAGAAAAGCTGACGAGTTTTTTAAAAGACTTCTGTTGGTCTGGAGGAAAAAGGTCACAAGTTATGGGGTAGTCTATCTTCTTATGTGTTTATTGTGAAGCTGTAAATTGATGTTATGAGATTTCAGGAACTTTTCACTTTTAAGCAAATCTAAATTATGCAAATTATGCCTCGTGACTTTGCACGGGCACAAAGTCTTAAAAACGTCAAAAATGAAACCGTTCGTAGTAGAAGTTGCTTAAGTTAATCGACACATCATTTAATTTCAATATAATGAACTCCAATACTATGTTTGACAACATTTGGTTATGTATTTGCTTTTGAAGATAAACGGTTTTCTTGACTAGTACCTAGTCACCAGTATATCAGACCTTTCTATTACTATATCCTAACATTGTCAAGCATAGAAATGTTATTCCTAATGGCCTTAAAACTCTATGCAACCAGTAGAAAAAATAAGGCCACAAGAAAAAAATGAGCATTTTTCCTCAGAGCTTTTTAAGCCGTGACTTGTCACGTGACATCATTTGCATATTTTTTGCTGGCTAATTTGACTCGAGTAACATTGTATGTGTCTCACAAAGTTTCACGCTGCTACCTCAAAGGCTTCCAAAGATAGACTACTAACTCTGTCACTGAACAACCAGGGACCCATTAATTAAAAAGAATGACTTGAGTTGCATCAGCTGCACAATATTAACCATTAGCCGTAAAAGTAAACACTCTATAGAGTGTTTCACTCACGTGGCCAGCATCTATGCAAATTCATTAGGACAAAAGAAAGCGTTTGCATAAGAAAAGAGTTCAACTCCCACAGGATTGGTTTGGGACACCAACATGGCCGCTGTTTCATTGTTTTGGGACACCAATATGGCCGCCGTGACGTCATGTGGAAACACTCTATTCGCCACTTTGGAAGCGAAAAAGAGAGTGGTTGGAGTTAACTCTCGCAAAGACATCTGGGACCGTCAGGGAGACAGGGAAAAAAATTGACCAATAGCTGACCGGCGCGTCTCCATAACCGATCCCAGAAGTCTTTGCGAAAGCGTACTCGGTCCAGTCTCCTTTTAGTTTCTGAAGTGGCGAATTGAAACCGCGTATAATCTGCTCCTGACGCTCTCAATTAGTGACACAATAACGGAGATGACAGCTTGGTGGGTTAACTAGTCTGTACACATAAAACAGCCCACAGTTTCTGACTTTGATGGTTGTGTCCCAGTTGCAGCAATTGCTGTTCCAATGAAAACACACACGTCTGTTGACGATGCTTTCCTGGGGGGTGGGGTGTGTGCCATTCAGCCATCCGGTCGCATGTGTGTTGCACTTGTATCTAGACACGCACGTGGTGGGCATCCTGGTACCTGCAGTGCTGTTAAAGCGGTACCACCCTGTAACCAATCCCCAGTCACATTTGATAGAGCCAACTTGTGACGCCAACACGCCACGGTCGGTTTCGTTGTTCAGAGTGTACGAGCTGCATTCAGAACCTATAAACATTTAATGTAACAGAGCAGGTAGATTGACCAAAGACAAAGTAGCGTCAATAAGGAACGCGAAAGCGGGCTGAAAAGATTGACTTCTCACAGGCTCTTTGCAGTTAGTCATTCACGTGGTACAAGACCACCATGCTGGAGACTGAGAAGGCACGCCCTGGACAAGACAAACAAAGGCAATTTACATTTTTATGATGTGAGTGTGTCCCTTGTTGGTCTTGTACCAAGTAAATGACTAACTGCCAAGAGCCTCTTTGCAACCCCGCTATTGGTCGCGCCGGTTTTTAGCTTTGCGCATGTCTTGGTCACTGTCTTTGCTTTAAATCTGCCTAATTAAGTATGTAAGCGGCGTAGTGCACGTATGAAGTGGGTCGCAAGTTTCCAGCAGCGCCAGATCCCATGAATGAGTCAAACTGTACAACAAACCGCAGACTTTTATTTATTGCGGATGACCAGAGGAGCCTGCAATCCTAGTTTCCAGGTCGCTATTCCACATGAGCGGCTCGAATGTGGCCAGAATGAGCCAGCATTTGTTTGGACTTCCACCAAAAATGAACGAAATTTATGGAGGGCAATCTGTCACTCGCGTTATCTTTCTCTCATGGGAAACTTACACAGTTAAAGCACAGCGTTGGAACAAGAGCGTTTACATTGAGCTCGCCCTCACTCCCTTTAAACCTTTGTTTTAAGGCATACATCTTCCAGAACTCATTTTCACGGCAAAAACCCAAGAGTGGGTAGCCGGTACCACTTTGCTTGTATGAAAAGGTTTTAAGGCGTATTTTCAATTCTCCTCAATAGAACTATTTCCAAGAAGATTACCTCTCAAAATGTCAGATTAAACAAACAACTCTTTTTGCTCTGATTTTGTGATAGTCATCATGGCGGTGTAGCAACCTCGCAACGTGTGCCCGTGAAATTTGCTGAGCATGCGCAAGTGTAACCATTCAGAATGTGGGTGCACGTTGCCCCATACAGACATGGATTGCTGGAACATTTCTTTGTTTCTTCAAGGAAAATAAATATAGTCATAACTTTACCCTCTTTGCTTGTAAGGTGATGTACCAAGAAAACATTTCTAAAATCGCCAGCAACTGGAAAAAACAACTGCATCTGACTTCGCTTCAGTGCTCTGATTAAATACAAGATTTTTTAAAACAAGTATTTCAGTTCAGAAGAATAAGAAAAGATTTTGTGAAATATTTTACGAGTATGATACCACGCCCACGAAAAATGCCCTAAAATCGATTTAGAATGTTTTTTTAGAATATATATATTGAAAAGGGGGACTTTTCAGCGGTTGCTAAACATTATCATAAAGTCACCAATGCTCTGAAGATTCCCTCAAATACCGAGTATTTTGGAATAATAGTACCATAATTTATTTTGAAAAATAACTATAAGCTTTTCTTTAAAAACGTTTTGAGCTTTGCCCAATTTTTTTTTCTTAATAAAAATAACATTTTGCAAAATTACTTGTGAGCTTACCAAGATCGCATCTTTCTCCAGTCCATGGAAATTGGCATGAGCAGCGGAAAGTTTCGTTTTCGTTGTCAAAGAAACAAGAACCTCCGTTACGGCACCCGGTCATTAGACAACCCTAAAAAAAAGTAAAAATGTTACCGCACAAATGTCGATCTATTTTTAGTCGAGACCGAATCTGCAGATATTACTTCGAGTCACTTACTTTCTCAGTAACTGAGGGAATTGACTTCCTGTAAGCCCATGCCCGGGATTACAGGAAGTAACAACGTCCCTTCCCCGGGATTCTACAATATCAAATAAAAAAAAAAGATGTTTCCTGTAAATATAGATGACAATATTTGTTTCAGTAGTATAATATAAACACAGATTACTAAAGAATAACTTATAAAGGGAGAAAAATGAGAAGTTATCACTGATTTGTCGCCCACCGGGGACAAGACTGCCCAGTCACCGGGGCCAAACTATATTTACAGGAAACATCTTTTTTTTTAATTTGATATTGTAGAATCCCGGGGAAGGGACGTTGTTACTTCCTGTAATCCCGGGCTGGCAAAAGGTAAATTTGAACCATACATAATCCATAATTAATAATGCTTTATGAAAGGCACTTAGCTGAGATGTTTTGACAGAGAAACGTATTTCCTGAGTTACTAACGACAGCTGACAATGGCACAATATCTTCAAGTTTGAATATTCTCTGAAGTAACAGTTACAGAATAAAACGCTAGTTCGTTTCTCTTTGGCCTACTTTTAAATAGAATTATATGCACTCCTTGTAAAGTGACTAACACGCCATAGTCACTGACAGTCAGTGAATTGTGTTCATAACGAACGGGCGTGAAGGCAAGGCAACATCCATAACATTTTAGCGTGGTCAAACCTAAGTACCTAAAAAGAACTGACTATGATCCGTCCTCCTCTACGAAAATTCCCTTGTGGTTGATCTGATTTACTGTATTTATGTTTTTCTTTAAAGAAAGCCGAAACGGAACGAAAACGAAAGACAGAACGAACGAAACAGAACCATGCCCCTAGATTTCCGAAGCCTTCCTAACTTTGAATTTGTTGCCCGTCTACCTCTTGACACTGTTTTCTACCCAAGCAAAGACATATATATTGCAGCAACAGCTGCATTTTCGTACCTTAAGAAACATAGTGAAAGTCGTGCCCTGTTCATCCTTGAGCTTTGATTCATCCCTTATTGGAGAGATCTCGTGCTTGTTCAGTTCACAATTACCTTTACTGCTCTTGCCAAAAGACTCTTTAAAGTTTGTCGAAGTGCACCAAGAGTGCTTCAAACACGACTGACTGCATGACATCAGACCAGGCGTATCAATATTTTTGACCGCTTTGCCGGCTAAGTGCTTATTTTGCCGACTTGTGGTGTAGACAGATCTAAAGTTCTCTTCGGCTGCAAAAACAGGGGCAGCGGTTATGAAGTACATGACCAGAGGCAAAATCATTTTTCTGGTGCTTTTTCTATCAAGTTGATGCTCACCCTAGAGTTCTGCCCTTATCTGCGGAAGTTGTAAGCCGACTCATATGCCCTTGGATATAATTTGTCAAATTTATGCATCAGTCAATTCCAGCTGCGCCCGGCGCCCCCCCCACGGGCTGACCCCCGGGCATTAGCATTTTTTTGGCCTTGGATGGCAAATTCCCGGGGGTGGGGACTCGTGAGCTGTCAAATCCCCCGGGGTGGGGACGAAAAAAGAGCGCAAATGCCCCGTCCTCTGTCAGCTCGCACAGTCAAATGGTGCCATTTAAGCATTTTAAAGTGCGATTTTTCGTTTCAGTTAACGTCTTCCTTTGTAATAGCGCTAGGATTCTAATTAAGACTGAACGCCACGACGACACCAGTTTATAGTTTTAGTATTGTTATAAAATTATTTGATTGTCGTTTTTCTCTCTACTGTAACATTTTTTTTGTAGGTAATTAGTTTATATCATCTTATATCTATGTTAAACCATACATTTGTCTAGTTCTACTTTTTCTCTTGTTGTAGTCGTATATTACTGATTAGGCATTGTTTTTATGTGTATTTTTTATTGTTGTGAAGGCCGTAAGTTAGGCAACTATTGGGTTATTACGTCACCTTCGTTAAATAAAGAATATATATTGTAAAGAATAAAGAATATATATATATATATTATATATATTGACATTAAAATTAATAGAGCGCTATAAAGTTATATGTTATGTGGAATAGTTTTATAAATATGGAAGGATGATCTTCAAATAACGAATATCAACAGAAATGGGATTCAATTAAAGCTTAACTAAAGAACGTTGATTCACGTCCTGATAGCTCCCAATTTTGCCATGTGATTCTGGCTTAAGCAATGAAAAAGTGCATGCATGAAATCGAGGACATTAGTCTTTACAACCCTCTTCAATTTTTTCCTGTCCTTGACAATTAAGCCAATATGCTTGCGATGCGGAAGATACAGTATATGACCACTGGCCAAATCATTTTTTTCTTGAACACGACCTTCCAAGTTGATGGTCATCCAAAAGTTGTCCCCGTTATGTGCGTTTGGGAATTTGTAAGGCAGAATTCTTAAGGTTGTTGAGTAGATATAAGTTAATTGAAATATGATTGCAGCTTCACAGACGCGTGAATGTTCTGTATCAGCGCCTGCATTTTGGTATAACAGTTATGACTGTGAAATTTAATGGCACGCTTTTCCTCAATGGAGAAAACATTTAGTCGGTATCCTCGTCGCGAGCAAGTCCCAAAATGAGGACACGTGCGGAGAAAATTCCGATTTTGAATCAAGGAGCTGAAATCGCGAACGTCTCAAGTCGCAAGTTACTAAGAATTTACTTCTTACAATTTCTTATCGTGGGACACTCGTATTAATAATTTACTTAACAAATTATTAAGATACCTTCATTTATTTCTCAAAAACTTAGGCATCTTCCTCGGCATGTTAACCTTGGAAGAATGATCTTTAAAGTGCTTTATTTCAGTCATTATCAGTAAACATTATGGTTGAAGAATTTGCGGAAACTGTAGTACCAACGACTAAAAAAAGCTAGCTAATTGCTATGCTGTTATAGATTCGCTCCTTTTCCGAATAAATGTTAATCAATCTTGAGGCGTGTTATCGGTCAATCTCTTCCAGACAACGTATGGACTCCTCAATAGGCCCTTTGCAGATAGCCATTCACGTGGTACAAAATTACCATGCTGGAGAGCAAAAGTCGCACTGAGACAATACAAACAAGGGAAATTACCATTTAAATTATGTATTCCTTTTCTTTGTCTTGTCCCAGTGTGACTTTTGCACTCCCGCATAGCGGTTTTGTACTACGTGAATGGCAAGCTGGGAAGGGCCCATTGTCTCTAAGCTTTAATTCGTTAAATAATTTAGCACCTCGTTATGCTATGCGAGATAGTTTTACCATTGTTGAGGGAGTGAATTCTAGAAATACACGCAGCCTATAAACGGACGTATTTTGTATACCGACTGGGCATCTGATTGAGACAGGTGGGATGGCTTAGAAACATTTACTTAACCATTTTTTTCTGTCAAAAATCCCCAGTCGATTTATTTACTTTTTACACGCTTGGTTTGTTATTATTTTTTTTTTTTAGTAAGACACAGTTCAGGCAGAATAGAGAAGCACTTTTGAACAAAATGAATCCTGTTTTTTAATTTAACTTTTTAGTTTCTCTTCAACTACACAACAATGGAAACTGATAAAAAAAAGTAGAAAAACTGACGACTTTAAAAAGACTTCTTTCAGTCTGGACGAAAATGTTCTCAAGTAAATTTAGGCATGGTCACACTGAGAGGATGGTCTATGTTCTTATGCATTTATTATGAAGCTGTATATTGATTAAAACATGAGATTTCTCAAAACTTTAAACTTTTGAGCAAATCTTTGTACGACCACAAAAAATGGCAACAGTTCGTAGTAGAAATTTCTTAACTCTATCGGTACAAGACGATTCATTTGCAATATAATGAACTTCAAAACTATGTTTGGCCGCATCTCAATATGCAGTTGCTTTTAAAGATAAACAGGTTTTTGGACTAGTACCCAGTCCCATTACAACTGTTCCTTTTATCAGACCTTCTCTTTACAATACCCTGACCTCGCCAAGCACAGAATTTATATTCCTAATGGGCTTAGAGTTGTAAGCCATCCGGGTAAAAATTGAGGCACAAGGAAAAGTGTGCCCATTTCAGTTAAGAGCTTCTTAAGCCGTGACGAGTCACGTGGCGTCATCTGCATTTTTTGGGTTAGCTAAGTTGACTCGAGTAACATTGTACGTGTCTGACAAAGTTTCACACTGCTACTTGAAAGGCTTCCAAAGATAGACTACTAACTTTTTGCACTGAACAACCAGGGGCCCATTAATTAAAAAAAGTGACTTCAGTTGCATCAGCTGCACAATATTAACCGTTAGCCGTAAAAGTAAACTCTCTATAGAGTGTTTTCACTCCCGTGGCCAGCATCTATGCAAATTCATTAGAACAAAAGAAAGTGTTTGCATAAGAAAAGAGTTCAACTCCCACAGGATTGGTTTGGGACACCAACATGGCCGCCGTTTCATTGTTTTGGAACACCAATATGGCCGCCGTGACGTCATGTGAAAACACTCTATTCGCCACTTTGGAAGCGAAAAAGAGAGTGGTTGGAGTTAACTCTCGTAAAGACATCTGGAACCGTCAAGGAGACAGGGAAAAAAATTGACCAATAGATGACCCGCGCGTCTCCATTAACAATCCCGGAAGTCTTTGAGAAAGCTTACTCGGTCCAGTTTCCTTGTAGTTTCTGAAGTGGCGAATTGAGACTGTGTATAATCTGCTCCTGACGCTCTCAATTAGTGACACAATAACGGAGTTGACATTGTGGTGATTTAACTAGTCTGTACACAAAAAACAGTCCACAGTTCCTGACTTTAATTGTTATCGACCAGTTGCAGCAGTTGCTGCTCCAATGAAAACACACACGTCTGTTGACGACGCCTTCCTGGGGGGTGGGGTGTACGCCATCCAGCCATCCGGTCGCATGCGTGTTGCACTTGTTTTTAGACACGCACGTGGTGGGCATTTTAGTGCCTGCAGTGCTGTTAAAGCGGTACCACGCTGTAACCAATGTCTTGTCGCATCTGTATATCGCACCAACTTGTGCAAATAACACGCTACGGTCGGTTTCGTTGTTCAGAGTGTAAGAGCTGCATTCAGAACCTATAAATGTTGAATATTAACAAAGCAGGAAGATTAAGCAAATACAAAGCAACGTCGGAACGAGAAAATGAAAGCGGGCGGGTGAATGTTCACAGGTTCTTTGCAGTTAGTCGTTCACGTGGTAGAATAGAGAATAGAATAGAAAACTTTATTAATGTGTCGGAGCCGTATAGCTTGGGAACAACCCCATACTAATTTGGGGACACAATTTATAATTAAGTAATTGGAATTACTTTTAAAATATGAAAGTAAAAAATATTTAAACTACGCACAATATATTGTACTCTAATGATAATCTAAAATAACTGAGAGAATTAAATGGTTATGATTTGCAGAGAGAACAGCTCTTACATTCATCATCTATCATTGAGCTTATATCACTTTTACGAATTCTACTTTTAAAGATGTTTAGAGTTTTCGCTGATGTCAAATCAGGAGGTAATTTTCGCCATAAGCTAGGCCCAAGGTACCTTAAATGATGTTTACCATATGTTACAGTATTATATCTAGGAATCGAGAAATCCGAATGAAATAGAGAAATAGATAACCATGCGGGAGAAAAGAGCACGAACAGGGTCAAGACAAACAAAGGAAATTTACAATATAAATGATGGGAGTGTGTCCCTTAGTGATCTTGTACCAAGTAAATGACTAACTGCAACTTGCGCCGGTTTTTAGCCTTGCGCACGCCTTCGTCACTAAGGTAGCGGTTGTCTTTGGTTTAAATCTGCCTATTTAAATGTGTAAGCGGCGAAGTGCACGTATAAACTGGGTCGCAAGTTTCCAGCAGTGTCAGATCCCTTAAATGAGTCAAACTGTATAACAAACCGCAGTCTTTTATTAATTGCGGTGACCAGAGGAGCACGCAATCCTAATCTCCAGGTCACTACTACACATGCGCAGCACTTATAAAGCTGCCAGTTTGGACTTACACTGAGAATGAATGATATTCTTAGAGGGTAATCTAATCACGCGCGTTTATTCTTCTATCTTGGGAAACTTGCGCAAAGCACAGCTTTGGAACAAGAGCGTTTACATAGGGCTCGCCCTCAAATTGTTACTAGTTTTTAAGGCATAATCTTCCAGAATTTATTTACACTGCAAAAAAGCTCAATAGTGAGGAAATCACAACTAACCCCTCCCCCCTCTCGGTACCACTTTTCTTCATAAGAAAAGGTTTTTAAGCTTTTTTTCAATTCGCCTCAATATCCTAGACAACTGTTTCCGAGAGGATTACCTCTCAAAATGTCAGACTAAACAAACAACTGTTTTTTGCTCTGATTTTGTGATAGTCATCATGGCGGTGTAAAAAAAACCTTACCTGTAGCAACCTCGCAACGCGGGCCTGAGAAGTGTGATGAGCATGTGCAGATGTAACCATTCAAAATGTTCGTGCACGTTGCCCCATTCAGACATGGATTGCTGGAACACATGTTTGTATCTGAAAGGAAGGGTTTCTAACAATTATACATTTCTCTTCATAAGAGGAATCATTCACTTATATCTTCAATTAAAGATCAAATTTGTAGATTTACCTTCCTGTAATGGTCTCAATTTATAGCAAGGATTAACTGCTGTCTACTCACCTCCTTCACAATGTATTCCACCGTGCCCTGCTACGCACCGGCAAGTGTACTGTCCCTCCCCCTGATAGTCACAGGTCCCTCCGTTTTGACATGGGTTTCCTGTGCACTCTACAACGACTTTGAACAAATTACAAATATATTGAAATTACTCTCTAATCCTTGTAGCAATCACAGATTAATAAAGTATAGTCGAGGCATTCAAACATAGGAAATTCTCTCTCCACCTTTTTTGTATACCTTTTTTGATGATTTTAATGTAATGAAATATACTCATCGTAGTATGTGTATAATAAGCTATTTTCTCCCTTGTCTCTAGACAGTCGCTTTCTTATTGATCGCGATGTTTCGACCGAGTACTTCTGGCTTTAATTAGTCAATACCGGTGTCACTTTGACCCTCGGGGGTACACACAAATTCATACTACTACCGTGGTACAAGGGGAGTTGATGAAACACCTCCCCGGAGGTTTTGATATGTTGCAGTATTTTGAAACGATCTTGCCTTCAGTGGAAAGCCTTGGATCTTCTCAACAAGACAAGGTATATTTTATGGATGGTGGCGCTGCTGGAGACCCGTGACGTCACCAACAATAGTTGCCATCTTGGATTTTACCAAGAATTATAAATCAGGTTAAAACCGCAAGAGATCGTAATTTTTTCTGCTTGACATGTAAATAACATATGAATAAGCACTTTGTATCATTTTAGCCACAATCTATAATTTTATTGTTGAAAGAAGCTGAGAAAACATGCATTTTCACTCAAAAATGGCTTCACCGCAGATGCTACTTACGACGTCATATCTCTTAACCATAGTAACTGACCACCTCTAAAACTTGTCTCAAAATGCGTGCGAGTTCCAGTGCCAGCGCAAGTGTCTATTCCCCTCATTCCAGGAACTATCAGGGGAATGGGTACAAGTCTTCGGCGCAATGATTTCTGGGATTGTTTCAGTGAATCGTTTTCAAGCTAACCCTTAACCTATCATATACGATAGGTTAAGGGTCAACTTGAAAACCATCGACCAATCATAACCAACGTTTTTCCACCCAATCAAACCCAGAAATCACTGCCTCCAAAGCTTGTACCCATTCTCTCTGGAGTTACTGAACTGGAAAATTACCTTCCTTTTCCATATCACAAAATGCACTGAAAGGTTGGTCTCCAAGCCCTCCCGAGTCCAACCAGTATCGTCCATTAGGCGCCAGGCCTTCGGAGGCGTCCTTAATTTCTTTACACGACGAAGCGGGAAGCAAAGATGTTGAACCTAGAAACGCTGTCAAAAGACATGAATTGCTGATATTGTAAACTGCTAAGAGATAAACAAAAGTGTTAATTGAAAATATTTCATGGTCGTGTTCGTCAAAAATCACGACTGAAATAAGGTCAGCAAATTAAACATAGATTGATTAATATAAGTGGTTCATCGAACTTTTGATACATTTGAAAAAAGGGCGAAGAGCTAACGGTTTACCGAGGTAAATGCTGCTTGGCGGCACACTTCAACAAAGGAAGACTTTCATTATATTTAATTATTATCGCCATGTGCATAAAGTAACCGTAAAATATAAACAGTTGGACACAATAAATAAAAACTGCGTCAAACTGTTTATATTTTAGTTTCAATAGCTAAAAAGGAATGAATAATGAATATTACTTTTCGCGTGCAAATTAAGATAACGTGAGCAAAAACTGTTGTTTACTTTTAGCAATGGCATTATCAGGCAAGATGAATGCCATGGAATAGGCATACACAGTGTTCTGAACAACTTCGGTTTGGTATAAAGCTAGCGCGAAGCAGCTCGAACAAAAAATTGGTTATGACTGCATAAAATTGTTTCGCTAGAAATATAGCGGCATCAGTCAAACTTGATTACCGTAAGGAGATATTTTACCAGCAGCAAAGAGAATCATAATTATGCAAACGAATCTTTTTATTTCGTTCGGGGGTAATTATTTCAGGTAGTAACTGCTTTCGATACAAGTGGCAACGGTTTTAACATGAAACAGAGGCCAAAACGTCCCATCGCATTGTTTTAATCAATTCTTCTTGCGTTGGGATGCCTTTCGGCTTCTCTTGCACCGAAAGCAAATAAATGAATCTTTGAGGATAGACTGGGCTTATCGCGTGAATTCTAGCCTCCAAAGCAGGCGTATTTTGCATTGCGAACGATTTGGACGTTGAAACTGACCTCTGTACCCCTGGGTCGCTCTTTCGTTAAAAAATAAATTAAAAATAAAACTGGACAACTCCCATACTTAGCTTATGCAACGGCGTAGATCAAGTTATTTTTAGCATCATGTTTGGGAACTTTTCCCGCAAAAATAGAAGCACCGTTCCTTATGCGCGCGCACACATCCATTCCAAGGTACGATAATTACAAAAAGAAGAAGTAAATGTTATCAAAACATCAGAAACACTTTTTTCTGGTGTCCGGCTTTTGGTGGCTTATTTTGATATTCAAAATTCGCCGGAAAATCTTTCTAAAAATAAACTGGTCTGTGAAAAAGTCGTTGTATAGGCGGCACAAGGGAGCTGCTTGCTCTGAGTTATAGGTTCCTGTCGAAAATGATGAAATAACCACAGCAAAAGTAGTTGTCTTTTGCCTGTATTTAATTTGGTGTTGTTAAAACGAAAATATAAATAATATTCAATAGGGTTTTCTAGCCAATGAAAATCTGTCTACTATCATTTTGTCATTATCTAAGATTGTTTGTTAGTTGTTTATTTGTTTGTTTGTTTGTTTACACGGTGAATGCGAGCCTCCTTTTGTAAGTCAGGGTCCAACTCCCTATAGAGGTATACACTCAAGAAAAGATTAAATCTCTGTTCAGCTCCAAGTTTACAAAAGCAATTTATGAATGTGCGAAAATTTCAACTCACCTCGAAATGGATTGTCCAAGTAAAATGCATTTCGTCTCAGAATAAAATTCAGTGGTAAAGTCGCAGAACGCGTTCTGTTGTTCAACTCGCACAAACTTCCCTCCCTGTAAAAGTTCAAGCTTTGACAAAGTTGGTCATCTTTGCACATGTAATAGCAGGTAAACATGTCCGACACGGCAGCGGATTTGTAGCTGTGCCTTTGAAGAAATGCTCCTTGAAAAGATGTCACGCATTTCTCACCACGTAATCCATAGGTGTAGACGAATGGAAGCCAGAAAATATAGGGACATGTCTTAATTGTCAGGAAATATAATTCTGACATGGCCTAAAGATAAGGAATTTTGCTGTTAAAAGAGTCTTTTAAAACAATCTACACGTCCACTGCAGTGAAACGGCCGATATCTACTTGCCGTCAGTTAAAATGCAATGCGTCCATGAGTGAGTGCAAATTAAAACTCACTGAGAACCGGCAAAAATATTATCTGCGTTGCAAATTACAAATTATCAATTTCCTGATGTTTCTCCCAGTACAAACATTGAATAAATTTGTTATTGAGTTCGAATTCCCTTTGCTACTCGCTTTTTAAAAGTGGCAATCACAAGTTAATATTATGAAAAAACGACGGAACAGTATGATATATTTGTGTTCTCTCACCATTTTACTCTTCATTGCATATTGTGCTTCTGTCCTGCAAGATGTCTCTGCGATTGAACCGAGCATAAATAATCCATTTGGTTTCGTGTTTTCCCCAAAATATACCTGTCAAATAAAACCATGGACATTGTTCATCGGCCTTTATTTGTCTAACGACTTAGTTTTAAAATTAAAAGCGCAGTCTTAAAACAAATAAAATGTGATAATTGGAAAATGTATGCTAAATCTCTCACTCTTTCACGCTTAAGAACTATCCATTTCCTAGTGTAAGGCAATATCTCATGTTCAATAGTGTAAAAATAAATGCAATTATATGTTCGAGATAATTTCCGGCTATGATTGATTAGTGACCCTATGAAGTATTGAGATGTAAATCCAGCGTTTGCTGAGTCTACTGAAGGGAAAAGCTTTTAAGCTGGATGTCTTGGGAAATTTTGTTTTTCTTACCTTTTTAAGGTTTAAATTATTCATTATTAGATTTGCGACAAAAAAATGTATGTAATTCTTAGCTAAAACTGATATGCAGTAATTCAGCTATTAAGAGATTTAAACTAAGCTGAATTTATTAGAATACGATATTAACATCATCAAAAACCGCCTTAGTTTTAAACGAGGCGGAAAACTGGAATCTACGTCGAAATACCGACGATTACCGTTGTTATAAGTAACCGTTTAATCTAATTCTGAATTTACTTCCAAAACAAAGTTCCCAGCATCAGTACAAACGATGTCCCTTGTGGTAGAGAGTCGTTTTATTTCACTACCGTAAATCACTAGAGTTGATGAAACAAATATCAAATTTTTATACTGACTCGCCTGCCTTGACCTTGACTATTCAGGATATAAAAAAGCTTTTTTTTCTCTCTCTCTCTTCCTAAACTCAGTAGTTTTTCGAATATAACTGTAGATGGAATTTTTTTCGCGTTGAATCCGAGGCCATGCACTTGCTACGAATTCTTAAATCATATATTCACTTCCTTTAGAAATCTTACTACCGAGCAAAGATACAACAAACAATTTGGTAAAAATTTTACAAAAGAGACCAAGTGTAGAACTTGGGTGCTTACCATTTGCCAGAAAATTTCGGAAATTCCAACCGAACATTAAGGAGTACGTTTTGAGGTAGTCTGTTCATTCCAGTTGGTACGAACCAAACGGAATGTTGCTTACCATTTACCAATTTCTCGGTTCCTTCTCGGTTCCAGACTCATTCTACACAAATTCACCCCTTTTTGGGTTCAAACCGTAACGGATGTGGCAATTCTGCAGTAAACTGGTAAATCGCTTACGATTATGCTTTCGACACCCCAACCAGATTTTTCTGCCAAATGGTAAGCACCCCTTCTCTCCTTGTTTTTAACTTTCATTTTACCAGCTGTTTAAAAAAAAAATTTCTCGAACATTCATGTTCATTTTGCCGCTCAAGAAAACTGGTCTCGAAGAGTCTTTTATCATTAAATACATTAGGTAAAATAAAGATTCTTCCAAACCCAGAATTTCTCAGGGTTATCGAATTCATAGTGCTTTTTGCTTTTGTTGTTTTTGTTGATCAAGAAGTGTAATAAGAAGTAAGGATTAGAGAAAAAGGTCAAAGATTAATTTATAACAAGCTCACGTTATTCATACTGTGGGGTAGATTTATTTTAAGTCGTAAATTTCCGTGACTCTCCATACATTTAGGATAGTTGTGACACGAAAATTTTGAATAATATTGACAATATTCATTTTTAAAATCTATATTTCATTTTAATGAAATAGAGATGTGTAATAAAATGTTCAATATCCTTAATTAGCATTTCATTAACAGTTTAAATTACACTTGATAACTTTTGCATGACATTTTAAACCTATGTTGTACACTTACGTGGTGTTAATTTGGTTTTACGTGCTTTTTAGGCTTTAGAAAAAGGCGGTTTTAGTTCTAGAACATGTTTCGAACAAAAAGTGGACAATTGTTAGTGTTAATTAGTCTCAGTTTCATTTATTCTGTTTATAACAGTTATGTATTATGGCACCTGGTGTCAACATTTGGGCATACAGCTATTTCGAGAAAGGTTGTCGGAAAAATTGTGCACGCGACAATCCCGAAAGGTAATATGGGATATGATCAATACACTGTTCCTGACGACTGTAGCTGTCGAACCTACTTTTGTTGCTTTCCTTTAGCACTCGCAAACACATTTCCATGGCCTTTCGTGCCTATTCTTTCAAATTTCTTTGAAAAAAAGAGAACTCAAAACCACCCACAATGTCTTTCAGGATTGTCGCGCACTTTTCCCGACAACCTTTATCGAAATAGCTGTATCCTACACGCGTTTCCATGGCCAGGTAATTTTGAATGTCCTACGTACGTTTTCGGTCCATTTATTCCATTCTTTCTACTTAATTGGTGGCCATCGAGTCTCGAAAACGCAATTTTTTTCTGTGGTCGTGCTCCGGTGCATAATTTCGCTCTCGTTTCTCTCCACAAAATGAAAGGGAAGAAGTGGAAAATTAGACGAAAAAAACTGGTTTCACCTATGGAGATTAAGACACGATTCAGTTACATGCAATGAATTGTAGTTAAATACATACAGCCCCCCAAAATAAAGTGTGCAAATAATTAATTTGTGAAAAGCTACCTGCCCTTGCGGGCGGCCATCTTGATTTCAAATGTAACGCGCCTCCCTCATGCTGGGTATAAATATCAGATCTAGTAAGTGTCACTGTACGGCGCTTTCCCACTCCCTTTCGGTCAATTCTCTTTAGCGATTCGCTTGGACCACGTGTCCCGAAACTCTTTGGCCGCGTGGAATAATGAGATCTAGGAACTAGGCAACCATCCCCCCAGTGCATTTGATACTCAGTACATTCAAAAAAATAAAGATGGCCGACCGTAAGGGTAGGTGCTCCACCCCACGACGACTCAGAAAAATAGGGGACTGTGAACAGTCTATTCGATGGGATTTTTCCTTAATGTGTAATCAAATATTTGTCTACATCTAGAATGACAGCCCCGCACGTATCATGTGTGCGCTAGTCAAAAATCCAAAAATATTTTTCCCAGTATTTATTTTAAATTAGCATCCTAAATGTACTTTTTTTTCAAAGGAAGTCTTACGGAACATCACTACTTAGAGAAATTGCCAGTTATTTCTGATATCGGATAGGAAAGATACCGACGGGGTAATTTCGGAGCGAGCTTGGCACGCAAACTCAATGATTCAAACATTTTTTGAGTAGGCTGTCTCTTTCCCAAGCGATCGCAAGAGACTGGGGAACAAGGCAGTTGAGTAGGGACTTTCCCCTGTTTTATCTGTGTATTTTAAGCATCGATCTGCTCTCCCCTATTGATAATAAAGTATCATCTTACTATTTTAAGGCAGAAAGTATGAGTCAGTCACGCAATCTCTATAATATAAACATCATTCGCATTCTTTGAGTAGGGATTTTTCCCTTCTTTATAATCTCAAGGACTTGAGACATGGATATGCTCTCTCCTGTTGATAATGACCTATCATCTTACTATTTTAAGAATAGCCTTTAGGGTAGCAATTAAAAAATGTGGCTAGAAGATAATAAATTTAAATAACGACTGAATTTCTTGAATGTTCAATGCAGATCGTTCCCTCAGTACCTCGTCCCGCGATCCTCTCGTTTTGTAACGGATCAAAAACGAAATGAAATTCACTCGCAATTTTTTACACTTTTCGCCTCCTAAAAACGCCAAGCTCCAACTAGAAGGCCATTTTTTTTTGTAACAAAAACAATGTACTTGATTTCTGGCGGAATCTCTCTGATTCTCTGCTTGGGCTTTCAATCCGTTTCTCAGTTCCTAATCAACCAAATACCACAAAGACTTCAATAAAGTCGAGAAACCACACATAAACAACATACCATGAAATATGTGAAATTTAATGGACGTTTCTTGTCATAGTGGATCGCTTTTTAATACCAGTCATACTGTTACTGGCCTGAGTTTGCCACACGGTGCGGCCACTTCAGGAGCCTGGGTTCCCTGTGACATAACTTAAGCTAAAACTAATAGATTTCTATCTTATACGTTCGAGCTACCAAAAACACCTGTCTTCCTAAGAACATTCCCTGGGCAAAAAAGCAGGATATTCAAGCTTTGTGAGCAAATAAACAAATAACCTTACGCGACTAAGTCATGGTCTTTTCGACGTTGTCATGTCGTCACATTAACTCTGGACTTATATAAATGTGAGCACTTTCTAAGTTTGGTCGAAGAGAAGTCACCAATGGTCCGTTCCCCTGACCCCAAACAATACTAAAACAATTGGAAGAATGACATGTCATTGTTTCCTGCGACCAATTAGGAGAGACCTTACGCGCAGCTCTTATACTACTCTAGTTGGTTTTGAATTCATCAAAATTCATATTCGACTCCAAGGCGTATATAGGGGAGCAAAAAAAGAATTGAATTATTCAGCCCTGAATCTCAATTCTCATGTTTTATACCCCAGAGCCACGGAGCCAAGTATGACTTTTAATTCTATCCCATCAGCCTCAGTGTAGGAATTCCAAATATTTTGAACTGGGCTATCACGAACCTTGCTATTTTATTGGCCAGGAATTCTCTCGCCATTTTATCAACCAATCCAAAGTTAGAACACGCTTTCCCGCGTTAAAGGCCGGCAACGTGTTTTCGCATCAATTTCGGTCTTAAAAATGTCTCAGAAAGGGGTCTGTCATGATCGACTGGAGTCATTTTAAAAACTTAAAAGATCATCCCATAACCATTTTCTAATCTTAAGCCATGACCAAGGGTTACTTCATGTCGAATTTCGTCAATATTAGTGAGTGTTTAGGATGCGATAGTCCTAACAGCATTAACTGATCGAACGCTTCGCTGACGTTTTGAATTCTACTGGCTTACAGTCTAACTGTCTATTCACTTGTTTTATCTTCAGGCTTCTCTGGAGTTTTTTCACTGATATCTTCATCGCCGTCGTCTTTTTCATCCCCTTTGTCCGTCTTCTTCACAGGTTTCGGCACGAATTGGTCCACCGCCATCGCATTCCAAGCCGCCAAGATCCAAGGCGTAGCGTGAAATACGAAGTTAGGAAAATTTTCTGCGCAAAACAAGTAGCTGAGTGAGAATGTATTAGACGGGTTTAAGGTGTTTTAACACATTAACGAACATTTCTCTGTAATGGAAGCATCTGTTCAGGGTACCTTTGCGTAGATTGGAAGAAAGTTAACGGCTGATGCGTTTCCGGTCACGTGGTCCGAGCGCGTCTCGGATACGTCACCGAAATGCATTGACTGAGAAGGCCAGGGAAGAAGCCGTGCAGGGACTAAGATAGGCAAGTTGACCCCACTAGGACCCCTGATGTACACGCCGGGACAAGCATAAGTGGTCTTAGTGGAAATGTGGCCGCAAGATGTATAATGTATTTTATATTTGCAAGAATCATACTAACCTTTTGATCTGTCAACCACGAGAGTCTCAAATGCCGGGAAAGCTGAAATTGGGCGACGCGATAGCGCTGTCTGCTTCTCACTCGAGAGAACGGGTCTCATCATGTCATCTAGGAGCTAAAAAATAACAGAATATATATGGATCATTAGAAATTTTGTGGTGCTTCAACAGGCATGGTCATCTACCTGAAATAACTTTTAATAATTCTCATTTTTTTGGCGGTTAGAGGGGGAAGTTGGTTTGAAGTTGTTGTTGTTGTTTTTTTTTTATCACGGGCGTATTAAGAGTCTTTCAGCAACAAAAACTGAGTGTTAGACTTTTAGAGAAATATTTTTTTTGTCTTTCGCAAGCGTCCGCTAGATCTACTATGGCAGTCGGCTATCTTTGACATAGAGGCAACTATAAAATATGGTCCTTAACTTAAGTACATTACATTTGTAAATTGTAAACTTGGAGTTTCGAAATTGATTCTATGAATTACAGGATTTTCAACAAATTTGTATTTGATTATATTGGCACAAAAATGTCGATGAGTGCGCTGCAAGTGCGGTGCTTATTTAGGACGGTGCTTCGGTTGTGAGAAGCTCTTAAAAATTTCGAGTGAGTTCACTACTTAATGAAAGACAGTGGCAATACTTACCTGAACTATTTCCTTATCCGTCAGATCAAACGATTGCTGTGTAGATGCTGCAGATTTAAAATATCGAAAATGTATATAGTTTGTCTAAGAAAGTATGTTAAAACTATCTATCTGCGCGCGTAGCATCATGAAGGCCTTGAGCTAGTTCGGAAATCTGTTTGACTGATTTGGAAGTAAGGCGTATTGAGTTTAGTTGCGCAGTGTGAGGCTTGACGCTTTTAAAAGTATTCTCTTTTTCCGTAGCTACATTCCCTGGAATTTTCCTAAAAATTTCTCCCACGGTAATAGTAAACATTTATTATTTAACTTCCCTTTTTTACGCCAAAGGGTGTGGTCAGGATGTAGGGTGCGGTTTTAGCTTTGATCAGTAGTTGCTAAGTTTGCAAGTTTTCAGTCGTGAGAACTACAAAGTTGCTTGGCAAGCAGGTTCTTGTGCTTCCTGTGTGTCTATCTTTTCCTTCTAATGATATGTTGTTTTAAAAACAACCACACCCTGCACCCGGTGATTTGAGCAGATAGTTCGAAATAAAAAAAGAGTTTCCTGGCGAAGTTGGTAAAAGTATGTATACCTCGAAGTAAAATATATATAAGACGTTAGTGTTTTATTAGTAACTAAAAGTATGCAAGCGAATGAAAATTTGAACGGAGAATTTATTAACTCTTTTAAATACTCCCCCCGCCCCCTTACCACTTATCTTCTAGAAAAGGGGTGTTTCTTATCCGAGGAATGACATTTAAATGTAAGAAACGGAGTACGCAATGGAAAGTTATTGAATTGTAATTTATATGACCAGAATTAAGACTGAATACGAAGACACATTTGTGTCATGTCGTGTAGTCATGCGCTTTTGGTGTGACCCTTCCAAGGTCCGTACTCTGTTGTGAAATTTGCATTTCCTGACTAAAGCTGTGTGGTTTTCTATTTTAATAAAAAATTGCGGAAGATATAATAGTTTATAGTTTTCTAAGGACTTACGTTTTTCTCCAGTGGCCTTCCGCTCGGTTTTTGAGTGTTTACTTTTCATCATGTAAATTTTATACGCCTCGTTTCCTCGAGGGCGACTTTTCTCCCTAACTTCTTTAAAATCCGGGAGCGCATTCAACGTGCATCTGAAATTCGTCTTCCACTTGCTGGGATTGGGGAGATCGATTCCTTCCGTGTATTTTCCAGAATAAATAGCCCACTGTTTGAAAATTTCACTATCGTAATGACAACACCATTGACGGTGCAATCCGTGTTTCCAAGGAATTTTGAACAATCCACGGCTTCGGTCGATCCACTCCACACCTTCGACTTCATTGTCGTCAAGCTTCTGCTTGAGCCAGTCTCGAAAACGCAATCTCTTGGTTCCCGCCGGTTTGCAGTAGTCATGCATTTCGTTTATCATTCTATTTAGGTGATTCTATCAAGATGAATTTCGACAACAGAATATTTCCTTGGAAGTGATATTTCTAAGAAAAACGGATCTCAATTCTTTACAATCGGCGTCTGTGCCCTTTCACTCAACAAATCGAAAATGAAAAACTCGGAAGAAGCCCGTCTTTACCTGTGTAAGGATCTATAAAGACTCAGATATGATTTGCACGCATCGACAGTTGTAGATCGTTCTTAAAATGAATGTTGCCAAGTATGTCCCACCAATATACAGTCTTCATATGATCTATTTGTCTATGCCAAAGGGAAAATTCCCTTTTTTCAAAAGGGGTTTTTCCCTCTTCGCTTGATTGGTTTTTCCACAGAATAATGACTTATGTACATTCTGGGTGCAGACATCTGAGTAGCATCAACGGGAATGTTTTTCGTGTGTTAAATTTTTCTTTTCACTTATTATACTACGAAATATCTTACGGAGCTAATTCATAAATTACCCTTAACGGAACGCTTCACGGGGCAAAAGCTATATTAATTGCGGGCAAACAATACAGACGTCACGCAATCGTTTTCTACAAGTGTCTTGTTTTTATTTTCCTAAGACATAAATAATTATGCCCTCCCCTAAAAAACACGTATCATTTTACTGTTATTAAAAATATTCCTTCCTGGTGTCAAAGTTCACCAAACGCCACCAGAAAATATGTAAATCCCTTATTATTTTTGTTCGCTGATTAAATTGAATATGCGTCGTTCATACAATGGCGTGTACAACTGGTTTAATACAGGTGGCTGCCCTCTGTAAATTTCATATAAAATACTTTCATATCTTTAAGCTTAAAATATACTAAATAAGGAATCAGCAATAAACACCGTAAATGGAAATAAACGGCAGAATTGGCAACAGTAGATCAACCGAAATACTCGGTAACGCGAAATAACGCGAACATAAGTGGGAAGGGGAATCCCCAGTTTCTGACACCTCCTCGCATCTATTAGTTCAATGTAAATTATTCTGGTCACATCGAAGGTTCTACACTTATTTATTGCCTTATGAGCATATTTCTCCAGCTTTATTTTATCTTTTTATCTTTATTTTCTTGCATGGTCTGAAGCAATGATCTTTAACCCCACTTAATTTTTTGGCTGATTAAACCGGCCTTTAAAACGCTCGAGAAAAAGAGTTTTCGGAAATCAAATATATTGGCCAAGAAACTGTTGGAAAAAAGAAAGAAAAAGAAAATAAAAAATGAGTGATGCAATTATTGAAATGCAAATTTCTGAGTCGTTTGCATTGTTTCAAAGTGGACTGGGCCTCCAGAAGGCGTCAGTCGACATAACATATTTTTAGAATAATCATTAAAACCCTCATACCTTTCAATTTAATTTCGTATACATTCTTTGCGAACAGGGTGCACATACACCGTCACTTAACAAACTCAAAGTGTTGTCAAAATGGTTGATAAGCCTGGACTATTTTCCCAAAGGAAAGTAACATGTTGATTATTATTAGGAAGCGAGCGAAATCACCGAGTGAGTTTCTGCTCTTTTACTCCAAGATCTCCAGTTTACATCTCTTTGCAGAGACCAATATTTCCCCATGATATTCCCATTTGATCAGGAATTAGAGAACCAAAGGTTTTCCTATCAATCATAACATCACGGATAAACTAAGAACGACAAAAAATGCTTGCAACGACTTAAAATCGGCAGCTGGAGACAGGTGTGGCCATATATTAACCCATGCGAGATGACAAGATTCGTTAAAAAATTTCGGGGAATTCCCCGTTTGCTGCCTAAGTGTTATGCAACTTAAAAATAATATGAAACTAGTGCTTCAACGTTTAAATTACCTCGTAAAGAAGACCAGTTTCACTCACTCCGGGGGGGGGGGGGCACTGCCATATATGGGCTATATAGGTATGTGCCGCTGTGAAGGGTATGGTTTTCAAGCAGTTTACTCTAGGATAGGGTATATAAATCAGAGCGTTTGGGTCTAGAATAGGATATCATTTTTTAGGAAACTGATCGGTTGGTTGAAGATTTTATCTAGACTAGGGATTGTGGTATAAGGTTTTGTTTTGGGTAGACTGTGCTAGTGACCTCAGTAGTTTCTGAAAAACAGCTACTCTAGGATAGGGGGGATTTGGGGAGTTTTCTCTAGTATAGGATAGCAAAATTCAGCTGAACTAGGTCTGGTATAGGTTAAGGGTTCCAGGGTCCCAGCGGCACATCCCCACCTAGAAATTCCTAAAGTAGCCCCCCCCCGGGCACTCACTACTTGGCACAGCAGTAATTAAAACAAATGTGCATGTTTTTTAATATTGTTTTTCACTTTTGTCGTAGTTGTGAAAGTTTGAAAATTGCTTTTTGAGCCCCTCAGTCACGTAGTAAGCTCTTTTGACTCCTAACGAATGAGCGCATGCTGTGACTCAAATTAATAGTCAGAATATTGGCTGCGGTCGTAACTAAAGTTTAACTTAAGTTAGTGTCAAAAGCAAGTTACGTGATGTCATACCTAACTGTAGTTAGTGCTACAGTTAGTCGACATTGCGGTCACACCACGCAGTTAATAACAGTTAGTTCTAATTAGCCTATGTACATTTTTTGTTTATTGGTTTTGGTTCCCTCCTCGCTTCACGCTTGGTTTTTATTTTGCGTATTTATATATGCTCATCTCGCACGTACGAAAAGAAGTGTCACATTCTGATTGGTTGGTTGGTTGTTAACTTAAGACTAACCCACGAACCCTGCTTGGGTATAACTATAGTTAGTCTGTATTGTTTTGGATCACCGAGGCGTAAATTTTCTAACTATAGTTAGAGCGAACAGAGAAGCGGTCATATTACCGAAATAGCTAACTAAAGTTATCCATGTCTTAACTATAGTTAGGAGCCCAGATAGTGACCGCAGCCATTGTGATAGAGTGATTTTACCTGAACTATGAAACAGATACTAACAAATAGTGCAAAATAGCGAAAAGTAAACAAAAGAACACCAGAATTAGTGCGTAATAGTGCGTAGTATTCTACGACCTATTTCACGGTTCAAGTAATAGACCTTTTTACCGATACCGCGGCCATATTGAATTACTTAGATTTAAGGAGTATTATGGGATGCCCAGGGGGCATGAACACGATCCGATATACTCGCTCAGTATTTACCCGTGCTTTCCGGACCAATTTTTTTCTTTAAGTTTCCCTAGAAAAAGATTGTAATAGGAAACAAGATCGTTGTGCCTTGTTTGGATGTAATAATCATCGCCTTTTTCCCGAGAAATATACAGTGAAGTTCTATTTGTGCTGGAAAAGCGCGCGTTGATACTGAGCGAGTGCCCCCTGGACATCCCATAATACTGCTTAAATCTAATAAATTCAATATGGCCGCCGTATCGGTAAAAAGGTCTATCAAAATCACTCTAAACAAATCGTGGCTACTAGAGGTCGTGAAGCAGCTATAACAACGAAATTCCAAAATGAGACTAAATAAGATCAGAAGCGGTGAAAAAGTTTATCCTTGCATGTTATTCCGACATTTTGTTAGGGTGTCTAAATTCCCCTGTTTTTATCCTCACAGACTAAATGTTCTTATCTATTTTCGTTTCTCTCACGGGCTACAACAACATTACACTCGGTGATATTCTTTTGCTTTATGATTTTTATTGTTTTTTTCATTTATTTGTTTTTATAAAGAATCAAGGGGTTTTCCACCAAAAATGATGTTTAATAATAAATTATCCAGCTCAATAGTAACTCTAACAACACACTTATAATTACTATCGTTATTAAACTAATCCAACTGTTACTTCTTTTAGAAATGTTACTAGTTATGTAATTTATACTTTTTAAACTTATATGAAGTCAAACTTATTTTACAAAATTTTTATGAAACAAAATACAATCTAATTTTCCTATTGAAACGCTATTTTATGAAAACGATATTTGTTCGTCATGTAATTATATACAACATCAGTGGCTCATCTGCTCAGTAAGCAACACACGCCTGCGACAATGATGTTGGTGATTACAGTTTACAAGTGGTGGCCTAAGATTAAACCGTCACAGAGGACGTTATTGGAAAAGAAATGGAGCGAGATCTTGCCAACCAAGTTGCAAAAAAAACCTCTTTTCTTTCGGCTGCCGTGAAGAAGAAACTATCTATTTGTAAACTATACAACATTATTGATTAGAAATGGACGTCTTGCTTTCCCGTTTCAGGGTTTACGTAAATACTAAGTTTAAACGGGTAAATTTTAAATATCTACATCTTCAGCTTTAACTAGTCTACTACGACGTACGAACTGTTGCATTATAATTGTTAACCTTACTGTTTACATGGGTAACAATTGGTTAACTTGACGTAACAAATGTTTTTCTCCCTTCACTCTTTTTTTGCTTCAAATTTCTTGTTTCAGTTATTTTTGACGTTCCTAACAAGCCTATGTCCATACGGGTATTTTTCACAAGCACAATATTTACCCGCGTTTACAAGCTTATCATTTCTGGAGAGCGTTAACGATGGTCGTTACATCATTTTCGTCTGAACGCAACTAAGACGTAAACGCAAACGTCTGGACTAGTGTGGACACGGCCTTGGGCCATCCAGCGACGGCGGTTAAAACTCCTGCGGTCAATCTGCCCAGACAACTGTGCCAGTGACCCGGGATGATGCCAAAATTTATGCCCATAATGTTCCTTCTCTCCGTCGACACGGTGTTGTCCTCAGAACAATTTAATTTAACCGCCATATCTTTACTTTAGCGAAAAGGAGGAATGCTTTGAATGTTACTGAAAGTGACCTTTGTAAAGGACTGTGAAAGGTTACTCAGCACCTGCTAATCACACTTAAAAATTCTCTAATAGAGTCAGCTGTAAGAGAAGGCGAAGTCGCATACTTGTTCCCTTATCCGGACTAGTCTTCGGTCTTTATGACCAGCTGCAGTGGAGGCCTCATAGTAGCTTTGGGTGGACTCTCTGTAAAATCTACAACAGAAGCAAAACGAAAGATCGGGGACATTTCAGTATTTAAATACTGAAAAATGGAAAAACTCGTCATCATGAAAAAAGTAAGGTATATCTACGCAGGTGAAAGATCAATAGAATCCCGTAGGCTCAGTTGGGTAAATCTGTAATCGTAATCGTAACTGAGGCGTTTAACTTAAACCTTCGGTCGCTAAACATAAAATTGTTAGTCGTAAATAGACGTTTCGTGCCACAATTAGTGGTTTCACAATTAGTTATTTAAAACTTTTTCATTATATTGTCACATGACTTAGACATTATAGACCTTAAATTTGTTAAACTTCACAACAATTGAAAATATTTTTTAAACTTTTATTTCCTTTTCATTTTTATGTCATGACCCCTTGTGCTGATTTTTCTTTTTCTGTGGGTACCATGGTTACAAGCTTCTTAGAAAATAAATGGTTCGATATCCATTCTCGTCCCCAGAGCCCGTCGTTTCTTGGTCACGTGGTCGGGAAATGTGGGGAGCCACTGGTCGGTTACAAATTAAGCCGAGTGGCTCTGGGGACGAGAATGGTTCTATATCCTACCTTCTTCACTGGTTGCTTCTATCCCGTCAAAGTCTTCATAGGGACGAATCGCTCTGTTCTGACATTTGGTCCACAAGCTATAAACAATAAGACAATTCAATGTCAAGCAAAATAGAACAATAACACATTAAAATAAAAACAAAGGTATCATGCTTTACGGATTCCATTTTATTTTTGCCTGGTTGTAGTTTTTTAACTGAGACATACGACACGTAGAGATTTATTTACTGAATGTAGTTTATTGTAAGCACGTCTCTAGCCGTTTAGTTCAGCCGAAACTCCCCTTTTAAACTGGAAGACTTACGTCAATAATCTCTTGGTCGCCAGTGACTTCATCTTCTGGAAAGGACAGAGAAAAAAACTCTTTTGTCAAGTCATTCCTGAGAGATAAAGACTTTTGAAATGTACTGCATGTTACTCTTGCAGAAGTTATTTTGAACATTGTTAGAAGAAGAAAATAGGAAAAAAGTTGTAAATCCGTATAATTTTTGGCGCTTTCGTATGGCTGCTGATCATCAGTGATCTTTCAGTAGTGTCCTAAACTCAAACTTCCTTGGATGGTTCTTAGCAAACACATCAGCGACTTCCGTTTCAGAACTTCTTCCTTTCTATTTTTTTCCAGGTTTGGAGCTAAACTTTGGAACGCAATTCCCAATGAATTTCGTCAACTCTCCAAAGGAACTTTTAAAAAACATTTTTGACTTATTGCTCTCGATAATGGAAGCAGAGGATGATTATCTTGAAGTGCCCACTCTGCCACAAAAAATCGCATATTCTGCAACCACGACTTAATGCACTAATAATTGATAGGTTCTTTCACTTTAGTACATTTGTCTTATAACAACCGTCGCATACCCTCCCCCTCCCCCCCTTCCTCCCTACGGGCCTGTAATATCCTACCTTCTTGGTTGCTTGGTTGCTTGGTTCCTTCTCTGGTTGCTTCTATCCCATCCAAGTCTTCATCAGAAGAATTGCTCTGTTCTGACATTTGGTCCACAAGCTATAAACAGTAAAACAATTTAATGTCAAGCAAAACAAAACAATAAAACATTAAATCAAAAACAAAGGTTTCATGCTTTACAGATTCCATTTTATTTTAAATTTGCCTAGTTGTAGTTTTTTTTTACTGAGACGTAATAATAATAATAATAACTATCCAGGGAGCCCACTCGCCTTAGCGGTTTTCAGTGAGGGCACTGCAAATTATAAATGACAAACTGACAAAAAAAAAAGATCACCCACTTTAAAAATTAAAAATTAAGAAAAGAGCTAAAAACTGATATTTACACATAAAACTAATTTTAAAATAGTTTAACAATTAGATAGGCCATTATTTGCAAAGTTTTAAGCTTTGCCTTAAAGAAGGACGATAATTTGCTGTTTTTAATGTCATTGTCTAGGTTGTTCCAGGCCTACGACGGTGAAAAATGAAAGTTTGCATGCCCCAATTGGTGCGCACGCGAGGAAGGTGTAATAGAGATTACTAGAGATTACTTCATGTAGCTAGTTTATTGTAAGCACGTCTCTAGCCGTTTAGTTCGGCCGAAACTCATTTAAACTGGAAAACTTACGTCAATGATCTCTTGTTCGCTAGGAACTTCATCTTCTGCAAAGGATAGAGCAAGTTATTCCTATGAGATAAAGGCTTTTGAAATGTACTGCATGTTACTCTTACAAAAGTTATTTTGAACATTGACTAAAACCAAAAGTCAAAAATTCACTTCCAGTTTCATCCTAATAAAAGTACTGTTAGGAACAGGCCGGGAGGTGACCAAAAAGAGGGAACAAGTATGTTACGCCGAGTTGAAATGGACCAATTATTTTCCGGCAAATAAAGTAAGAGAACTATAATACCGTGAAATTCCGAAAATAAGCCCCTCCAAGTATAAGCCCCTGGGGGCTTGTGCATGGAAATTGCCCCCAAATACAAAGTAAAACAAGGCAATAACGGTACAGTAACATAAATTTTTGGGATTTGCTAAAGAACATATTACGTGTGCCAAATGATTGCAGTCAGAAAGTGTTACAGTTTATTGCTGTTTGGGCAGTTCACTCTTCACTCTCGGCTTGGATTTCCTCGGTCCATATAGACAAAGTACTTGCATGGCTACGTTTTAGAAAGGTCTACGTCCTCAAGGCGAGTTTCAGTAAAACCTTTCTACAAATTACATTTCCTCCCAACTATAAGCAAGTACAAACGATTTTGAGACGCAAATTTCCGTCCAAATATAAGCCTAGCCGATTTTGAAACGCAATTTTCCCTCCGTATGTAAGCCCCTCCGAATATAAGCCCCTTCAAAAGTAAGCCCCTCAAAAAGGGCCTTTGAAAAATATAAGCCCCGGGGCTTATTTTCGGAATTTTACGGTATTTGCTTTTAAAAAGATTGAAATTAAGAAACGCTTACCTTCCTTGAAAATAGATTTGGCAACTTCTGGGGAACTCTGAAAGATCAAAAGTATTTGCATCAATTTCTGACTGGTACGTTATTTAAAATGTCTCAGAGAGGGGTTTGTCATGATCGGCTGGAGTCATTTTAAAAACTATAAATATTTTCTAAACTTAAGCCATGACCAACGATTACGGCTTCATGTCGAGTTTTTGGCCACATTAGAGGGAGTTTAGAATGCGATAGTCCCGACAGCAGTAATTGATCGGACACTGCTTCACTGACTTTCTGAACTCTACTGTCTATTAGACGACAAGTGGTCGTCCTTACTGCTCGAAGTCTAGCTGTCCAATCACATGTTTTATCTTCAGGCTTCTCTGGTTTTCTTTCACTGGCATCTTCATCGCCGTCGTCTTTTTCATCGCCTTTGTTGGTCTCCTTCTTTGGTTTCGGAACGAACTTGTCCACCGCCATCGCATTCCAAGCCGCCAAGATCCAAGGCGTAGCGTGAAATGCGAAGTTAGGAAAATTTTCTGTGAAAAACAAGCAGTGAGCATGTATCAGACGGGTTTAAAGCGTTTTAATACATTAACGAACATTTCTCTGTAATGGAAGCATCTGTTCAGGAGACCTTTTCATGGATTGGAAGAAAGGTAACGGCCTATGCGTTTCGGGTCACGTGGTCCGAGTGAGTGTCTGACCGTTCGTCTCGGATGCGTCACTGAGATACGTTGACCGAGAAGGCCTGGGAAGAAGCCGTGTAGAAGTCAAGACCCTATTGGGACGTCTGATGTACACGCCAGGACAAACATAGGTGCTCTTAGTGGAAAAGTGGCCGCAAGGCGTATGATGTATTTTGTATTCGTATTGCAAAAAGGGTACTAACCTTTTGATCTGTCAACCACGAGAGTTTCAAATGCCGGGAAAGCTGAAAATGGGCGACGCGATAGCGCGGCCTGCGTCTCAGTCGAGTGAACGGAACTCCGTATGTCATCTAACAGCTAAAAAAATAACAGAATATGGGTCACAAGAAAATTTGTGGTGCTTCAACAGGCATGGTCATCTACTTGAAATAACACGACATTTTATTATTGAAAAAGTCGAAAAAACATGTACTTTCAATCAAAAATGGCTTGACCACGTGCTACTTATGACGTCATATCTCGTAACCATAGAAACTGACCATCACTGAACTTGACTCACAATGCGCGCGAGGGATGAAAGAACACCTACTGAAAACATCAGGTGCTGATGTTTTATCCTCTAGGAAAAAGCTCAGAAAAACCTTAGGGGGGTGGTGGAATTCCCCCCCCCCCCTTGTACGTCCGAGGGTTAACTCAACAACAATTATGCTCTCTCAATCTTTAATACATTACATTATAAATTATAAACTTGGAGTTCCATCAGATGATATTTTTGAAACTGATTCTATGAATTACAGGTTTTCAACAAATTTGTATTATATTGGCACAAAAATGTCGATAAGTGGGCTGCAAATGCGGCGCTTATTTAGGACGGTGCTTTGGTTGAGACAAGCTCTTTTTCGAGTGAGTTCAGTATTTAAATGGAAGACACCGGCAATACTTACCTGAACTATTTCCTTATCCGTCAGCAGATCAAGCGATTGCTGTGTAGATGCTGCAGATTTAAAAAGATCGAAAGTGCTCAAAGTTTGTCTAACAAAGTACGTTAAAAGTATATGCATGAATGTTCTATCCGCGCGTAGTATCATAAACCAAACCTCTCAGCTAGTTCGGAAATTTGTTTAGCTGATTTGGAAGCAAGGCGAATTGGGTTTAGTTGCACATTGTGAGGGTTTGACGCTTTTAAAAGTAGTCTCTCTTCCGTAGCTTCTTTCTAGAGAACTTTCCTTAAATTTCTCCCACTTTAATGGTAAACATTTATTATTTAATTTCCCTTTTTTACGCCAAAGGGTGTGGTACGTGGGGTGCGGTTTTACCTTTGATCAGTAGTTTTCAGTTGTGTGAACTACAAAGTTGCCTGTCAAGCAGGTTTTTGTACTTCCCGCGTGTCTATCTTTTTCTTCTAATAATTTGTTGTTTTTACAACAACCACATCCGTGGATGTATATAGTATCTAAAAATATGCAAGTGAATACTAAGTCTCCCCTTCAGTTTCTAGAACAGGAGTATTTCTGATCCGGGGGGGGCTTTTCAATATGAGAAACGGAGTAAGCTATGCATAGTTTTCGAAGCGTTTTTATATGTCCAGAATGAAGACTGAACTCTAAACTAGAGTAATGCGTGAAAACACATTTGAATGTTTTGTAGTCATGTGCTTTTGAAGTGACTCCTCCAAGGTCCGCGCTCTCAGGGGTGAAATTTGCATTTTTCTGACTGAAGCTGTGTTGTCTGTTTTAAAATTCTAGGAAAATATAGCCTCTACTTTTCTAAGGACTTACCTTTTTCTCCAGTGGTCTTCCGCTCGTTTTTTGAGTCGTTGCTTTTCATCATGTAAATTTTAAACGCCTCGTTTCCTCGAGGGCAACTTTTCTCCCTCACTTCTCTAAAATCAGGAAGCGCATTTAATGTGCATCTGAAATTCGTCTTCCACTTGCTGGGATTGGGGCGATCGATTCCTTCCGTGTATTTTCCAGAATAAATAGCCCACTGTTTGAAAATTTCACAGTCGTAACGAACACACCATAGGCGGTGCGATCCGTGTTTCCAAGGAATTTTGAACAATCCACGGCTTCGGTCGATCCATTCCGCACCTTCTTTGTTGTCAATCTTCTGCTTGAGCCAGTCTCGAAAACGCAATCTCCTGGTTCCCGCCGGTTTGCAGTAGTCATGCATTTCGTTGATCATTCTATTCAGGTGATTCTATCGAGGTGAAATTCGACAACAGAATGTTTCCTTGGAAATGATATTTCTAAGAAAAAACGGATCTCAATTTAATCGGCGTCTGTGCGCTTTCACTCAACCAATCGAAAATGAAAACTCGGGAAAAGCCCGTCTTAAAACCTGTGTAAGGATCTATAAAGACTCAGATATGATTTGCACACATCGACAGTTGTAGATCGTCCTTAAAATGAATGTTTCCAAGTATGGCCCAGCCAATATACAGTCTTCATATGATCTATTTGGTTTTTTTCGCCAAAAGGGAAAATTCCCTTTGCAAAGGGGTTTTCCCCTCTCCACTTCATTGGTTTATCCACGGAACAATAACATCCTGGGTGCAGATATCAGTCGCATCAACTGGAATGTTTTTCGTGTGTTAAATTTTTCTTTTCAATTATTATTACTTTAACTAGGAAATATCTTACGGGGATAATTCAAAAATTACCCTTTACGGACTGTTTCACCGGGCAAAATCTTTTAATTGTAGGCAAATAATATTCAGACGTGACGCAATCTTTTACTACGAGTGCGTTGTTTTTGTTTTCCTTCAGACATAAATAATCATACCCTCCCCTAAAAAAGCACGTATCATTTTACCGTTATTAAAAATATTCCTTCCTGGTGTCAAAGTTCATCAAATGCGGCCAGAAAATATGTAAATCCCTTATTATTTTTGTTCCCTGATTAAATTTAATACGCGTCGTTCAAGCATTTCCATCATAGGCAATGGCGTGTACAGCTGGTTTAATACAGGTGGCTGCCTTCAGGGCATTTCATATAAAATACTTCCATATCTTTAAGCTTTAAATATACTATATATAAGGAATCAGTTATAAACACCGTAAATGGAAATTAACGGCAGAATCGATAACAGCAGATCAACTGAAATACTCGGTAACGCGAAATAACGCGAACTTGTCAAAGACTGGAAAGGGGAATCCCCTGTTTCTGACGCCTCCTTGCTTTTATTAGTTACCATGTGAATTATTCTGGTACATCACTTATTTATTGCCTTATGAGCATATTTCTCCAGCTTTATTTTACCTTTTTGTCTATATTTTCTGGCGTGTCCTGAAGCAATGATCTTTAACCCCACTTAATTTTCAGGCTGATTAAACCGGCCTTTAAAACGCTGGAGAAAAAGAGTTTTCCGGCGGAAATCAAATAAATTGTAATTGGCCAAGAAACTGCTCGAAAAAAGAAAGAAACAGAAAATAAAAAATGAGTAATGTAATCATTGAAATGTAAATTTCTGAGTTGTTTGCGTTGCTCTAAAGTCGACTGGGCCTCCAGGGGGCTTCAGTAGACATAACATATTTTTAGAATAATCATTAAAGTCCTGATATTGTCGAATTTTCGAGAATTTTCAATTTAATTTCGTATGCATTCTTTGCAAACAGGGTGTACATACACCGTCAATTAACTAACTCAAAGTATTGCAGAAACGGTTGATTAGCCTAGACTATTTTCCCAAAGGAAAGTACTCTCCTTTTGATTATTTAGGAAGCGAAATTCCCAAGCGGAGTTTGTGGCTCCTACTCCATTATATCCAGTTTTCATCTCTCTACAGAGACTAATATCTTCATATTCCAGTTTGATCAGGAATTAGAGGACCAAAAGTTTTTCTATCAATCTTAACATCAAGGATAAACTAAGAACGACGACAAACAATGCGCGCAATGACATAAAATCGGCAACTGGAGACAGGTGTGGCCAAGTATTAACTTATGCGAGATGACAAAATTCGTTTAAAAAAATTCAAGGAATCCCCTTAATCTCATGCAACCTGAAAAATAACAATATGAAACTAATACTCATCAATGTTTAAAAAACATGTTGAAATTCTTTTATCTTCTATCAGCAATTCCCTCGTAAAAAATCCCAGTTTCACACTGCTTCTCGACACAGCAATAATTTGTGCATGTTTTTTAATATTGTTTTTCACCTCTTAGTCTCTCTTAATTTGTGAAACGTTGAAAATTGCTTTTTGAGCCCCTCAGCCACGTAGTAAGCTCCTTCAACTCGGAACGAATGAGCGCACGCTGTGACTCAAATTAATAGTCAGAATATTGTGATAGAGTGATTTTCTTGAACCGTGAAACAGATACTAACAAATAGTGCAAAACAGCGAGCGGTAAACAAAAGAAGACAATAGAATTAGTGCGTAGTAGTGCGTAGTATTCTACGACCTATTTCACGGTTCAAGTAATTAAACTCACTTTAAACAAATCGCGAGGTCGTAGAGCGGCTATATATAACAAGGAAATCCAAAATTAGACTAAATAAGATCAGAAACGGTGAAAAGGTTTATCCATGCATGTTATTCCGACATTTTGGTGTCTAAATAAGAGAGAAGTCCTTACGTCACGTTGTCATGGTAGCAATGTTTTTGGATGACAGCAAACCGATAAATTCACTTAAAAGTCTATTCGCTCTATTTCAAACTTCACTGATCTTATTCAGTTTCATTTAATTTGGCGAATCTTGGCGAAATTTTCTTTGGGACCGTATCTATCAGTATCGTTATCTATGTTTAGAAAAAACAAAGCGACAGTTTTTGTGTTGCTTCCATCTACTCCATAAAGCGGGCTCGTGAAATTAGGAAGTTTCATGTCGTAGTGGTGCAACGACGGCAAAGAAATGTACAAAATAGCTTTATGCACGTGCTAAGGTGTTGTTTGTTAATATAAACATATTATTTTTCGCCGTTGTCGTTGGTTTTGATGTCATCCAGAAATAGTGCTACCATGGTAACGTGAGGTCACACTTCTCCCTATTCCCCTGTTTTTATCATCACGGACTAAATGTTCTTATCTATTAATTTTCGTTTCTCTCACGGGCTACAACAACATTACACTCAGTAATTTTTTTTGCGTTATGTATTTTATTGTTTTTTTTTTCATTTATTTGTTTTTATAAAGAATCAAGGGGTTTTCCACCAAAAAATAATGTTTAATAATAAATTCTGTGGCTCAATAGTAACTCTAACAACACATTGTCGTTATTAAACTAATCTGACTAACTGTTACTTCTTTTAGAAATGTTACTACTCATGAAATTTACCCTTTTTAAACTTGTATCAAGTCAAAGTTACTTTAAGAACTGTTAAGAAACAAAATGCAATCTAATTTTTCTAATGAAACGCTATTTTATGAAAACGATATTTGTTCTTCATGTAATTATATACAACATTAGAGGCTCAACTATACTACTCAGTAAGCAACACACGCTTGCGACAATGATGTTGGTGATTACAGTTTACAAGTGGTGGCCCCAGATTAAACCGTGACCACGTTATTTGGAAAAGACATTGAGGCACAACTGGCAACCAAGCTGCAAAGAAAACCTCTTTTCTTTTAGTTGCCTTGAAAAAGAATGGAAAACTATTTATTGTTAAACTACTTAACGGACGTCTTGCTTCCCTTACTTCAGGGCTTAAGTAGAGACTAAGTATAAACGGGTGAATCTTAACTATATACATCTTTTTACTAGTCTATTACCACGTATGACCTGTTGCATTACTGTTGTTAACCCTACTGTTTACAGTACATGGGTAACAACTGGTTAAGTTGACGTAACAGAATTTTTTCCCGTTGACTTCTTTCTTGTTGCAAATTTCTTGCCTCGGTCACTTTTGACGTTTCTAACAAGCCTATGTCCACCCGAGTCTTTTTCACGAGAACAATATTTACCCGCGTTTACAAGCTTATCATTTCTGGAGAGCGTTAACGATGACCGTTACAACATTTTCGTGTGAACGCAACTAAGACGTAAACGTAAACGTCTGGACTAGTGTGGACACGGCCTTGGGCCATCCAGCGACGGCGGTTAAAACTCCTGCGGTCAATCTGCCCAGACAACTGTGCCAGTGACCCGGGATGATGTCAAAATTCATGTCCATAATGTTCCTTCTCTTCGTCGACACAGCGTTGTCCTTAGAACAATTTAATTAAACGCCAAAGCGAAAAGAAGAAATGCTTTGATAACTCAAAAGGTTTGTTACTGAAAGTGATCACTGTAAAGGACGGTGAAAGGTTACTCAGCACCTGCTGATCACACTTAAAATCTCCCTAGTAGAGTCAGGTGTAAGAGGAAGCGAAGTCGCATACTCGTTCCCATAACCGGACGAGTCTTCGGTCTTTATGACCAGCCGCAGTGGAGGCCTCATAGTAGCTTTGGGTGGACTCTCTGTAAACTCTGTACAACAGAAGCAAAACAAAAGGTCAGGGACGTTGCAGTATTTAAATACTGAAAAAAGGAAAAACTCGTCATCATAAAATAGTAAGCTGTATCTAGTACGCAGGTGAAAGATCGATAGGATCTGGTAGGCCCAGTTGGGTTAATCTTTAATCGTAATCGTAACTGAGGCGTTCAACTTAAACCTTCTGTCGCTAAACGTAAAATTGTTAGGCGCAAATACCTGTTTCGTGCCACAATTTGTCAGTTACTTAAACCTTTTTAATCATCTTATCATATGACTAAGACCTTCATACAGTTGACACTAATTTAAAACTTTTATTTCCAGTTCATTTTTATATCATGACCTCTGGTGCTGATCTTTCTTTCTCTATGGGTACTACGGTTACACGGTTCCGGCTAGAAAATAACTTGTTCAATATCCTACCTTCTTCACTGGTGGCGTCTATCGCGTCCAAGTCTTCATAAGACGAATTGCTTTGTTCTGACATTTGGTCCACAAGCTATAAACAATAAGACAATTCAATGTCAAGCAAAACAAAGCAAGAAAACATTAAAACAAAAACGATGGTATCATGCTTTACGGATTCCATTTTATTTTTGGCCTAGTTGTAGTTTTTTTTTTATTGAGACGTACGTAGAAATTACTGATGTGAAGTATATATGAAATAATTCATTTATAGAGATTACGTAGAGATTACTGAAAGTAGTTTATTGTAAGCACCTTTCTAACTCTGATTTGAGTCGAAACTCATTTAACAGGAAAACTTACGTCAATGATTTCTTGGTCGCTGGGAACTTCATCCTCTACAAAGGATAAGAGAAAAAACTTTTTTATCAAGTTATTCTTACGAGATAAAGCCTTTTGACATGTATACTGCATGTTACTCTTACAAAAGTTATTTTGAACATTGACTAAAACCAACATTACTTCCAGTTTCATGCAAATAAAAGCACTATTAGAAACAGGTCGGGAGGTGACAACAATAAGGGGAACAAGTATGTTAAGCTAAGTCTACGATTTCTAATTTTTGAAATTAAAGTGTTTTTCAGTTATGATTTTCTTCGAGATTGCATAAAGTAATTCAATTATCTAAGAGAACTACAATATTTGCTTCTAAGAACACTTAAATTAAGAAGCGCTCACCTTCCTTGACAATAACTTTGGCAACTTCTGGAGAACTCTGAAAGATTAAAAGACCACACCAATGAATTTATTTTAAAAAACTGTGTAATATACACGAGACATATTTATTCAAAATGCAAAAAGAGAAACTATAAAAAAGGCTTATTGTTTAGCGAAGAATAATTCTGCGATCTACTTCATGGAATGCGGACTTTCTTTAGAAATCTGACAAATGATCCGGAGAAAGTGGAAATTTTGCCGCATACAGGCCATTAATGGCTAAGATTTGTTTCATTCGGAATGTTAACTACTGGTAGAAATACTGATTTCGCAACACTTTACCTCTTCCATTTCACCTTCTTGAGAACATGATGGCAAGATTCTGTCAGTAGGAGACAACGGTTCTTGTTTAATATCTGGCTGGGCCATAATTCCTTTGTCTGAGATAAGAAGAAAGGGAATGAATAAAGGCTGAAAATTTTAGATACTTCACAAACATCGATATCAAAGATCTGGCGAGAACAACATTAAAATGTTTGAATATATATCGGCTCTTCCAGGAGCCAACACCTTTTCAGAAGCTCAGGGCAGAGACTTCAGATCTACGAGTGAGATACGCGCTGAGTACTATTAGTATTGACAGTACCAGAATAATGCAGCGTGTGGCGATAAGGAAAATATTGATCTTAAGAATTAATGTTTCACATCAAGTAAACTTGGACCTCGGCTTGGGTTTAAAAGTGACACTAAGGGGATCGTTCACCAAACTTCCTTCCCCTCCTCCCACCACCATACATAGATCCACCACTGCATTCAAAAAAGACAGACTGCAAATAATCGTCATCACGGGGAATCTCCGATAGTCGTTATTAAGTAAGTAAGGTACCGTAAACGGACGCTTACAAGTCTTGAGCGTATACATCTTCCCAAGGGTTTTCAGGAGAGCTTATAAAAGAAGGGACTTATAACCGGAACAGATAAAGCGCTTCGAAACAAGCTATAGCAGTGCTAATCAAAATACGTTTTGCATTTACTAGTTTTTAATTAAGCTTCAAACGTCATGATCAATCGAATTCTTTTTAAAGCATTTGGAGTGGGGCCTTCTTATATCAGAGGGGACATATCGGATTTATTTCTTTTTTCTTGGTTACAGGGGCGTGTAACCCGGGGAGCTTATTAGAGGATGGGAAGGGCGGGGGTTATAAGCAGTAATTTACGGTAGGCCGAAGAAAGACAAAATATAGCTAAACATATTGCAAAAGACTCGAACCTTCGATATATCATTACCTTCCATCACAGGTCTCGGATCGAACCATGTGTTCATGTAATCATGATCCAATAGGTGGGCAGGCCAGTGAAATGTTGGCCAGAAACCAAACCCACTAAAGGGCTTGCTTCCAAGTGGATAATATGGAGCCTTTCTCGGTGGTTCCTGAATAAAGGAAATAGTATTGGTTTCAATGATGAATATACATGAATTTTATATAGTTAAACCCGTCCATGAATGAAGCCGGGCAGTTAGACGCAACTTTTATATGCAGTTGCGAAAAGAAAACCTGAAAGTATTGGTATAATAATATATATGAAATATCCGCCTGTTGTGTTTTCACTCATCATTGATAGCAACAATAAGTACTAGTAAACGTTGGTTTTTTTTCCTTCAATATGAAACGTTTTCACATGCATGACGTCACGGCGGCCATATTGGTGTCCCAAAACAATGAAACGGCAGCCATGTTGGTGTTCCAAACCAATTGTGTGAGAGTGGAACCTTTTTCTTCTATAAAAACCTTCTTCAGTTTTAATACATTTGTATAGCTGGTTGGCACGAGTGAGTGAAAACGCTCAATTGACTATCCTGTTCACAATCAGACTACAGTACTAAGTATATCGACCAGCAAGTAGCTGAAAGTTTACTTTCACTGTGGGTTCATTTGTGGTATACCGAAAGACCAGTGACGCATTCGCCCGCGTAAAGTTTTTATTGTTTTTAGGCTAAGCAACAACAAAAAATCGGCACCAAGATAGGAATACTACGCTATATGAATGTATTACAAATGACATCACTCTCAAATATAAGTACAGGGTTTGGGCAGCGACAGAAAGGAACGGCCAACATTTTATTTTCATTTTATCATGGGAAAAAGCCCGTGCTCCTTTAAACACAACTGTCGATAGATTAATGAAGCAAATGAAGCAAGGAAGAAAATATATTCATAAACGTAATGTTCTGTGACCAAACCGAAGCAAAGCAAAATTGGTAATATAAACATCACTCGCTTAAACGCAAGGGCTATTTTTGCCACCTGAAACAAACTCAGTATTCCCTGTCAGTGAATAAAGTGACAATACATTAAAGCTTACAGAACGCGCTTTTCGTTTTTGTTTTTCGGTTTTCTAACCTTTTCGTTGGTTCGAAAGTTTAACAGTAAGTTTTCTAAATTGTGTTGAAAACTTATTTAATATTTTTCTGAGAAATAATATCTGAACATACAGTTTACAGTGTTATCTAACCGGATAAACTGACATTCACACCGCCTAACTTTATGTCTTTCCACGCCTTTCACTAGTGCACTGCGCTATGTCTGATAAGTTCCTGAGGAGAACTTGGTTGCATGTTGTTTTTATGGTATTTAACGATCTCACAAACTGAAATGCGAGGGGTATAATTGACAGAGCGAGAGGTTAACAAAGCGAAAAACATTTAAGCCTGATTCACTCGTTGCTTTTCAAAACTAAATTGGCTTTCCTTCCTTCAGTTTGAATCTTTAAAGATGACTTTAATATTTTGCCAAGCGGCCTCAATCATACCGAAAAAAAAGCGAGGTGTCCCATTATTTCATCATTCTATCAGTGTTAACGATTTCCTCATACCTACTTGTAGCATAAAATCCTTTAGTCGTGCCAAAAGATTTAATAATATTAAGAAGGGTATTTCAAGGTAATCACACGGAACTTTTTCTGGAAGTAGTTTGGCTACTTTCCTGAAGTTTTGTTTTAATGTTTATTTCCCCATTTATGGGAAACAAATGGTTTAAGCAATTTCCGCTACATGTATTCCATTTAAACCCTGCGTTCAACTATAAATAAAATAATAATATTTTCCTCATGTAAGGGCCTTGCCAGCATTTATTTTCTGCCAAGCCGCAACCTTTGTCGCAATGAAATTGACAATTGTACTGATTCTATTTTCTGGTGACCAATATAAAACAGTATCTACTTACATTAATTCTATTTTTGACAGATTCCTCTTGGTCCCTTCTTGTAGACTTTCTGGAACTAGCAAGTTCTCTTGAAGTTGATGTAGAAACTACTGTACTCGTTGAGGCGTTTGCTGCAGAAGAAAGCAATTACTGACTTTTACTCAAACTCCGTCAAGATTGACTTCCCGCAGGAATTATAACCGAGGTCTTAAGTCTGTGTTCTAAGAACCTGAAGCAGTCGGAATGTCGCAAAAGACCGCGTAATAAGTGACCCTTGACTACATTCTGAGACAAACGATTAAATTATTTGCGTCGATGGGTTGTACCGGGCTAGTTATGTTCATCTCAGTAGATACACAGACAAAACCTCACTAGATAAACATTCGTCTTTCTTTAATGCATTATATCTCTAAAGAGACAAAGCAACCCATTTTTCCTTTTTTGTTTGCGGAGACGTTTCCTTTGCAACGCGCCCACAATTTTAGTCTTCAATAAAAGTGTACTTTTAGAAACAACCACGCTCTTGTACGCACACACGATGTTCACTGGAAGGTAGCAAAGAAAACAAAATGAACTAGTTGCTAGCTGGTGGCTGCTGCACCCCTCGCGGCCGGGCATGACTCGGGAGCCAACACAAGCAGTCAGTATCGAAGTTCCGCGTTGCACTTTAAACTCTTTCTTGTGATATGTATTCTCCTCAACATGGGTATTCCTCCGCAAGGCATAGTTTTTCCTTGTTTTCCGGCCAGAATAGAGATTGCTCTCTGCACAGGAATTTTTTGTGGCCTTTTGCACAAATTTGCTGAATTTGTCGAATTTGTGGAGTTCAACTCCCAGTTTCTTCGAATTAAAATCTTCTTGTTTGCACGCTGCCAAACAGAATCGATTTTCGCAATCTTGACTCCAACAAGTAAAAAACGTAAATATTTTAATTCAACGAAATACAGCGAGCGTTCAAACTTTCCGAAAATGGCCGTAGATAAAGATTTAGTTCACATGATCAAACTCCATCTGTAAAAGATGGCTCATCATCGCTTATCTTATTGAATTCCATGGTAAAAAGAGTTCGTAAGATACAGACACTATTTGCAGGAAACCGTATTTCACTTAAGATCACCGATTAGGTAATTTACGAATTCTTTAGTTTGGAGAATTTACTGCGATGCCATTCCTGAAATTGAAAAATCCATTATCAGAAAGAATCACTGAATAGATTGACCATTTCCATGTTTATGTTCTGCCAATTATGACCCAATCTTATCTTTGCATAAGATCGAAACATTCTTCAAGACTTTCGAACCTTTGTCGCAAGTGCCTAAAGCAACACTGAGCTTTTATGCGATAATACAATGTCTTGGTTTAAAGATTTCATGTGTTCAAACTAGCATGACGCTTTCTTGGAATAGTCAAAACCAAAAAAAAACCTCTGTGGTCGAAACATGAGTGCGCGTTATGGACGCCGTGTACTATGCAGTTGCTAAAAGAAAAAAATTTTTCAAGGTTTCATTTAGAATCTATGCATTAGCTGAAACAAGCTTTAAAACCGTATTTTGTCGCGCATTTTAATGAAAACTCTCAAGCATGAATGCTGAATCCACACATGTCCCAAGCTGCTTTCCTACAGGGTGCGACTACTGAAACCACGCCCTAATCAACCTTGCGATTTTCGTTGAAAAAATATCCCGGGGAAGTCCAATTTTTCCAGCGCAGTAATAAAAACAGGAAACCGACATTTAACATCCCTGAAAAACTTCAAACTGGGTTAGAAATCCCGCTTTAAACGTTGATGTTTCCAAAAGAGACCCACCTTATATGCAAATTACGTCATTCAGGTCTTTTTCTGGGAAAATGTCCAACATCCGCATGTATTCATTTTTCTTAGAATTAAAGCGCAGTTATCGCCTGATGCAAATATTCCTCGTTGATTTCGGCACTGCATTTTGGTTGAGTAGAAACATTGATTTTGCTACAACATGAGTGAATTATAGATGATCTTTGCCTTTTTTCAAAATATTGTTATGGCTATTTTACGTGCTAATCCGTTAAGGATAGAGAACAAGGGGGTCACGGGTTTATGCACAAGGAAGGTTTCGAGCATCCCAAACCTTTGATGCAGGGTACATACTGTTGATTAATGCTCTTCCAATTTGCAGCAAGGCAATTTTTTAACTATGTGCGAGCGGCAAACAACTACTCTGAATAATGAATAAGTTAATAAAATTGATTTCATCAGCGTTTCAGATAGTTTCGTTGTTTATATTTGTGTCAGCGCAAGTCGCCGTGGAAGTCGATCTTGTGTTGGTCAGGCCGTTTGAAATACTCACATTTACTCTGTCCGCGTCTCGACTGCCCAGAATCTTTCTTGTCGTTTTTCCTGATAATCTGGTACACTTTGTATGCATCTTGCCCACGCGCGATGCCCTGATTCGGAAGCTCACGAATGTCCGGCAAAGCATTCAGGGCACAGCGGAAATTAGCCTTCCATCTTCGCGGGTCTGGCTTGTCGATACCTCGTCTGTAGCGGCCGGTATGCGCCGCCCAGGCTTCGAAGACGCAAGCATCCTTGACCACGGACCAACACTGCCTGGAAGCATGTTTCCACGGAACTTTAAAGATGCCTTTATCGCGATCTACCCACTGGAGTCCTCGAAGCCTGCCGCTGTCTGCTTGTTGTTCGATCCATGCGCGTAGTCTCATCTTCTCCGCGGGCATCGCGAACTGATTTTCTCTTCAAACGTCGAGTTATAAAAAAAAATACTGTAGTAGGAATATCTCAAATTTTTGTCGCAGATTGGAAGAGAGGAACTTCTTGGTTGCTGGCTGACTGAGTAACGAATGAATGAAGCTTTCCTTTTTGATCAGAGGTCTTTTATCTCAGACAGTTCGTGACGCGCGGGGAGTCCCCGAGTATTTCCGGGAACTGTGATGTCACTGGCAACCAATCAGAAGCTAGCGAGTTCGCGGCAAAAACACATTGACATTAAACGAATTTAGATCGGTTGTAACTAGGGTGTGTCAAGTAATTCTCAAGACTTTTGAACCTGAATACATTTTATCTTACAAAATGTCCAATATACTAATTATTTTTCTATCAAATGTCGGTAATCTCTATGCTGCGTTTGCATATTAATAAAAGCAATGAATCAGTTTCAAAACTTGGCCAGTTTTAGTTTCGTTATCTTGTAGAATCGATGATAAAAAGTGAAACATGGAAAAGAAAACTGAAGCGGAAAACTTGACGCTTCAACAGAAAACGAAAGAACTTCATGTGCGTTACCTTGAACGCGAATGCAAACGAAAACATATGGCCGGCGGAATTACAAAACAAAAATTCACGTCTTGTAAAATACCTCAGTAAAACAAGGTACGGTAAATACCGGGAAAAACTAATTTTAGAATTCTTTTGTCTAAATTATGTACAATACAGGTAAGAAATTGTCCCACCCTATGCCATGTGATTCGGGTATGATCCTAGTTTTCGATTAGTATAATAAATTCAAATTAACGAAAGCAATTTTAAGATCGCTGGGCAAAAAGAAGTTGTAATAGCACCTCCCTTTTAAGTCTTGTTTAACGTTCTTCATGTAGTGAAGTCAGAGGGTTGTTTTTCGAAAACAACTGGTTACATAAAACGTAAGTGGACTCGTGACATTTCGGGCTGTAACGAGCTAAATTTAAAACGGTGACTCCAGGATATTACGTTGAAAATATGTAAATATCAAAATGTGTATTTATTAGCATGTCTGAATAAAATGACGATTTTTAATCGCAAAGAAAACGAAATGCAAATAAGAAATTGAAAGCTTTAAAACGTCATAGAAACTGACAAGAAAGAAATGAAAGAAACAAATTATTCCTTTCGATCAATCCGAGAAATGTTCGAAAGCGTGACACGATGGTGCGAGACTTCGTTACACTGTATAAACACTCAGTGTGCAACGAGTTGTTTTTCCGGGTACGGTTTTTGACATTAAGAAACATAAATCCTAGTTAAATCTATCATCAATGAAGCATTTGTTTAAAGCAGATAAAGGTTGTTTTGCTTTCGTCTTTAGCTTTCGATCCATCTGATACGAACAGGGAAAGTCGATTTGTATTCCACGTGTACGAACAACTTCCGTTTCCTAGCTAGACTGATGCGTGCATGCTGCGCCTACAGCGACTACCATCTAATGATATTTGTTGTTATTTGGAGCTGATACAGCCACAGGTCAAGTTTTGTGATTTTTCCAAAATATATTTCCTCAGATAAAAAAGTAGACTAGAACTACGCTACGCTAAATGTCTCCTTATGCTTTATATTTTTGAGGATTTGAGGAGAATACGATCCTTAAATTTTACAAAGAGCTCGATCAGAACAAACAATTGAAAGAACACCTAAAAAGCTTATAAAGAAACCTTGCAAGATTATGCATTACGTTTCCCTTAGTCGCAGAGAAAGAACTAACCCAAGACAAGCGTATTTAGTTCGGCTTTTTTGAGGACACGGAAGTTCAAAATTAGTTGCCTGTATTAAATTACATTTGCAAAGTTCTCCTCTTGTACACAACATTTTGTCTGTTAGGTATGTTATCAATACAGCTAGACGGGATATACACACGTTTTTCCACCTTAGAAAAATCAAAAAAGGCATTAGAGGAAAGGAGTTTAGACGTCAATTAAGTTAAGAATAACTTCTAAGAACCGCGTGAGTTTTTTTTAATATTCAGTATTCACCCCTCAAGGGGTATTGGCCCCTAATTCGACCCTAATTCACAAAGACCGAGGCGGAACTACAAAAATATATATATATTATATTATCCTAAAAATGCCCCCCTAGTGCGAGGGCAGCTTCAAGTATTCTTTTAAAATGAAAAACAACGATTCTTGAAAAGTAGAGTTGTATACCTGGAAATCAATGATCTAGGGAAATGATTTACGTTTTGTTTAGCGGAAAGATGTATTTCATAAATTATCGTTGCGGCGCTGTGGATCGTAAACGTATACTGTTTTCATTGCACGCTAGCTATTTGTGCAAATGACCTGCTTGAGGGAATGGTTTGATTTTTTAACGGGAGGCTGGTTTTGGTTGGCGAAAGGGTACCTACAGAGGTAGATATTGCAAGTGCAGGACGTGTTATCTTCAATCCTGACATGAACTCCTCGGTGTTTTCAAGTGAAATCGTCGCACACAGGAGAGGGAAGTGGTTAATTGGATTGTTCCTTAATGTGTGGCTTATCGATAGGCTCGGACAAGGGCCTGGTTTGGGTAATCTTGGGGTTTGTAAACGATTCAATTCAGTAACGCACATAGAACTTAGGAACCTCGAACGTTTGCGGCTCAGGGGCTAGTATGGTTTGGATCTTTGTTCTTGCGTACAAAATGAATAGATTCCAAAATAGCTAGGAGCTGTCGATCTCTAATAATGGGCAGGAAATGTTATTGATTTAATATACGCAGGTTTTGGACACCTCCTCGAGCAACTATTATTTATAAATATCTAACTTAACCTATTCTTTAACTCCAGGAGCATTGCTTTGCGGGCCTCAAATACTAATGCCCTCAATTCATAAACGAGTGACTTCAACAGACAGCAATATAGGGCCTAAACAAAATACTCTATCAGACACGAAAACATTAAGTCGCCAACAAAGGCTACGCATGAACGGAAGTCTTGTATAATTAGTTATTTCCTAAATTTGTTGGTGTAACACTCAGCAAGTTGATAACTGAATAGTGGCTTCATTTTTTATTATGTCAAAGTTTAAGCAAACATTTCTCGTAAAACAAAGAATGTCCTTGTTTGCAATTTAGAGACGCTGTGCAAGCACATGTGATAGTATTCTAAGAATAAGGTTCACCTTTCGAGCTTAAACACACCCTATGAATTACGTCTCGTCACACCTTAAGTTAAAATAACCTTTGATTCAACTTCCGTGAGAACATTGGACATTTCATAAATAAATTCTCTCGGTTCATTGATCCACTTAAATGTACAGAGTGAAAAGGTATAGATGCGCATTGGCTGATTCTAGTGTGATAATTGCAATGGTTGTAATGGTTTATATATATGTCGCACTATTTCATACGTTAATGCCGGCTTATTGTCACCAACGACTATTTCATAAACTTTTCAGGTTAAATTTATATTTGGATTGGCGTTTATTTGTGCTCTATTTCCTTTAAAGCTTATCCCAATTAATTAAGTCGATATAGGTAAATTTCTCATTTTTTTTGCTTCTGGCCGTGGTTTTTCATCTTTAAATAAATGGTCGCCCTTAACTTGCAAAACACTGCGCATGTTGTTATTAGGGACCTTACGATCCGACAACGGCAACGCCAATGAAAACGTCGCTAAAAATAGACTTCGCCTCCTTTCAAACTTTTTCACCCTAACACCAAGTCACCCCGGGTAGTTGAAAATAGTGAAGTTAGGTTGGAAGTGAAGGGACAGGACCGAATTCAGACAGAGATAGAAAAGTTGATCGCCTTGCCGTTCCGTTCTAAGTAAACTCAAAATTTGGCCATTTAACGTCGAAGTTATGCATTTTAAGGCACAGAAATTTACAAAAAGGGTGATACAAGTACAGAATTGTTGTCTTGCTCATAAAACCCACTGGGCCAGTTATTTCAACGGAGTTAAGCCCGTGTTTAACAGAACCGTGATCTAAGCCATATTCAGTTTGCCCAACGCTTTTAATCTAAACACCATTTATCGTGCACAATTTCAATAAAGCACAAAGCGTAGACTGGAAAAGCATGCACGTATTTTCTTAAATTTACCCACTAAGAAAGGGATCTTTAGGTCCAATGATTTCCTAAACCGCGGCCTAAGTTAGACTTCGTATAAATAACCGACCCATTGTGTTCTAGACGTTCCCCGTCCGTCGCCGTCGCTGTCTCCGTCGCCGTTGCAGTTTCTTATATTTTTCGTACTTGTCTCTATATTGTTTGGCTGCAGACTTCGAAATTCTCTTTTAAAATACTTCACGCGGCTACGCCTCGTACTTTTCCTTACACTGACTTCTTTCAAGTTGCTCATATATTCCCTTGCACTGAAACAAATCAAATTTCAGAAGGAACACGTTGACGGAAGATCTTTCCAAAAATATTCCACGACACTTGAAAGGTAAGCTTAATGAAGCCGCGTACAGATTGTTAGCACCGGAAAGCCGATTTAGAACAGATAAATCTAAAAAAGGAGATTCTTTTCATTGCTCTCGAGTTAAAATCTCCGTTAGAAATACAAGCCTGGGAAACTTGTAAATTGTCAGTACTGTTGATAGGGTCTGTGGACTGTAAATGGTAGCTCATTTCGTGGTGCGTACTTCCGGGTGATCTTATTTACATTTTGCAAAATTAAAATCAGGACCTCGTTTTTCCATAGATCGCAGTTTTAATAATTACGTTAAACTTTAAAACTGCTCTATGTATTTATCGTTTAATAAGATGGCTTTAAGACAAGACTTGTTGAAAACTACGACAGAGAAACGCCAAGTAGCCACAATTTTGTGAACTTACGAAAAAGGGTTTGTCTGACTTGAGACATCTTCTACCGAGTAGTCGGGAATTAAATCGATCGGAAATGATGTCTTAATTAAGCCATCTAAGTCATCTATCAGTTCTAATTCAAAGTTCCTCTTTATCTGTAAACTGTTCTTGACGGTAACATTAAAGGCTCAGTAATTAGATGGAATTAAACTTTTAAGTTGTGACTTGGAAGTTTGCCTATACTTGCTGTATTTTTATAGATATCGGCCTTGTTGCTGTATGGAACCACTCATGACTAAAATTTCCCTAAACAAGATCGACTTAAAAACTCTCTAATCGCATTTTTTTTGCTGCTTTCTCTTTGTTTGTTCAACCCATTTTACAGTGACGAAGCCGCTGTATGTTCCGTCAATGTTTAACTCCATGCCTACCGGAGGTATTTCACTGTATAAGCGTTCACTCCAAAATCGCCACCCTAAAAATGGGTGTCAACAAGCAATTTATTACTAACATTACATCAAGTGCAAAAAAGAGGTTTTTAAAGAGTCTAAAAACCCCTGCCATGCAATGGACTTCCGTAGCTTATTCAATAGTTTTTGAATCAGTATAGACAATAATACCACCCGTAAGTTACCGGACGAATAAGATTGGCCAAGGTTTACTACTATCAGCTTTAAATCCGGTCACCGGATTTCCGTAGTTTGATAGAAAGCCTTTTGTCAAGTGCCAAACTGTAAATAGAGGACAGTGGCTGCAACTATCCCCGTTCTAGAACTTCCCGTCAGGAAACCATGGATGCATTAACTAGCGAGTCTGCTTAGCACGAATTGCGCGCCTATAAACGACCTTTGAACTGTGCCGCCACAGGAAGACTGGCATGAATCTTTAAAATCGTGGAACCAGTTTCAACTCAAAACTGAATAATGCAAATGCGAAATTCAGATTCTGGAAATGGGAAAGATGAATACAGTCAATGACCTTGTGAAAAAAACCCCTCTACAGCGGGTACAGTACTGGGTTTACCTTGCAAATCATTTTTCCTGCGTATAAGGTTTGTCTTAAAAAAAAAGCTTTCTTGAAAGGTGAAATAGTAGATATTTCACTAATAAACTTAACATAAAAAATGGTGAACATGGAAACTGCAAACTAGTACAAGAGAGTAGCCATGAATTAAAAGTGAAAAGTTATTTCAACGTGATTTGATCATGCAAACAAGGCGATATTAAAAAAATAAAAACAACAAAACTTTTTTGCACTTAAAAGAGCACACGGCGTCACTCACGTTTGACAAAGAAGTCAATATCTGAAAATGAGGTGTTTGGTGATTTCAGTCTGCCAATGACACGGTGACAGGGAAAAAAATCAATTATTCTCTCCAGGAGCATATCCACGTATGGGCCATATAAGAAAGTGCTTCCTGTCGCCCGCAATTCCCCAGGGCCTTTGGCTGAAAACCCATATCCAGGAGACATCCCGGTGAAGGCGAAGCACAAAACTGACCCACCCATTACAGAAAAAAATCTCTTTGGTCTTGGAACCATTTTATTTCGCAAGCGAAGCTTAGTATACAGATTTCTGAGGAATAAACTCTTATAAAACTCTTCTCGTTATTTTACATAAATATAAATTCTTAACCTCCGATGCAAATAACGTGTTTGCGAAAATCGGTTATAGCTGAAACCATACTCGACATGAGCGAATGATAAGCATTACAATTATATATATTAACCCAATTAATTATTAAATATGTCATTAATAAAATCTCAATCTCTTCTTCCGCTGTCTTCGTTTCCTTTCCCTTACAGTCAGAACGGAAAACTTCACACGGCTACAACCAAATGGCTTTTCAAGTGATTTTAGAGGTAGAGTATCAAAACCTTACTTTCCATTATCGTCTATTTTCGCTTTAAAACGTCCAGGTACTGCCTTTTGTATAGTAGTAATAAATTTGTTCGGTTATCAGAATTAGGGAGTTTAACATGACACGAAGGCAACCAGAACGTCAAAAACGCAATAGGTTTAGGTTAGCAAAACAATAACTTTTACACGCTCAGCACACTTTGTAACGTGAAAAGAATGACGAATTTTGTCTTTCTCTCTTTGAACTTGGATAGTTTTTCTAAAAAATTCAACTCCGGGAGAGCTCGCCTACATTTGACAAAGAGGACGAGTTGGGATACTCGTGCCTTTTCATTGAAGTTTCGCCGCCCTAATTGTCATGAACGTTCTTTTCTATGAATTAAACTGAGAATCTGGCTTTTCTAGGGAGAAAGAGGAGCGAAAGGATAAGAAAGCGAGGATAGGATAGGCCATTTATCGTCCGGAGGCACGAATAAGAAACTTCTATTCTGGTTCTATCGTCGTTGTCTTCTGAAAAGACACCTGCCATTGTTTTCAGGGCTAAGGCAGGACATTGTTTCGTTAGCTAATTAAACAACGTCGTCGTCAGAGCTCCATGGCACCCCGTTTCCCCTCTCTCCTTCTCGACCCTCTTCGTCTTTTTAAATCTCCTCTTCAGTGACCCGTATGAAAGGCTTGATTCTCAGTTCAGTATGAAACAATAGTGAAGTCACGCAATAGGACGGCAAAGGCAACGGCAAACCTTGTGTGACAAGCCAAGCGAGAAAATGTCATGCTTGAAAAACAATTTCCGCCAAACTTCAACTCCCCTAAAACAGATCCTTCGGTGAAAGACCAGGGACACGTTTCTCGAAAGTCCCGATAATTAACGGGCCCGTAAAGCTGTTGTGGTTTACATGGAAGATAGAGGTTTCAATAGCTTTGTATCTAATAGATAAAACTATCAGTTAATGAAACGAAACGGAGTAGCACGCTAGCCAGGACCCACGCTCTTGTTCTTTACATTTCGATTTGAATGTGTGTTTTCGGGCCCGAAAGTTACCGGGACTTTCGAGATCACGACAAAACACCCAAGTAATAACCCTGTCACGTTTGTAACACACACACGTTTTGCCGTCCTCTTCTTTCTGCCCTCCTTTTGCCTAAGCTAACTATCGGTACAAGAGAAGTACTTCATATTTATTGGAAAATGCAGCGCGATGGACTTTACAGCGAAAATAGGCGATTTTTGGATCAGATTTTTTGGTAAATTTGTCTATAATTTTTTAAAAGAAAAATGAATTGTCGGCGAAGGAAAATGGACCGTGCAAATTTCCATTAAATTAGTTTAAGTTCGGGGATAATCAGAGTCACTTCTTATCTTTTCTTTTGCATGATTGATTGTCTTTCTAAAGCACCCCGCCCCCTCCCATTCCCGAATCGCACCACAAGCCTATATCTCACTAAAAATCATTTATCTTGGCGTAACAACAGGATGCGGCGTGTAACATGGGTTACTACGCGGGTGCCAAGGGTCTGGTAGGAGACCACGTTTCCAGGGGTTAGGTAGGAGACCAGGTTTCGGCGGAAACGCAGGGTTACCATGTTGAGGCACAGGGACCCCACAGTTTCCATGTATCGGGTACACCGGGTCAAACTGCTGTCGGTTTGCTCTGTGATCATGTGGCATTACGCCTCTTTGCTGATACCACCAAGGCTTTGGTGGTATCTCCGTTCCTCTGTTATTAACAGGAAACGGTGTAGGTAGAGGAGAAACCCAACAAGGATATGAATGGTGTTCGGTATTTGCTTTAAAATATTTTCTCTCGTTATAATAGTGCACCGTAGGCGACATGTACTCAAACTGAGGTCGTCTTGGATAAGGGCGGTGTATGCGAGGATCTCGTATGTTCGACTCGCACAACATCGCACGCGGCATTCCATGTACTTGTTGACTTCGATTCATTTCCAGATCCAAGGAGACCAATGGAGGTGGAGGAGTCAAGTTTTTCAGTGTGCCTCTATTTTCTACCGCTTCATTGTGGGTTGGCATCAATTTGGGTTGCTTTGCCAAGATGTATCCCTTCTCTGTACACTTTCGTTTCATACTTCGTATTATGTTATCCCACTGCATGGCTATCAAAGGTTCACTCTTGTTTTGAGTGTCCTGATAATAAACGCCTTGGTGACAAACTTTACTTTTAACTTGCGAGGCTTGAGCATCGGACTTTCTATTTGAAGACGGCGGCGGTGAAATAACAGAGGGCGCTCCTGCTGACTTAACGATATTCGTACCCAACTTATCGCCCTTCTCAGTCTCCTTGCATTTTACATTTGCCTCGACTTTGTCAGAAACGACTGCACTTTTGGGTTCAATCTTGTTTTGAGTGTCCTGATAATGAACGCCTTGGTGACAAACTTTACTTTTAACTTGCGAGGCCTGAGCATCGGACTTTCTATTTGAAGACGGTGGCGGTAAAATAACAGAGGGCGTTCCTGCTGACTTAACGATATTCGTACCCAACTTATCGCCCTTCTCAGTCTCCTTGCATTTTACATTTGCCTCGACTTTGTCAGAAACGACTGCACTTTTGGGTTCAATCTTGTTTTGAGCGTCCTGACAATGAACGCCTTGGTGACAAACTTTACTTTTAACTTGCGAGGCTTGAGCACCGGACTTTCTATTTGAAGAAGGCGGCGGTGAAATAACAGAGGGCGTTCCAGATGACTTAACGATATTGGTACACAACTTATCGCCCTTCTCAGTGTCCTTGCATTTTACATTTGCATCGACTGTGTCAGAAACGACTGCACTTTTCATTGTGCGTTCACTGGGTTTCTTAACCTCTTCCGTTTTTGAAGTTTTTTCAGCCAGCTTACTGGAGCTTATGTCATCCTTCGCAGTTTCCACTTTGGACTCTCTAGGAGAGGGCACTACTGAAAAAGAGTTATTAACCTTTCGTTCTTTTTTCCTGGTTTTATTTTTAGGTTTTGACCACATTAGATTCTTTCCTGTTGATTCGAGTGGTTCCTGTTTTAAATGTTCCCTCAAAAATGTTTCATTTGTTTCGTTATTTCCCATTCCAGTCGTTCCACTTCGATCAAGTGACTTGACAGTCCCCTGAGTGATTGTGGCGGAGGAAATACTTTTTGACTCAACATTTCCGAAGTTACTTTTTCTCATTGACTGTACTGGAGACTTCGTCATATCCTTAACAGGTTCCAGTTCTTCAGAGTTTTCAACTATATGACAGTTTAAAAAGACGTATGAGCATTTTGTCTTCTCCACCAGGTTTTGTGACGAGCTTGTAAATTTTATCTCCTCCTCCCTCTCTTTTGATGACAAGTTATCTGGACAGCTTTCTTTTTCCGTTTCATTTCTTGACTCCGTTTCATGATTGATGTCTCTCCCTTCCTCTTCTGCTTTCCCGAGCAGTTTCTCGGTATTTTTCAATCTTTCCGATTTTCCTTTAACGGTTTTATTATGTGTCAAATTCGTCTCCGCTTGTAACAAACGGGGTGAAGAAGTTGACAAATGCATTGCTTCTGACTCATCACCTATCGCTATGTCACGGCTTGTAATCTCTTTTTCCTTAACTAAGCAATCTTGTTTGTCTTCTTCAATTCTATAACCAGGATAACGCGTTTCTGGTAATGTCATAACAGAACATCTGTTATCCACCTCCTCCTTTTCCTCTGAGGTAACTGCTCCTTCTCTCTCGTCGTCAGTGCCGTTTCGCTTCACTTGTATTTCCGATAACAATCCATCACAACCACTACCTTTTTCTGTTTCTTGGACGTTCGGTAAAGAAACTTCATAGCACCCTCCCTTTCTTTCACGCGCAGGTAATTCTACCTCTGAACCGCCGACGATGACATCATCCATTTGAACTTGTAGCACGTCCTCGAGAGTCGCAGCTGGTCGCTTTTGTGTGGTAATTTCACATGGCTCTCTGTCTAAATTCAGATGAATAGGCACGTCCCTATCTTTCGTAGATTCCATCATCTGAGACCCCTTCAAAATAACAGGCTGACCAACTGGCCTTTCCGCCTTTGCTACTTCTACTATCTGCTGCTCATCTCTCTTGAACAAAGGACCTAAGCACACTTTTTCACATTCCTCCAACCGTTCGGAGCATTGTTGCTTCGAACCTGTGTTCTCCAGTTCCTTCACGTCCCCGCTAAAAAAGACATCTTTCTTTGGCAGCTTACTTAAACATCCGTTAGCTAAGTTTTGAGAAGAGTGCGAAACACACACTATACCATCAACTTTATCCCCTTCAACAACAACAACAGATTCAGGAATTTCTGACTCGTTTTCTAATCTGGATTCTTCAGGTAAGTCCACTTCGGACACGAAATTTTCCAATGATGAAACGACTACTTCCGTACAGAACTCTGGTACCACTAAGCTCTCCTCGACAAGATGCGTTTTGTCCTCAGTTGTTTCGCTGATACCGTTCTCGTCTTCATCAACAACAGGTATTCCCGGAAATCTAAACGTGAATGTCTCCATCGGTTCTGATGGAGAACACACCACAACTTCTGGCTCTGGTATATCACATTCATCAATATAAGGCCCAGTTTCAAATGGCTCAACAACTGGATCTCCTTCGATTGAATCTATTTCATATTCTTCTTCCTCCATGTCCAAAAAGCCGAATGCCTCATCTGTGAGGTGTGTTTCATTACAACTAGAAGAGCCTGGTACGAAGCCCCAGTCCTCTATGAGTGACATTTCTATTACCCCTCCCTCGCAGGGTTGTGACTTTGTAGGTGTAACAGAATCTTGGGTTTCAACAGCAGAAAGGCCAAACATCGGCGGTTTTGTGCCTTCACTTCCGTGTTCCGTTACGGAAACTCCCATACTATCAAAACGTTCCACACAATCTTTATCTGGTTCTGGTTCTTTTGTATTTTGCGGATGAATGACTAACTTGCACGGCGAACACGTATTTTTGTCAGGCTGGTTCGCGTTTAGACCTGTTGCCGTTTTCAAAGCGCCTTGAAGTGCTTTCAACCGTTCTATGCACAACTTAGGCAACTTTCGAGGTGACAAAGAAGACTCCAAAACTTTGCTACAGGACTGTGCACAGGATGTAGAGAGGCTGGTGTTCTCATCTAAAGAACAATTTTCTTGTATCAGGATGTTCGCTGCCGATCCTGATAATACAGAGTTTCTTGGTTTGGACTGCTTTTCGACAGTATCCGGTGAGCTTTTGAATGAATAGGGTCGATCAAAACTTAGAGAATTGCCTTCAGCACAGTCCAAAGACATCTCCGAGTCGCTTCCGCCCGCTTCAGCTCCTTTGTACATTGAAGTAACGCTTTGTTCGCGAGAGCGCGCACCCTCATCAATGCTCAGAGATTTCGACCAATCCGAATTCTTCTTACTGGAATTTTGAAGTAGCTGAGAGTTTGTTAACATTGCACTCTGCCCATTGTGATTCTCACAAATCAAGTTTCTATCTAACGTTTCCGATCCATCGTTTTTATCAAACACTTCCGATTCGTCGTCTGTTGATATGGACATATCGACACACATAACAATATCATGTGATTCAGGTTCACGGCTAAGCTCGACGCCATCACCATGGTTAGTACTATCAGTGTCAGGAGACTTTGTATCGCACAGTACAACCAGTTGATCGTTAGCGGGCGAGACTGTATGTGCAATAAAATTGTTCTGATTGGTTGGCTTCGTGGTAGAATCTCCAGCAGCTTCACAAAGCAGTCGCGTTGCAGTCGCTGCAACAGGCATGTTTTGGACAGATTCTGTAGTCGACGACCTCGGAAGAATTGTCTTACCGCGCACGACCTTCTCAAGCGAAGCTTCTGCTGTCGACACTCCACTGAAGGCGTGTAGAGTGGAGAAAGAGTAGGCTTGGCCTACAGTAATTGAACTGGGCAACGACTCTGAGATTTCCATATCAACTGTTTGTAAATTGTCTTGCAAGTCCCAAATGGCATCGAGCTGAGAAATATCGGGTGGTGATGCGGTATTCGTTAAGGTGCGTGAGCCAGTTTCATTAGACAAGCAGGGATCGTTTGGACACTCATCTGCAACAATTGATGTCGTTTCCAACAATTCTCCTGTTTGATGACGTTCCCTACTACACATCGAACCAAAGGAAACGGACAGGACATTGGGTGAAGTATTAGCATTTGTATCTTTCACAAGAGGTTGCTCTGATTTGGAATCAGAGTGACTGCAATTTGCGGTGTCCTTTTGTTTTCCTAACGTAACCAAACGCGTTAGCTCTGGTGATAACGTTTCTTGAGTATCCGCAGCTGTTTTGAACCCTTCCTCAAGTTCTGAAGTCGATACTTCTAGAGAATTTTTACCATCTTCCACGTAGTCCGGGTTTAAGCTTTTTACCTCACGTAGACCACATCCTATCACCTGCGAATCACTAGCTATGAAATTGCTTTTGCGCACCTCGCTGTCACGAGAAATATCAGACTGGATCCTAGGCCTCGCTGAGTCATCTTGTAAACGGAGTCTTTCGGGCGAGCTCGCACTCCTAGCAGTTCTCTGTAAAGGCTTCGTTGCATCTTTTGGAGAACTGTCAGAGAAGGACAGCGACCGTTTTACACCTTGACGTGGACTTGGGCGTTTGGGACTCAGTCGTTGGGATTTCTCTGTTGGCGACACAACAATCTTTGCCTTATGCTTGGTTTTCAAATCTAACAAGGATGGCTCGATGACTGTTGATTCGTAACCCGCACTCGTGCCAGTGTTTGAATGGTAGGCTGCGCGGTTGTTGAAAGGTGGGCTGAAAGGACTAGTAAGCGGCCACACGGATCTTGGTGACAGCGCAGTAGTTTGACGACGACAGATGATGCAGAACACCCTAGGAGGACTCTCAGTTTCACAAAATCCTGAAAATGACATTCAATACGTGTATTCAAGAAAAGGTAAAATGTAACACACACTAGGACAACTTGCTCTGAAAAGGGATAAACTATTTAATAGCAACAGGACATGAAAATGCATTCGTTGCAAGCTGATAAACTCATCAACAAAGATTCACTTTTACTCGGATAGACCATCGTAAAGTAGTTTCAGTTTTTGATAAGGTGTTCCACGAATGTTAATTCTCGACTGTTGACGCCACAGGGAGAGGAGATCCTAACGGATAAGTGCTCATGATTCCTATCACTAGTTGCTGCTATTGTTTTGTTATGCGTTCATTATGAGTTTTTTCGACTCTCACGTCGCGGAAACTGGTCTTCATTCTTGCATAGTTTTCTTTCTTTTACTGTTTCGTATATGATTTCTTAAAGAAAAGATAAGGCTACCCTCACAGAGAATACACTCACCAAGATAAACAGCCAGCTTGCAGGATGGAACAAGAAACATTGTAGTACAGGGGTCGATACATAGTACACCAGCCTGTAAAAAGATAATGCGCGTTAATCTAAGCGCTGATAACGACACTTGGTAACAAATAATTTCAACACAAAAATAAACTATCAAAGGTGCTTTTGTGCTTTGTGAAAGCTACTTCTTGAAATTTTCTTCTTAATTTAGAACTTACAGATTTAGCTTTACGAACGAGGCCTCTGGTGAAGCTTGTAAAGGATTCAGAGGTTTGTCCCTGGGCCGGTTTCATTGTGCAAAGACTCAACGTGTGGCCTCTGAATATTACTGTGGAAAGGAAAGTCATACAGCATACGGTATTTAAATTTTCGTAGCTCAACCAACACCACTTTGTCCCCGCGAGATTAACAAGCTAGATAACGTTAATTGACGTCTCTAAATTGTACCACTTACTAGACCTAGTGGTGAAATAAATGCCTGCTACGTTCGTTCAAATGTAAGAAAATGTCTAACCAGTTCTCACTCTTTCCTGTTGCTGTTTTCGCTGTGCCAGTAAGTTGAGTCGGAACTCCGAACAAACACGTTTATTACACAACGCTAGACAGTCAACTAAAACTGACAGAGAAACAACAAGAGACGCGGAGTGAAAGGTAACCTAGGTAACGGGTTAATTATGCGTGTAGCGAACAACATAGCAGTACAACTATGCGAGCTATGGCGCTGCTATGGTTGGTGGTCTCATCACATGAGTTGACATCTCTGACTCAAGCACACGACTTTCGATTGCATGTCGTTCTCGTACACCCCTGGTAAGGTACCTACAGTAATTGCAATAGTTATAACTTGTATTGTCTAAAAATCAAAACCGCTTAATATTTTCTAAGAGAAAAGCAAAACCAGCCAAAGACTTACAAGGAAAGTTCCAGGCGCACATAATGTCTCCGGGTAAAATTTTTGCAAGCTGTGTGAGGGGGATTTTTCTTGACACATCTAAATAGGATTTCCTGAAACAAGAGGGCCAGGCTATAAACGTTTTGACAGGTAAGCACAAAAGAAGGCGAAGGTTTTAAAGTACAGGGATGGTTATTAGTATAACGTGAAGGTTATGCTTTCGAAACAATACCAATTACTGCACTGAAGCACACGTACCAACTCCGCGGTATGGCCAGTACCTTACGCATGCGCACAACCATATCACCCGGGCAGTGGCAGCCATGGACAGCTGTTTCGCCCTTGTACGTGTGCTTCAGTGCAGTGATTGGTATGCTTTCAAAACCTAGCTGGATACCTTTGGCCTGGAAATACTTTTTCAAGCCAGTGAAAAAAAAAAATCAATTAAAATTCATTCAACGCTCTTAAGACGGAGACCTTTAGGACCGGCACTAAGTGTGTAAATAAGGCAGGGACCAACTTAGTTTAGGTGTCCGTTTTACCGAGGTGTCAGTTAAGAGAGAGTCGACTATACAATTTGACTTGAAAGTTAGGAAGCAAAAACGTACAACGGAAATTGTATTACATATCTCACGATAAACTGAGACAGCTTGCTCCACACTTTATACATATGGCAATAAAGGAAATATGTCACCGACGCATCGGAGGCAAAAATATAGGCGACGCACTTTACTATTACAGGTAAAATATCTTTGCTGGATAATACTTTTTCAATTTTTTTGAAATGAACTGTTCCTAATACCCTAATACCATCTCTCGGCTAGAAGGCCATAAAAATTGCTCACATAAAGTTGAATCCCAGCTTATGCCCCGCCAAAAGAGACACCCGACCCAGGCTCTTATCGCCACTCATCACCAATCCCCTCCAGGCCAGAATACCGGCTTCATCGCTAAATGTCATAGACTTGCATTCCTGTTAGGATTAAAAAGTGCATTAGATAAAACACCTGCTTTTTACAATCATTGTTTCACTTGAGACGACACTAAAACCATACCGGATAGGGTTCCTGTTTACACCTAAGAACGGTCATTTCGGCGCGACTTCTATAACGGAGTGTAGCTGCGCCGCGCTGACCATGAAAGTGGATCGTCACATATCGGATAGGTTTCTGCCACTCATCGTCGAGATGATGATTCACGTTCATAAAAAGGTAAGTCTCTTCAAGTTTTTAATAGAAGCTAACCGTTTGGAGTGCAAACCCTAATCACTATTTTTGGACAATTGCGGAAATAAATGATTAAGAGGGAGAACTGGTACCCACAGAGACGGATTTAAATATTCAAAAGTGAGCATTGGGATTTAGTGCACAAAGCTGTCAGCCAACCGCTCCGGTATACGATGTTTGAAGTGTGTGAACAACTTGTTTCAGTTTTGTGCAGTTTCCGTTCATACTTCACCTGATGGAGAGATTTTCGTATGACCTTGATTATGGTTTCGGTAGGTGTTCGTTATTTGTTTTATCAGCCCATAGATGAAAAGATAAAAAAATAGCCTCTTCACTTTCCCGTCAGAGAAAATCGTAATAAGGAGGAGGCATTGATTAATTGGCCAATCGTGTTGCGGTATGACGTCAAAGCGAAGTATCGATTGATTTCTAGAAAGTTCTTCGGGCATGAAGATTTTTCTCGTCTGAGCGTTCGCTTAACCAACCAAAAGCCACGCGCGTTTGTATCCGTTCGATAAACCATTCAAATCGCTCTTTTTTCGTTCGTTTGTGTTTTTCTGTTTTGTTTACGCGTTTTCATGTCAAGGTCATACGAAAATCCCTCCATCCTTTCATGTCGGCACGAAGAGTTATCCGGCATTGTGTAGACATTATATAACCAAGGTGACAATACCACACCTCGCCTCTAAAAACAACTAGGTTCGTTACAACTGTACCTCCGTGTGTTTTGGATGTTCCTTCCCTGGGCTAACTGGTTTCTCTACAGACATGAGCGATCTCAATTTTGGACTATGCGGGCTTGATAACTCGTTTCTCTTTAAGTGTATGACCGCAAAGGGAAGACAGTGGCGCGGCCGCAAAGATGGAAGACCCTCATCGTTGTATTCATAGAGATAATACTGCAAGGAAACATTTCAAAATAGGTGACCGACAAAAAGGCAAAGATTGCTGGTAATCATACACCAAAGGTGCACAGCTAAGTGTTCGCTTTGCAGAAATGTTTATATTATAGAAGAGAGATTGTATGACTGACGTTTGGTAAGTGCCTTCTAATTAAATGTCCGTTCTATATGGAGTCTTCAGGATGGTCGCGAACTGAGGAACTGTTCTTAAGCCTGAAACATGGGGTCCTATAGTCAAATCTACTTGACAGCGTTACATGTCTGTTTTAATAATTAAGGCATCTGAATTGAAGAGATGGGCACTGTACGAATTCAAGCATCTTTAGCTTCGGTTCAACTGACTGAGCATCATGAAAGTGTCTGTGTGTAGACGTTTGTCACGATCAAGATGCTTGTTACGGGTGAGCGCACTAGATGTAGCGCCGGGGTGATGGTATCAGTAAGTTAGAGAACAAACACGTTATGAAATGAAATGCTACGAGTAAATAATTTTTTTTCATAAGGGACCTTAAGCATCCACCACGACCGTTTTTGCCAATAACTATTTCAGCCTTCGGTCAACACCCCAAAGCATGCCGCTGCACGCTCGCCCGGAACATCAGCTGGTACCGAGGATAACGACTGCAACGAGAGAAAAAACGAAAACTATTTATGAGTGAAATAACAGGTCAGCACGTCTACTGGACGACTTCGACGCTTTACGAAGACGATACAGTCCTAAAGAAATTTTCGTAAACGATCGCTGAAAGACACTTACACAATTTCTGTACTGCCGAACCCGGACACTTGGTTATCCTAATCTCTCTCCCTAATCACTACACTACCATACCGACTCGCCAAAATTCCAAAAAATTTACGTACATAAACTAGCAAACTGCCTTTCTTAACTAATACATCAATAACAGGTGACCCTAGCCCTTTCCATAATTTTTAACGTACATTCAACTCCTTTTAACACCATTCATTGCCTTACAGTAACTTAATCCAACGGACAGCTTTTTTGCTAAAGCCGTATAACTCTTGATCTTTTTTGGACTGCTACAATGCAGTACGCGTAGGGAGACTTCACTGCATGCAAACATTGTTTTTGTTAGTTAAATTTGTAACGAGTGAAACAAAGGAATCTTTTGTTTCAAAAACCAATGCACTTCTAGTCTACATGCAGCCGGACTTGTCAATCGAGACCTACAACCCTGGTCAAAACGTCTTGGGACGCTTGAGGAAATTAGGCACAAAGACGCACTTTGCTAAATTAACTCGTATTCTACCTCTTAAAAAGGCTTGGAGATGTTGTTATAAGGGGCTATTTCTGCTCTCCCCCTCTCCCCCAAGCAGTGTTGATTGTGTTGAATTAAAACTTGAATGCATAACGCCAACATGGCACCGAGGGGGAAGGGGGGAGGGAAGATGCCTCAATTTGACAAGCTATTGCGTTAGTGTCCCAAGAGTTTTGACCAGGGTTGTAGATAGAGAAAACAATATACTGGCCGCACATATGCCAGTCATTGAAAGGCAGAATTATCATTCTCCATCTCTATCTCAATTTTTACTTTGGGCTAGACTAAAGAATAAAAATCCTAGATATTGCGTGATCGGAGTAAGGTATTTGTGGCTTCAGTATTGGTCCGGGATTGGTTGTTCATATTCGTAATTCCAGTCTGCATGGCAAATACAGTTGACTGCATTGTGGTTAAACATAGGTCGGAAATTCCTGTATGATAAGGAACAGTTATTATAAGTGAATCAGTTTGCGAAACTCAAGAACAAAATAACGGTACTGAATAGCGTTTTCTGATGTACAGTTCGTCATCTTGGCCTTAATCTTCATTTTTCCTTTGGTCTTCTTGTTGCTGAGAAGAAGAAACAATACCTCAACAGCAAAGAACACAAAAAAGAAGAGGAAGGGGTGAAAAAGAGCGACACGACAGAGGCCCTGCCAAGACCCGCATCAGCACAGGACTCGACGAGGACCTGACGAAAATGACGACCAGCCGGCAGGAACCTTATAATCCTCGTGGCACAATATTCCGGTGAGACTTCGTAATGTTGCTGCCGTTAATTTTCCATTTCTTGAAGTTATCAATGATAATTGATACCGTTCCCTTTATAAATAATAAATTAATAACAGTTAATAACACTGAGATCTGTTGACACCCACGAGGTTCATCTTTGCACGATTTCTCCGGCAATTTTAAGACTTAAAATAACAAGAAAAAGAAAGATGATTACATCCGAACTTGTTTTTCATAACGAAGCATTACTGTTGACAAATATAAAGTTATACCGCATTTTATTCTTCTAGGATCATGTGAAGGTAGATTTATAGCCATCACGTAGTTGTTTACGAATGATGGCTGACTAGACCAAAGGATGACATCACCCAGGAATTTTATCAGAAGGACTAAGCTGCAAAATAGTATTTCAGAAAATTTAACTTCTTCACTACAACGAATCCATAATGCAATAACAAGTGCCTCGCATAAAAGATAACTGTATTACTGGAATTAGACTGATGAAGAAATGATAATTTATTCGCGGAGATCACCTGTAGCGTTTTATTTTTCACATCGTCGTTTAGATGGGGAATGTAATGTAAGCACTACAATGTTGCTTTTATCCACGGCCGCAGTACAGCTGAACTCCACACTGCCTTAGCTATTCGTTGCTTTGAATTATTAAAGACAGTGTGGATGTTGGATAAAAGCATGTTCAGCACCTCTTGTTTACGCATCAGGAACAAGCAAACCAGAAATTTTAAAATGGCTAGCCTCAAACACAATTAGAAGCTCTTACAAAGGCGCTAATCGACAGAAACTAAATTAAAAAGATGATCGTCATAAGGAAAATTCAACGGTCAATATTATTTTGACTTCATTCGTGACTTTTTACCCGATATTAGCTACTTGACTTCCACGAAGAGTAACATGCATGCAACACAGAGCTGTTTCTTAAAGACGAGCGTGTTGAAATCTTTTTTGCACTGCTCTGGCTATTAAAGGACAAAAAGCGCACAGAGAAAGCGCTATGAATCTTCTTGTATTAAAAGAGTGACCATTTATTCCTTCCGACTATTCTACGTGCGTTTATAATCTGTATTGTTTTGACTGTTAAAACATGGTTATTTCATTCCTCTAAAAAACCGCCAAAGATCAACTCAGTTGTGAAAAAAGGTTACAAACAGAGTACCGAAGTGTGACGTCATAGAAAATGAAATTTGTGAAATTATGGGATTTGTTAAGATATTCTGAAAGAACAACGTCCAAGACGCCTACTCGCCAAAAATTAGCAATTTGGGGCAGATTTTCTCTGAGATATTAGCCCAGTTATGCCCTGATGACTCCATACAAATCCTTCTAAATCTTACCTGGTTCCTAATCTTTTGAACCAAGCCAAATTTAGAAGGATTTGTATGGAATCGTGACAACATAACTGGGCTTATATCTTAGAGACAATTTGCCCCGAATTGCTAATTTTTGGCAATTAGGCGTCTTGGACGTTGTTCTTTCAGAATGTCTTAACAAATCCCATAATTCCACAAATTTCATTTTTATAACGTCATCACCTCGGTACTCTATCCTCAGACAAAATATCGTCGGCACATAACTAAACAGCATCTGAGTGTAAAAATTCACTTTAAAAATGTAAAAAGAAACAACCAATTACTAATTTCATCTAATGATTAAATAGTTTACCACGTCGTCTTAAAAAAAAACTTTTGTAGCGGATTTAAGATGAAGGGTCGTTTACGTCAATGGTGGTTGTTAACAGTAACAACATGCATACCGTCATAACGGGCCACGCCAAAGGCTCCCGAGAACCACCCACATTAGCTGCCTTACTTATGACAAATGAGTTGGCTTTTCTTGTCTACGCCGCTGATGCCAGCCTAGCCAAAGTTTCTTTATGAGCTGATAAGTGACTGAGCTCCATTTCATCGAAAACAAGGAAGCTGAGGAAATGTTTTCGGTCGATTTATGGTTGGCCTTTATGGTTTTTATCTTTATTTTCGCTTTCGGCTGTATAATGCAGGAAAGAAGAACCAATAATTCAGCGGCAAGAACGTCAAAAAGGAACCCGAGAAAACGTAAAAGAGTGACCAGACGCCATCGCGACGATCAAGACAAGACTCGACGAGGACCCGAAGAAAATAGTGATGATGAAAGTTACAACCCGCGTGGAAGAGTATACAGGTGAGACTTCTAAACGTTGCAGCCTTTAATTCAATAATCTTTTTAATATTCACGCAATGTTTACAGTCACTCTTCCTTTTCGTCGCAAACTGAAAAAAATAGACCGCTTTATTACTGTCATATCAACCAACCACACTGGCAGTGAGGAAAATTAAGAGCTACTAACGGTCAATGACAGAGAGACTTCAGATTAACTTCTACAGGTTTAAAGATTACTAGATTTCACGTGGTCTTTGCGAGTAAGCGAACAATCAGGAAAAAGAATAAGAAAAGGAACAACGATGACGTTGCAAAAGTTCAGATGTAGAGTTTTTTTTGTTGCTTTTTTTTAGGACGATGTCAACAGAGAATTGAAATAATTAACTAACCACTGAGGGAGACGTCCAGAAGAAGTCGCCTAAGTTGACGCTTTTACTAGTCACTAATTTGCTAAGCTTGAGTGCTGGTTGAAAATCATTCCATAATGACGTCGCTCTATTTTCCAAGGACCGTTGGCCACTAGCAGTGCGGAAAAGTGGTGTGGATTGCTGAACATTTCAGAGTTCCTGCTTGTCCTTGTCGAGACGGCTGATCTTTTTACGAACTTTGATGTTAGGTACGCGGAGCACACCCGGTCATCAGAACACTGAGTAATTTTGATTTTCAGTGGACAAAAATTTTGTGCAAGAATAATTTAAAGCATATTGCATTCTTTCTTACATTTTTTAAGGTCTAAAGATGTAATAAATCATTTGTAGTAACACCAAAAAAAAATTTCTTATGGGAGCCCGAAAAATGAATGCCAAATTTCACAAAGTTACATCTTACACATGAAATTTTCAAAATTTTACCTATGTAAGCACAATTCTTGTGAAATTTGACATTTATTTTCTCGGACTTCCATGAGAAATTTATTTTGTTTTGGTGGTACTACAGATAATTTATTACATCTTTAGCCCTTGAAAAATGTAAACTAAGAATGCAATATTCTTTAAATTATTCTGGTACAAGGTTTTTGCCCACTGAAAATGTCAATTACTCAATTTCCTGATGGCGTCCATGTTGAAAAAAACATTTTGACGTCATTTCTGCGGTCAAAGTTAATAGACCATAGTAAGCTGTCATCGATTTGTTATTTCTCTGTCATTCTGTTATGCACGTTTTTCACGGCTGTCATCACGTTTTGAAAAAAGCGTCACGTTTACATTAGGGAGTTTAACAACGACAGCGACGGCTATGAAAACATCGCTTAAAAAGTGAATTCACGCTGCTTCAAACTTTATCGCGCTTATTCCATCTCGTTCAGTTCACGAACTGTTGGTGAATTTTATGGAATTTGCTTGGATTTGAATTCTAAAGGACTATATCGAAGTACAGGAAAAGAAGAATGTCACTGTCCTGACTGTCTTGTGTTGCCCGTCCTCCACAAAGCGTAAAATTTGGTATTTTCACGTCCTATTGGGGCCAACGATGGCAAAGAAATGTACAAGAAAGCATGCTGCACGTGCAAAGTTCAGTGTTGTTTTGCTTGCGTGTCAATTTGTCACATGTAGGCGAATCCTGTTTCCCTTTCCTAAATGGTCGTTGCCATGTTTAACAGTCTATGCCACCGTTGCTAACCAGTAAGGTCAATTTAGGGTAAACTGAAGGCAACTCACTGACAAAGGAAGAAACCAAACAAAAACAAGTTTCACATTAACTGGTTCGCTCTTCACCGTACGAATTCATTTATTTATATCTATTTGAAGCTAACTTATTTGTAAAGGAACAAAGCAAAACCGATTACGCGTGAACTGATTCTTTTTTCGTACCTCGCAGGCTATCTGCGAACGAGTTAGTATTTATTTGAAGAAAATAGGTAAGTTAACGAATCAGGTGTAAATTAGTGAAATCAAGCAAATCATGAATTCCTAATTGATTCACGTGGCGTACGCTAAACTGACCCCTAAACTGGGTAAAAACGAATCAGGGATGAATTAGTGAAATCAAGCAAATCATGAATTCCTAATTGATTCACGTGGCCTACTATAAACTGACCCCTAAACTGGGTAAAACAATCATTACAGCGCTTACATTTTCCATCAATTTGTGGTGGAACCACTTACCAGTTCCAGTACAGACCATGGAAAATTTGTTTTTTACAATAATACTGACAGTTTTTGACGTCCATTTCCGGTGAAGTTTCCTGGAAGATCGTGCGCAAGTTAAAGAGAAAAACAAGTTGCGCGCCACTATAAAGCCATTTCCAAGGTCTACAGTCCCCCACACCTCTGTTAGGCGGTCACCCTCGGGAATTAACGAGGTGACCACTTAATTGATCGTGGTTGACCGGGTTTTCTAAACTTAAGCCCATTAATGCGGCAGAAGTTGATGTATTAGTCATTCCCTACAAGTACCTGAGTATTCCTTAAGAGAGTAGTGAAGTCCGTAACGGAGGAGCTGGTCGTATTTCTACATATATGACAGTCGTGGTTCGGGGTCGGCTCGAGGTGAGGTGCGTCAGAAGACAGTCTGGGCATTACAGACTTTACACGACCTTTAACAACCTACAGAAAAAAAGAAGCAGCTTCTATGAAACAATAAAGGAGATGAAAAAAGCAAATTGCCCACAGTTTTAAGCTGAAAGTTTCTTCGTTAGTCTCCTACCCACGCTGACAGAGGTCTCTCACGGGCAAAAGGAAGAAGGAGAGGAAAGACAGCAGACCTCTAGCCTGGATTTGATCCCGTTTTTTGCCTTTTTTCCCCCACTGTGGAACCTGTCCCAGGCTAGCAGACCTCTGCCGGCCTCCGATTAGTAGTCTATAACGCAGTTTTTCTCGAAGCTAAGGACTCGTGAAGAGTACCTCCTTTCCTTGCAAGACCGCAGGTGTTTTAAAGGTGTTTCTTATATTTTATTTCAGGAGTCCAAAACAGGAGGCGTGCAAAAGTGAGGGGATTCTGATGCTTTGAATATATTTAACCCACAGTTTACAAAACGAGGACTATCCAGTCCATCATCACAACTTCGATGTCAGAACCCGTACTTCAAACTTGACATTGAATAAGATGCGATATGCAAACACTTGATGATCAAGCGAGAAACTAAATAAATCTTGAATGATTTCGCTCCACTTTGTTTTTTTTTTTTTTAGTCTTTAGTATTTAGAACTGGCATGCGGGATACCTATCAGACGAGGGGAGTTTATAAGAAAGGGGCGTCAAATAAAAACTAAAAGCAAGCAAGTTTTCATAAGCGAACGAGTGGATCAAGCTAGCTTATCAGCAGAAGGATGGAAGATTACTATACCCTTCGAGTAGAGGCTACATTATCGTAATGTGAGTAAAGTGCGTAGTGGTCCTTTTCGCACGGCAGCTGGCACCGCGAAAATGTAAACTCTGCTCGTAAGGTACACGATTACGAAAATTCGCCAACAATTAAATGCTGTTTAAAAATTCTGTGCTGATGTATATTCCATTTTCACAGATGTCCCTCTATAAAGCAAAGAATTGCTTTTAATGCCGTTTTAGTATATAAAAAAATGACTAGAACGCGAGAGCGAAAAAATTCTCGAAACGCCGAGAGTCTTATGCTTAAAGTTGCGTAAATCGACCTGAATCAGTGCATGAAATCTTGCGTTTCCTAATTTTTAATATCTCACCCATTGTATGTAGTATGTGTGAAAATCTTTGATCTGAATCGGTACATTTCAAAGAGCTACAAAAACGTGACCAAGGATACAATTGACCGACAACGTACAGAGCGGGGGCAGCTTCAGTGTCAACTATTACTAGTTAGACAAGGGGCATTTATTTGAAAGAGGGCGTCTTTTAGATCATAAACAGAACCGTAACGCTGGCCACCGGATAGATAACTATCTACTAAGTAACGGAATTGATTTCTGGATAGAAAAAAAAAATCAGAAATTCCTCGTCCCCAATGGAACTTAATTAAACTTTGCTGGAGATAATTCTAACGCTTTGGACCTTTCTTTAAGGCAAACGCCCGCCTTAGCAGCGTTTAAGCGAGGCTTACCTAAAGTTAAATTTTGATTCATACTGTAGAACATTTTACATTGTACTCATACTTTTATCCTGTGTTACAGTGTTTTTTTTTTTATGTTGTAATATATATATCCTTTAACGCGCTAATATTTATATTAATATCGTAGGTGACGAATTAGTTCTTAATTTTGGCGCGAAATTTCAGCGATAATTTGCATTTTCACATGCGAAATTACAAAATTGCCATGGCAACCTTCCGTCCGTCTCAGTGTCAAGATGGCGGCGAAGTTTTAAAATGTCATGAATGAAGATGCCGGGGCATTAAAAGACGCTTTAGAAACCCTGAACATACGGAGGAGCACATGAAGAAGGATTCTAACAGGTATTTTGTCGAAAAATTCTGAACTTAAGCCAAATTTGAGCTCTAAACGTTCGAGAGAGGGGAGTTCTCGATCGACGCGATCCAGGATAAACATGTCAAAAATCGAAGATTGCTAACGTAATTCGTCATCCAGGATATTAATAGGTAATCAAATGGTATACTCGTGAAATTATGGAATAATTTCACTTGCGTTTTGTCCAAATCCTAAATTATAAGGACTTGGACAAAACGCGCGTGAAACTATCGGCCTAATTTCACTCGTCACCATTTGATTATGCATACTAATAACTTATTATTTTTTTAGCTTAATAGTTTAGCCTTATAAGTGGACCCCACTGCAAACAACTTAGTCAGTGAAGCTGGCTCCCTCATTAAAGATTAAAATTATTATTTTTGTTATTATCGGTACATTCCGATTGCAAAGACCCGACCTAAGCCACCGCGCGTTTAGTTTATTGTACTTGTGAGCAGGATACAGAAGAGTTGTACAGGGGACAACAATTTCATCCAATGAAAAGGGCCATTTTGGTACACTCGAACGAAACGAGCGAACCCGCCAAAGTGGACCACCTTAATATTCCCGTCGAACCTAGCCTGCGTGCAGACGATAAATAAACTCTGATTAGTACCGTCTGCGAAGCAGCGCAGAGAGCCTTGTTCTGAACCCCCAACGGACTCAACGAATTACCGGAAGTGCGTTTCGAATTTCCCTTCAACCTGATTGGCGATCACGACAAACAAAACAAAGGCCTTTTTTAACTGGCCAATCGTGGCGCGTACTCAAATCTGGGTACACAGCTGGAAGTCCAGAACAAGGACTTCGGCGCTGTTTCGCAGACGGAGTTAACCAGAGTTTAATTTCGTCTGCGCGCAGGCTAGGTCGAACCAAACAAAAAAGTTCCGTTCTGTTGGATTTCGAATCGAAATTTTTTGGAATTTTGGTCTGAATAGAAAGCACCCAGTGAGCCCTTACAAGAACCAATTACCATGTTCTCCATATTGGAAATCTCCCAAGATGCTACAGTTATTCTAATATTATTATACAACAATAAAGTTACAATACAACACACGTTACTTACTTTAAAAACTATGAGGCAGGCTGAACGTGAAGAAGGCCACTGTAGGGCCTTTAGACACAAATCAGGACATTTCCACACTGTCACCCCCATATCCCCATCGCCAAGGGTGTGGTCGACTCCACTGCACTCCAAACCCGAACGGCATATCTCCTTTACCCGGCTTTCTTCAGTTTCAACGCAAAAAGCTAGCTGTTCAGAGAGTTCTTTGAGGGACCTGCCATTATGTCGTAGCTCAGCTTTTTTCTCGTGGTATTCCCTCTCCAGGTTCGGGTTGTCGACCTTTTTGATTTGCGAGATACTGACAGCACGATCAAGGTCGTTTAAGTCCCATGTTTGGCGTTTAACGGCGTTTTCTATGTCTTTTGCTTCCCTGGAGTCACCTGATAAAGTGTACTGGCAATCTAAGACGGCAAAAACTCGGATCAATACACCTCATTCACGATACCTGGCATCTTTGCACGTGCTAAAGGACTAATGGGATAAGAGTAATGTCACGTTGTTTCTCAGGGTGCGAGCAACAATGCAAGAAATCCCGCCCGAGTTTGTTTACTTTAGCCAACAGAAAATGAAGAACTTTTCACGAAGATAGTGATCGTTGTTTCTTCAGTTTCTGGATGCAGTAGCAACGGTTGATGTTCTCACAGAAAGCAATACTGACTTAAAACTTGTCGAAACTGCACATTTTGCGAGGTTAAAATCCTCGAATCTTTTTGAGAGAATAAACAGACTCATCTGCGCTTACTCGTACTGGCAAAATAATGTTACCACGTGTTTGCCGTCTGAAATACCACGTGACATTGCCTTTATCTCATCAGCCCTTGAAATCAAGCCTTAGTGCAAAGATGGCATGAATAAGGTCTATTTAAGTGACGCTCAGCCATAGGATAGGGGTATGTCGACACGATCCTGGAAGGATTGTAGAAGGATATTTTCGCACAGACAATTTTATAAATGGATCAATATGGTCACAGTGAACAGCTGTAAAAACACAAGTATATATAGATTAACTTTGTAGGGACAACAAGCGAGCTCTTAAGGACAAAGCCTGACAGATAAATTATGACATAAAAAAGATTAAAAACACTAATAGCAATACTACTACTACTACTAATAATAATAATAGTAATAACAATAATAATAATAATGATATTAGAGCCTGTCCGAATTAATATTTTTTTTAAGGATCTTGTTTTAAAGAATTAGGAATTTAGGAATACGAGATTTTATTCTTTTTAACTTGTTTGTTTCAAACAATACGACAAGAAGACACATTAGGCCTTTCTCACACTCCTGCGATGTAAGGCATTAAATAATTCGAAACTCAGCATAGTGGAACATAGAAATTAAGGCCACAAAATTTGTAAGACTTCAAAAGGGAGCTCAGAATCGAATTTACAGGTTAGCAAGTTATGAAAGAATTTACTCGTGAACTTAAAAGTCAATAGCTATTATCATTCTACAAAAAGATCTGAAAAAAACAAAACAAAACAAAAACTCTATGAAGCTTATATTTTTGAACAATTTTTTCAGAAGGAGTTGAGTTGAGGATGGCACGTACCTCTCCAGTTTCTCTCATTTACACAATGTTTCCTAGAGATCACTATCAGTCTTTATTTTGGTAGGGAATTGTTACTTTGGAAAAAAAAAACTCCAGCTGGTTGACACTTTGACTGGCATGAAGACAAATCTTCAATAAAGAACACTGTTGTGTTTGTAAAAGTCGAGCTCTCTTGTCTAACAATAATTTTAACCAATAAAAGCATCCCCTGCGGCTACGTTAACAGGTGTTCATAAATATGATGCTTCTTCCCGTCTTCAAAAACGCCACAGATATTACTGAGAAAACTTAACTTGATAAACACTGTCAAATACCCCTGGTGATTTTGGTTTTATGTTTTACTGGATTATAAAGACAAAACATTTTCTTTTCCACATAATATATTTCTACACATGCTCTAATACATTTGTAGTCTTGACCTGTTTAAATAATCAGTCACGGAAGAAAATAATTTACATTTTTATCACAAAAAGACTGCCTTGCATTGTCACTTAGCGACGGAATAGATGTTTGAGGCAGATGTCACTTGTATTGCGTGGCAAAACGTTTTCGTCAGCTCACCGCTACGAACCAAAAATCTACGATTGGAGTTTTAGTTTCTAAAGGAAAGAACTAATCTTAAACAGGCATAACCATTATTTTTCATTTTTAATTCAAATTTATTCTTCATGTGTTGAGTTTAACTGTCTATAGTCTCAAGAAATATAACAAAGAAAACAAACAAATTAGTTACAAAAGCCGCTTTTTCTATTTGTCAAAATTTGCTCGCGAGTATTCTTTTGTTTTCGTTTTTCTTAGGGGCATTATCTATTTTTTTTGGCTACGGAGATAAAATGCCTGTTGCAATTGAATAAAGAAAACAAAACATTCCTTCAAGTAAAACTGATTAACTAAACCAGAATATAACTTGCTGAGCGCAGCGGCACCGTGTTGGGAATGATGACGCTAGAGTAAAACATTTAACTTTATAGAATAAATGGTTTTCTTCATTCTGTGCGCGTTGTAACTAAGTTGTTATACATTAAGGATTCAATTTCAACATTTAAACACTGCTTACCTTCCGATGGCCTCCTTTCTTTCCGAGGAATCTTGAACGTCGTTGAATGGAAAGCTCGCACTTCCATATTTGAAAGAACCATCAAACTCGAGTGACTGAAAACAACATGAAATAGACGAAGCAAAAACTGCTGTTAGGAAAGTGAAAACCACTATGATTTTGGAGAAAGAAAAACAGTTAAGTTCAGAATCAAGCCTATGTTAGGCTAATTTGTTAGCTAGGCGAGAAATTTGCTGTTCAAAAAGAGAAAACATGGCACTTGAATGATAAATATCTCTCACCTAAACAATTGTCCAGCCGCGCTAGAAGTAAATAGTGTTCCGGTGTGAATTTAGTTTAACTTGTTTCCTCTTTCCGACGATAAGTAAGATTATTTAAAGCTTATAAGCTTTTGTTGTTAAATTTTCAAGATATACAATGGTCACGAAATTTACATTATCCGCAAACACCTGTTTTCTAAATTATCGTCAAATGACGTTTTAAACACGCAAATTAAAAGTAGGTCTTGGGCCACTTAACGTAACGGATGCTTTTTACTAATTTCCCGACCGATTCCCATGAATGTAACTTATACATTGTTGAAAATTCGCAGCGTTTTATCAAGTTGGTAGTGTTAATTTAAGTAGAATTAAAAGAAAGAGAACGAGAAGACAAGAAAAACCGAAAACAATTGTTTTAGAAATCAACAAATGTCTTGCAGAGGAGTTATGAGTTTATTAACAGCGCGCTTTTACCAATAACATCTATATTGGTTAAAACTCTTCGCCGACTTTGATGATCAGTGTCAACTATGACTTTTTATTAGTGTCAAATAATAAAAATATTCACCAGCTTATGTAATAACTATTGCATATCAGAAAAAAAGGAAAACTATATTCGTCTAGATCAACAACGCGAACGCGACTTTCAAATGAATGAGCTCAATAAGCTTAAGCACAAAATAAAAACCTTTAGAAATAAAAAACATGACCAATTTACCTGGGCCTTCGAGGAGAACTTCGCCCAACCGCTAAATCTGCCAGAAAAATTTGATCGCTCTGGTAAGATCTTGAACATCGTGTTTGATCAAAAATGGCTGTCAACTTTGTTTGACGCGAACGTCATTCATCAATTTGCGCGCGAAACCCGACAGCCTATCAAAATGCGCCAAGTAATTGGGGCAGTAATTGGCCGCTATTTTTGGTTTCCGCCACCTTCAAAGATTTCGCCTCGAGAAGACTTCAACTTTGCTTTTTGTTGTTACACGAAACAAAGAGCATAGTTTCACAGAGAATTTTTTTGCCCAGCGATAAAGTGTAAGACAAAGGGTCGCTGATGACAAAGGAAACTATATACGCTACTAAAGTCGAGTTTGTCTATTTAATTAATGCCAGAAATCCATAATCCACGAGGGAAAAAATCGTGGTTCTGTTCGCAACTTTTTCACTCGTTTCACAAGACAAAAACGACTTGGCCGATAACGAAGGGAAAATAGCCATTCAGAGGGACTCCAGTTCACTTCTTGCAATGTTGCTTCATAATCAATCATTAAGGATGAGGGCGCGTTTTCAAGATTTTAAACTCTAAATTACAGACATATATGTAAAAAAAATGTAGTTAGATTTTCTTAGACAATACCTACTGCGGGTCTGTCGAGAAACATGTCATTGAATGTTTTTTAAAGGTGCTATGCCACGAGGAGTTGCTTTTTTAGGTCAATTCTGTGCTGAAGTAATTACTTAGTAGCTTATTATATAGACACAAGTGTTTTACTGGAAAATATACCAGGAGTCCTTATAAACGGTGGGCTTATAACTACTCGTAAAATTCATAAAAACTACATCCGGGACCCGAGTGGTTTATTTTCCATAATCTCACACATGAGTTTATCGATGACGTAATTTTAGTAATTTCCCTCTATTATTTTATCGATGTTATTTTGTCTACATAATAAAAAGAACACTACACGGCGGCTTGAAGATGTGAATTTTATATTTACTCACTCGCTGCGCTCGTTCGTAAAATATTGTTTTGCCACTCGAAAATAAAATTCATGTCTTCGCGCCACCGTGTAATATCCTCTATGAAAAAATGCTGCTTTATAATTGTAAACAAGGTTTCAAACAAATTCCATCAGAGAGCATTAAACGAGAATTTTTTTTTGAGGGGGAGGTGGGGTGATTTTTGCAGGTATAGCATTAAAACTTGAAAAAGTTGGCCCAGTTGTTTCAAGTTTCAATTCATGCTCATCCTTGCCATTAGACGACAGAAAACAGTTCCAATGCCTAACTATATACTGGACCATTACTTTTGGATTCCATTGATGAGAAGACAAGTTTAAGGACCTGTTTACATAGAGGTGGGCGACCCCAGATAGGTGAGTTAACATGTGGCTGGTCCTCACCTATCACGTAAAAGTGATCAAATTAAAATGAGAGATTATATGGACAGGGGGGTTACCATACCTGAGCAGGTTACCTCGCCTAACTGGGGCCCCCCACCTCCTTATAAACAGGCCCTGAGGGGGTGTTTACATTAGAAAACTCGCACCGGCGCGAGTTTCATACCGGGATGACTTTTTGATTTCGTATCGCGTTTACATAATGACTGGGTCATTTCATATGTCGCTATTTGAAGGAAAACTTCATGTTGATAAAATACACGTGTGATTCAAAATCGCAAACATTACGCATGCCCTCCACGTTTCAGTCTACCGGCAGACCGATTTCGTACCGAAACGGGTGGTCATGTAAACACCCACTAAGCCTTTTGAAAAGATAGCATAGCCTGAAATAGTCCTTTAAAATAATCCTGATATTAGGTCATTCTTACGTCATAGTTTTGTAGAGATGGCGAGAGATGGCAAAGAAATTGGCAGATAAAAACAAAAGATTCTTGACGCTTAACAATGGCCTTGGTAATTTTGCGCTCAATACCTACTTTCAAGATTGTAGTCAATGTAAATTGTCCTGATCACTGGTTAGTAGATTTTCTTACTTTCAAATATCTACGTGAATGAGATAACTCTTAGACGAACGGGACAAGGAACAATTATGGAACTGTCGCTTTTGACTTTAGTTGCATCCAAAATCTGAGAAGCTATTCCCAGTAAATTAAAATAATAATATCATAGATGACGAATTACTCCTTAATTCTGGCGCGAAATTTCAGCTTTAATTTGTAATTTCACATGTGAAATTACAAAATTGCCAAGGCAACCCTTCCGTACGTCTCAGTGTCAAGATGGCCACAAAAGACGCTTTAGAAAACCTGAACACACAAGAGAACATGAAGAAGGATTTTAACAGATATTTTGCCGAAAACACCTGAAAAATCCTGAACTTTATATGCCAAATTAAGGTCTAAACATTTGAGAGAGTGGAGTTCTCGATCGATACGATCCAGGATAAACATGTGAAAAATCCAAGATTGCTAACGTAATTCGTCAGCCATGATATTAATAGGTAATCAAATGGTATACTCGTGAGATTAGGCAATAATTTCACTTGCGTTTTGTCCAAATCCTAATAATTTCCCTAATAATTTTCGCCTAAAGGCTCGGGAAATTATTAGGATTTGGGCAAAACGCCCGTGAAATTATTCCTTAATTTCACTCGTAACCATTTGATTACACATACTAATATACAACCACTTACAAGCAATACAAAAAACTTTACCTTACAAATACGAAGTAACTTAATTTGATTTCTCTGCACTCCAGTGAAAAGCTACTGTCAATAACTATTCATATCATCGATCGAGTCTACAGTTTTTACGTAAACATGTCAGTAAACTTTTTCTCTTTCTCTATGTCCTGTAATTTTCTGTAAATGTATTCGCCATTTTTAAAATTGCGCGTGGCAAACCTAACCTACTTTCCTTCCACCATTTACTGATATTGTTTTGTCTTTTTCTATATCCTTACAATGTATTGTTATGTACATAGTAACATCTAGTGCAAGAAAATAAACAAATCTAAAATCTGAAATTTGGTTTCAGCCCTTATACCGGACCTTAGCCACGCTCATCTAATTAGGTATTTTGTTTAACAATTCTAGCACTTTACTTCTGATATGTTTCATTTTCTCTTCAGTATCAGCAATATAAAATTAGTCATTTAATTGCAACTATGGTTTATTAACAATTTAATAACTTTCTGTCCTACTTTTAAGATGATATGTACATGTATTTGTTTTTTAAATTTTATCTTTGGTTTGAATTTTCTTTTCTTTTGTTTTTAGGTATGGTAACGTATGTGATATTGAGTTCTTGAAACAAAGGAAAATATATTTGACAGCATGGTTAAAATTGAACCCCAACATATACGCTAGTTTCTACATTTTAGCATATTTTATAACTTTTGTTATACATAGAATGTCTAAACAGCTGCAGCTTTACGCAGTTTACCTCAGCGTTTGCTTCAGCTGATTCAGCTTGTTGTTCGTCTCTACAATCATTAGTATAGGATAACGATTTCCAATAGTCATGCTGAAACATTGTGTGGCGGTTCGAGCAAATGACTCGCTACACGATAAGGTACTAGGAACCTGATTAACATCTTGGTCTTTATTCTTCTTTGACTTCTGCTAACAATCTTAATCTTAATCTTCTTACTGTTCTTCTCTACTCAATCCTTACTAACTAGTGAAAAAGCAACGGTTTTTATAGAAAAAGCTAGACATGTTTCAGGGGTTAGCTTACCGTGAGAATAGAAACTAGGGAAACTCGGTGTGGGTTTTGTTTTGGCATGATTGCGATCGACAAGAAGCTACAAACCACGGCCAATGAAAAACTAAAACGCTGGTTAACAAATCCAAACAGGAACTTCAAAGAGACAAATGAAGCAAAGTCATGCAGTTCTAACATCACAAACACCCACGAACACCTGCGAAAAACTGACATCTAATAATGGCAGGCGAAGCATATTCCAAAAATGGCATTAAAGTAATTCGCGTGTTACACGTAAGTAAAAATTCAAGTACAATTAAAAACACTAAGATGAAAACAGGAAAAAAAGCTATGCGGACAAAAATCCAAACTAACCTTAAACCAAACGAAACTTTGAAAATAACGTTCAAAATACTTCCGTCACAACAATTGTTA